AAAGGGTCAGATTTTCGGGTTTTCTGGGGCAAGTGGATTTTCGCCAAAATCGAATTTTTTAGCCGGGTGAACGTTGATTCCAAGTATTTAAGCCACGGGCTATTCAGAACTCTCAAAAGTATGTGGAAAAAGTGAAAACTGAAAAAAAAAAATTTTCACCGGGGGCTACAGGGTCAAATTTTCGGTTTTTACTTGGAACAATGCTCAGATTTGTTAACACTTTTATTTTTTATTTGGATAATGCATGCAAGCGTAGGGACAAGAGTGGCTAGAATAGATTCTGCAACCTTCTCCCCTTGCTGGGTAACAATTTTAAAGCCTCTGCATTTCCCCTCCACCCTCTCGAAAATGTCGATTTCCGAGATTAAAAAAAAACAATAATTGCATTTTTTATTTCAATAACGCATGAGTAAACAGGGATATGAACGCACATTTAATATATGCCCATAGAATTACGGGGACCGGCAAGGATTTGGAAAGTCTGAATACAAGTCCTGCTTACACATAACAAGTGCTGAAATGGGACATAACCAGTGGTAGAAAGGTCTCGGAAGCACTTGGGAAGAGGCTTCCCAAGATATATCCAGTTCTGAACGGAAAGACCTAAGTAGAACTTGTCAGGTCCAATTATTCGACTCGGGTGAGAATTCATTTTTTTTTGAATACCATATTGATCAAAGACTCATTATATTTGAGAATTTTAAGTTACTCAATTAACCAATAATTATAATTGACCATTATTTAGTCCTCATGTAAATATTTTGTAATTCAATGAATAATGAAAATTGCTGCCATTATTGATGATTACCAATTAATAAGGTAATGAAAAATCAATGTGGCTGCATTAATGATAAATATGGCGTTAAAAAATAATGATGTGATGAAAATTCTATTTTTTCCATTGACCATTGATATCGTCACGTAATATCATTGATGGAATATGATTTTCCTGCCAATCTCTGAACCGGAATAGCAAAAGAAAACCCGTACCAGTTGCACGATTTTTCCTTAGGATTCCTTCGATCTTGTTCTCTCGTATTACTTTTAGATGATGGATCCGTTTGCATTTCTTGTTCATCGTAAATACCCTGTGATCTCACTTCAAAATACACCTACATATATAATGTTCATTTTCAACTAATAATTGTATAGCCTCGTTAGAGGAGAATAATTACTGTCAACAGAAAACAATTAGACTCACAGGACCCACTGACAAACTCTGAATAATGAAATTATCTCCAGAATTGTCGAAACATTGATGAGTCAATAATTTTTGTATAACAACAGATTGTCCTTCATTCCCATCGAGCAGATGATTGATTGAGAGGAGTTGTAAGATGCAGTGTGCAATAGTCGATTTTGCCTCTGATACCGCGAGAATCGGATTCTCATCTGTTTGACTGAATTTATGCAGCAATTTTTTTTTCCTCTTCTGATGATGATTCTTTCCAACGGTTTTCTCTGTTTCCTTCAGTGCATTGAATTTCCTCGTGAGCTCATTGAATTCTGTGAGTCAATTTATAATTTTATATGGAGTAAGGGGGGTAAAAATTCCAAGAATTAATGTTGTAAATTATACAGACAGAGTGTGTATTGACATGTTGAAGAAAAAAAATGACGTCATATATGTAGAGTAATAATGCATCTGCTATCGGTTACTTCTCACAATCAGAAATATTGAAGATTGTTGAAGGATATGATTCACCGCGGTGGAGCAAAATTTTATAACATTCCAAAAAATAATTAAATTGAGTAAGCATTCCTGTTTTAACGATTTTGTTGACGAAACTTGACAGATTTTGCTCCACGAGGCAGAGGAATGCATTTCACACGAAGACCTTATCATATTTACGAATTAATTTACCAGCGATTCCCAGAATACATATCAATTTACATATTTATCCTAGCATTTCGCTGAATCGCAATATCAAATTCTTCCTGCAACGTTAATTACCTAGACTCAGTTTCTCAAGGTCGGCCAACAAATCATTTCCCAAGCGTGGTTTGATATTCAGGGCTTCTACTTTATTTTCAAGAACAGAAATAACTTCCGCTAGAGAATCACTCTCATTCGATGTGATTTTATTATCAACACGTGTTCCCTGGAGGCCATGACTCCAATTCGGCGTTGATGCCCTGGTAGAGAAACTCCATTTTATAAAATTGAAAAAAATAAATAAAATAAAAGAAGAACAAATACTAACCAAAAAATGCTTACATGAATAAATATCAACGAGTGGATATGAGAAAAAATTATATGAAAAGACTTGCGATAGTATCAGTAAGTCTTTCTTGAAGGAAACGATACGAGGCCTGCCACAATTTTATCATGAGAATATTTCCTATGGCCGCATAGTTCCAAGAAAATGATTATCATTTTCGGTTTTATTACAATATTATTAGGATAAAAATTGAAGTGAGTCTCGAATGTAAAGAAATCCTATTGCAAATGAATGAACGAATGGGATGTATTGACACATGATCAAAAAAGACAAGTAATTAGATATAATTTTCATGTAAAAATGTCCAATTGGATAAAATTCATGAGACTTTGAATATTTTGCGGATCTCTGACTAATACAACCGGCAGCGTGTAATGACTTAACGAACATGGTGAAATTGAATGTCTTATCTTAAAACTTGTCACCGTTGAACTAGATTCACACATATATGCTTCCACTACAAGCTATATAGCTACATGTGCCAGATAACAGGTAATTCGCGTGGTATCAGAACAATATCGCCTACCGGGAAAAACCCACTACAATTCCCTTGAACTTGTCTATTCATCTCTAAATGTTAATTTGCAGCAACTTATTCTAATCAGATGACTGAAGACTATGCAAGCAACGACGATCGATTTATGTTTTAATATTTCTTCCGACTTGTCTGCGTATAGACATTTTTCTCAAGTAATACGTCGTGACTCGGGCATGATAAGGTGATACTCACGAAGATATGATGAATTGAGTGCTTCAAGAAATCAGTTGTGGCCTCTAACAATATCCTTGAGATAAAGACACATTCTTTGCTTCAATAGACGCATGTTTATTAGTTAAATTTCCACTCATAATCACCTGATCCCTAATCCATTAATCCCATATTTAATTTTTAAATAACTCGTTTCGTCAAAAAAACATGGTTAATGAATTAGAAAGTAATAATGAACAACTGCAAAGTAACGATTTGAAAGAATGAGATTTTAATGGAATTGGCACATTAGTCATAGCGAGTATTATGACGAAAGTGTTTCCAGGTAGACACGAAAAATTTCATCTGGTGATAACGATGACGGAGTATTGAGGCATGGCAAACATCGTCACATTTTATCGAAACACCTCATGGGTGGGAATAAAACGTTGCGTTATCATCTATCTAATAGGGAAAAAATTAGTGATCCATCGGACACAGAACTGATCGGCGGTATATACCCGAGCCCATCAAATGCTGGTGGCACGTCGACACGTGCGCACCGGTTGAGGCTCACCAGACTGGACTAGATTTTATTTATTTATTATTTTCTTCTACTTCTCCGAAAGACTGTCAAAAATAGTTAATTAAACTGGAAATTGATGATCAATAATCAGATGATCATCGCGTAAAAAATATCGGAGAGATTTGACACGTAGTGTTATCAGTGTTTAATCATCAGTGTTGAAGGAAAAATAAAAATACACATTGACGGTGTAATATTACCGGCGACTGTTACTCGAAGCCCGCGAACAACTAATTGAGTGCAACTCTACAAAGACACTATGGCTGGAGTATACAATGAAATTGCCAGTGTTTTCTATACCTCTCATCATCCTGGATCTATTAAAATGCTCTAATGAAGAAATATTAAAATTAATTTATTCATTTGGCTTACAACTCTGGGAGTGAAGGAGAATTATTTCTGGATACTACTGAAGACGTGACAAGTGCCTTGTTTATTTATCTGTAAAGTGACTTAAAACGACGTAAAAAACTAATTTTTCACTGTTTAAGCCGTCGTGACTGATCATAGGGGCGTCAACCAATTATCGGACAGAGATAACTCAATAAAGTACGGATAGAAATGAGTGATTATGTTGGTAGCCGGATTGACCGCAGCTTTTTCTATTTAATGGCGATTTATGTCATTCATGGAATTTTACTGCACGTTTTTCTACGACCAATTAATGTTAATGGTATTAATATTGATAACGAATTTCTCCGGCCCTCAGTGTCCGAAGATTGGATTAAATTTGTAGACAATGACAATACAAGTTACGTAAATATTGGAGCCAATGGCAATTCTCAAGAGGAAAAAAATTCCAATAGCTCGAACGTGCCTATTATCAATCAACCCACGTACCAGGTAGGAAGTATTGCCGATTGATACTTGGATGAAACGCTTATCGTCATAGGCATGCTGCCCTCTGCGCCAATAAAATTACAAATTAATTCATTGAAAAAAAATAATAATTCTCTCTTCCTCTTTGATCGGCTTCAATCAATATTTATGACCCGTAATGTCTCTTTTTTTCATTTCCAGGTAAATTCCAACAGTGGTAGACTGCAGTTACTAATGCTTCAGAAGTCCTCAGGAGCATCTCTTTTTCCCGCGGTAACGTGTGCTTCTATAATGGCTGTAATGAAGAACATTAGTCCAGCAACTTGGGGCATAATATCTGGCTGCATAGTATTTCTATTGACGTTTACGAAAAATGATAATGTACGATAGTTTTACATAGTAAATTAATTATGTATAAAGAAATGGTGATGCTCTTCTAATTGAAAAGCTGACCGAATGCTGATCGAATGTGAGATTATTCATAAAAAGAAAAGTATTTATTGAAAATGTTGATTGCAGTCGGTTGAATGAATCTGAGATTGAAACCACGTATTACCGACGACAAATGCTGAGTGTCAGGAGTTTCTCAAATGTAACACTGCAGCACTGTTCATTTCCTCGATATTTCCTATAAAGATCCTTCACTCATAAACCCATTAGCCCTGGCGTAATTCTCTATGAGACCAATAAAACCAACTGGGTGAGAGAGAGAAAATCTGTGCAATCTATTTGACTCGAAAATTAATAGTGAAATATTTAAAATGTATTTGTGGAATAAAATTATCGTGTAAGATTGGTGATCTGCTATGTCCGCGACATCGCGAAAATTGCGAAGAATTTGGTGCTCGTTAAATAGCTGATTATAACAGAGACAAGTTAAGGATTTTGTTTTTCTTTCCTTTTTCGTTTTTTTTTTGGAGCATTTGTGTTTTTAATATTGTTCCATCGGGTTTCATATAATGGCTGATTTTGTATTGCGTGTGAAAACTAAATCAGGTCAGAAAGTCGTTAATGGATTATCATCGAGCAAGACTGTAGCCGAATTGAAACGAAAATTATCGGAGCTGACGGGGATTGATATTAATGCGCTTGAAGTACGCAGTGGATTTCCACCCAAGGTACTGAATTTAAGTTGTTTAAATTCAACACTGAGTGACACTGGTATTGTATCTGGTGATACTCTCATTGTTGAGGAGAAAATCAATCTGTGCAATGGTGAAAAGGAGTCAAGGTCGCATGTCGTTGATAGCGAACGATTCTCTGACACACCTGGTATGCTCATGAAAAAAATTGTTCCTGCCGATAATTCGTGCCTTTTTACCAGTGTTGGATATGTACTCAATGGTAATTGCTCAATTGACATAATTTTACTCCGTTTTTTTTCCTTTTTCGGAGCACTGGGCATTTCCCTGGGACATTTTAGTTGTCGTGAATTGTTGATTTTGATTTTTGACTTTTTTTTTCAGGTAAAGTTGATCCAACGTGCTCCGATTTTATGCGAGAGATAATAGCCACTGCTGTTGCTTCTAATCCTGAAGAATACTCCGAGGCGATACTTGGAAAGCCGAATTCGGTTTATTGCGAATGGATACTTAAAGCTGATTCCTGGGGTGGTGCCATTGAACTTTCCATTCTTTCGAAATTTTTTGGCTTGGAAATAGCTGTTGTCAATAGTGTTAGTGGTATTATCAATAGATTCGGTGAGGATCAACATTATGCTCAAAGAGTTTTCCTCATTTTCGATGGAATACATTATGATCCACTTTATCTCGAGCCACACGACGTGAGTCAATTATATTTTCGAGATATTTTAACATTTTAACAGCTGTACTTTATCATTTGTGAGAGATTAATCGAATGTTTCAGGGTGGGAGTATCCAAACAATTTTCCCAACGAACGATGAAAGGGTACTTTTAGAAGCTGGCGAATTAGCAAAAGAAGCCAAATCAAGTCGTCAATATACGGACGTACAAAATTTTACCGTCAAGTGTCTGGTTTGCAACATTCATCTCGGTGGACAAACAGCTGCTAGCCAGCATGCCAAGGAAACTGGCCACATGAATTTTGGAGAAATAGCGTAGCATCGTTAAGATGATAATGTCATCACATTGAATAGTCAACTCACTAATGTTCAAAATAGACTAGACACAAATTTTCATTATTTTTATCTCTATCATCAGCATAAAAACGTTACAATCAAATTTTTCTTATACCCTCAAAGAGGAACATTTTAATTGACTAGCGGCATAAAATATTTAGGGAAATCAAGACTGGATTCTCTGTTTGCGAATAATTATTAACAAAAATACCATCATGAGATATCTATTTCTTAATAATAAATAGACATAATCGCACATTGTATGGAATGAAAAATCAATCAATGGTTTATTTACATTACGATTATTGCAATTTTTTTTAAACTCAATCAATTGATAGAATATTTTTGAATCATGAAAAGCAAAAGATGAAGTAAATAAAATATGATTTTTTTTCTTTGAATTTATATTGTGGTTGATTCTCATTAATTTTCACAGAAGAACAGGTACAAAGTTATATTCCAAAAATAGTTGCATGCTTTTTCCTTTTTTCTCTCCGTCCATTTTTCATACAACTGTTTCGTGGAAATGATCCTGTAGGCGAAATCCACCAATCAACAAAGAGCTGCATCATTCAAACGTAGCGGGCACGACACATAATCTACAGTGTCTGCCCCTGCGTCAAACTGTACAACCACTGTATATTATCTGGATTGTTCAGTAAGCGGCAAGCCGCATCAGTAACATCTTCCCTTTAAATATCAATCAACAACAAGCCAAATCTTGCAAATAATATCGAGCCGGTTTTCATTTTCATTTCAAACACTACAATTCAATTTATTTTGAGCATAAATATGGAGAGCCCATTGCCACAAATAATGGAGAGTACTGATAGTGAGTATAGACAGCCTAAAGACAGGTTAGTCACCGTACTCGATCAAATTGAACTTAGAGTCGAACAATTGAGACGTGATGCTCTGAAACTCGAGGAGGAAAAGGATACAATGCTAACGACACTCGATACCCTCAAAAATAATGAAATACTGGGATTTCTCCAAGACCGTAAGTTGAAGAACAGCCACCGATATTTCTAGAATGAACGTTGATTTCCACAACAGTCGACGATTCCTCCAGATTGTTCTAGTCACTTCAATGTGACAAGTTAATTCTATTTTCAGCTGATAAGGACGATGTTTTGCGGTATGCCGATCGACTTACCTCGAGATGTCTTACTATCGAAGTGATGGTGAAAGTACAGCGTGATCCGATTCAAGAGGATGCCTTGCATCAGGTGTGCAAATGCTTTTATTATATCGTTGAATATTCAGCATTATTAATCTTTCCAAAGTGGAAAAATTACGCTTTCAACTTTCACCTATTTTTCAAGTTTGATTTTTTATCACAAGACGATTTGAAAAACCAAGTGAGTAATAATACAGGGCTAAAACATTGCGAGTTGTCACCCATCTCCACGAAAAATCTACTCAACTCTCATTTTCTGTGAATAAAAATAATAATGGCATTTTCCTGCTTTTTATCAGGTCAATGGACTCATCGACAGCTTGGTGATAAGCTTGAAGACTGACTTAACATCCACTCGTCAGCGTTGTGCTGCATTTATGAATGCCTGCTCCTCCCAATCCAGTGGCCACTCAGACAAGATCTTCGAGTCTGTTATCCTTGGCTGCACTCTGGATGACCAAAAGCGCGTCAAAAAGAGACTTCAAGGACTACTTGATTACATCGACAAAATGAACACAATTGAGATGCAATGAGAATCAATGCTCTCCTCCATCGATGATTGTGCCTGGCGCATACAAAACACATGCAACGCATTCGATAGTTTGAAATAACTGAAACTGATATATATATGGGTACTGCAGATGAATCAAATTATTATTATTATCATTATTTCAACGTTTCAAAAATAGGCGAAAGATATTGACTACCGGGAGTCTGAATTTTTAGGTGATAGGAAAAAATAATCCTGAAAATTACTACTCCTAGATTATTACATACTATTGTATTTACTCTCGATATTCACTGATTTTTCATCTATATGAGCTATATGAATGTGCGTGCTTATCTTTTTAACGTTTCATTTAGTTTTTCATCAATTCCCATGTAAAGCTAATTATAGGAATTAATTGGAAAGAGACTCTCCCAGTTACATATGCATAATAAAATTAAACAAAAAAAAAGCTCCAAATTAATGGTCAAGTCGACAACTTTTTATCTCATTGTTAGCCCTTTTTTGGCTGAACCATGTTATTCCAATCTTTTGTGATAAGTTGAAATAAAAACGAAAAATATTGAATATTAATTAACCAGATGAATTGTTACTTTCTTTCAAGCAATCACTAAAATCCCCAAGAGATCCATAATCAACATAAACGTGATTGCGTGTTGCAATAGACGTTGTGTTTCAGAGGAAGAATTGTGTGTGTGTGTGCGAGTTTTCTGTTGAAATATAGGAGAAGGCAGTCGAGTGAGCAACGAGGGGCGTTGACTCCCCCTATCCAAGTCCTTGTGAAAGGTGAAGGACACTGTACACACACATTCATATACAGGCAAGATTAAGATTGTCACTCAAGTTTTATGGGAAAAATTGAATGTCCACTGGGGAATAAAATGTCGTAGAATTTCCGTTCATGTGAAACATAAGTATTTTGTCTTTAGTACAAAGAGTACTAAATTTATCATTTTATTTATTCAGTTTAACATCGCACATCTACCAGTTTATAAATTATTCAAAGTCACTCGGTGAATAAAACCCAATTCTTAAGAGCGAATAATTAAAAGAGAAATACATACACATATGTACAAAACAAGAAGGTACAATGTATAATAATACTCTAGACAAAAATGCCTCTTTTCTCGCTTGTCCTTGGGACGGACCGTACGTCGGCCGGAGGACAATACACAGTATCCTTATATTTAATTCTCAGCGGCAGTTGATTTGCTTATTATTACTAAGATTCTAAAGGACAATACTCTTTTCAAGTATTCATTACAAGAGTCGGCACGCGCTCTTGACAAAATTTTTCTTCCTATGATGCCGTTTACCACTTGGACGGAGAACAATCGTGCCATTTCCGGTTGTACGGCTACATTCGTTTGGGCTAAAAGCACCTGTAATACAGGGATGAGCTCAATGAGTCTGGTTTTATAGAGGAATTAGTAGTAGTGTACCCATTGCAAATTATTCACGAGTTATCGATATGAATCCACCAATGTTGGTTGACGGTAAATAAGTCTGTCCATGAAAAATGGCAGTTTTTTCTGCACTAAAATATATCGTCAGGGTTGATCGATTTTCACAGTAACGCGCTACAATAAAACCCTTTCACATATTTCTTTGATATTTAATGAAGAAGACATTCATGCTGGGAAATATCTTTTTGCCAGAATGAGAGGGTATTGACAATTCCAAAGGCGGTCGTGGGACAAACACTCGTCGACAGTCAACCTTTGGAATGTCACTCCCATTTATGTCGACTCTGATGCGGAGAAATTTCACTCCAACTTTACACTACTCTCTACTTTTCTCGAAGCGAGCAGAAGCAAGTTTTTTTGTTTTGTTTTAGGGGATAAATTTTATTGACTGAGAATATCTCCTTCTTCTCACTCGATGAATTATTTATGACACCGTCACCGGATAGACGTGTGGGATACATTTAATTTGTTGTTTACTCAATGTTGCAGAATATTATGAATAATTCAATTGTTTTCTTGTTTTGTTTTTTTTTTCTTTTACTTACTAATGACTGAAGGTGATCGGGGTCCCGACGAGTAAAGTCTCAAATCATCGTGAAAATCATCCTCACATCTGCGCATTTCCAGGAGACATCTTGATGCCAAATGCCTGAAGACACTCAAAACGCCCACGTCTTCCTTGACAGAGGTCCGTAGGAGTTTACAGCCGAGAGCTCGTCCAAGTCTTTCCGCCTCTTCTCTATTAATAAATCATCACATCGACCATCATTTTCCCGCAGTTCATCGTTCATTATTATTGACATTAATATTATTAAATGCGAGGAGATGAAAAAAAAAATCTTACGGATCAATTTGACACTGATCCACCAAGTCAATTTTGTTCTGCACCAATACCGTTGGTATTTCCCCACATTCATTCTCAACCTTGAGTTTCCACGATGGTATAGCATCGAAGGAATCTCTATCAGTCGCTGAATATGCCAGCACACAGGCGTGCGCGCCACGATAATAAGCAGCCGTGATAGCGTCAAATTCCTCCTGGCCAGCAGTGTCCCACAGCATTAATCGCACGTCTTCTCCATCGACCCTATTTAACAACAGCGAGACATTTGAGCTATTGCAAATTTATAAATTGAAGAAAACAATCACTCACTCTATCTGTCTCTCTAAGAAATCAACACCAATAGTCTTCTTGTAGTCTCTTGTATAGGTTCCCTTACAAAATCTTTGGATCATCGACGACTTGCCCACTGCCCCATTTCCTACTATGACCACCTGAAGTCCAATGAAAAATAAAGACAAGTATGAGTACGACTATTTGGCAATGGATCGACCACCGGCGGTCTTTCGGTCCACATTCCTTAAGATTGGAAATTATCCTATGGGACGGAATGTACTCATGATAACGGTGCAGTCAACACAGCAGCAAGCAACAAAATACACATGTTAACGTGATGATTGCCGAATAAGTTGGGGAAAGGGGGTTACACCGGTTCGATTGGGTATCATACAAAAAACCGGTCCATATACCAGTCGTATCCACAGGTTGAATCGTGTAAAGTGCGCTCTCGCCAGGCAGGCCATGTGCTGCATCTTCAAAATACATGTCCAACAGCCGTTACTTCCATCTTTCGCTCTTCCAATTCTCAATTAGCACAAGAGGACGCAGAGAAACAAAAAATATCATGGAAATCAATCCCACGATGAGCTTCCACACAGAAGGTGTTGATTTTACTGGCAGTTAAAATTCAAAGGATTAATTAGCTCGTGGTATATGACGGCTGTTTGTGTGTGCAACCTGTGGGAATTGGTGGACCGAGCATACAAGAGACCAGTACCAGTACCGTTAAATGCAAAGGAAAGCTAGACGCGCCTCATCCATCCCACATATATATTCAATCGAAATTCACAACACTCATAGTCGCCCATTAATGTTGGTAATAAATTCAAACATCATTAATTCCTCCAGTGGATAAGATAAAACTGGTAGAATTGAGGAATAAATCGAATTTTTTAATGCCAAACAACGTCACTTTTATCTCATATTTTACATTCCAGTGCAAGGACGAAGGAACTTCTTCCGACGAGTGAAAAAAATACTCTTTAGACAATGGGTATTCAAAAAAAAAAACAATCCTAATTAGAATAAAAAAATGAGGATGCATTTCAACCGAGGGGAAGTATGCAACGTTATAAGCAATAAAATATTACCTTGAGTGATATCTCGAGCTCTTCCTCCCGCATTCTGACCTTACCGTCCTTCTCATAATATCTTATTATACTTTTCCCACCCCGGGAACTTCAAAACACACAGCTATACACATGTACAAAAAAATAAAGATAAACTTGGAATCTCCACCACATACGAATAAGTGAAAAGCGTTGGTTTTTCACTCCAGTCTTCTCCGGAAATCTTTGGCCATTGTTTCAACTTCCTTCAACGCTCTTGAAATAATTTTCAACTACCGATCAATCGATCTTGATTTGGGAAGAAATGAACGGGTGAGTTCGATTGATATGATTTTCGTGGGTCCACGTGCGACCTCGACCGAATGTTGGCTGGAAGCGAACTGGTGCTGTGAACGCCGGCGAAACTCTACGAAAGCACCTGTCATCAAAAACTACCTGGCGATCCCCCGCTGAAGGAAAAGATCGCTCACACCTGTATTTTCTCCAGTCACTAGAGGATCCTGATGCCTAGGGAATTTCGGCCATCAAGTACAATGTTCAGCCTGGGTGTATAAAGTTTATTAGTTTATCAACCATTATCAATTTAAAAATAGATATTTCGGGGACCCACAGAGAGAATAAATAATACTTTGGTTTTCATATATCTTCATTTTTGTTTTTATTTATTATTATCAATGCATAATGATAATTAATAATAATAATAATAATAATAATAATAATAATAATAAAATAGTATAAAAGGAGGCCAACTGACAAAGGAAGTATAAACTCGACGGAAATTTAAAAATAATTATGTATAATGTACGTTCGTCGATGTTTCTTGGACGTTCCTACATTTTTGAAAACACTTGGGCATGTCTTCTCAATCGTTTTTCAATTTATTCCATGATGTCAAGAACGGGAATATCAGACTAACTTGAAATCCTCGAGATTGAATTATCCTTGACACAATTGTTGAGTAAAATAATGAGTTATCAGTTAATCAACAAATTGCGCATTGAGAATGTGATTTTAAGCGATTGATTTAACGCAACTCATAAGTCTATTTCACTTTTCACACGGTGCACTGAAATACATGTTTTTTATCACTCATATCGGCACGTGCATGTCACTGAGAAATATCACTTGGATTGTACAAGTCCCCGTTCTTGAATTGAAAGGAATATAATTCTCCCTAATGTGGTTCGGCTGTTGTCCAGCCTCCACTCGTTTATCAATCGAAAATTGTCTCACTGTATGACACTTTATCATCGTCATCATTAATAACTCTTCAATTGTATACAAAACAACATTGGTGTTGCTCTCTCTCTCTCTCTCTCTCTCTTAATTTTCGTTTTGTTCCTATGTAATTGGGGGGACTGTTTATCCCTTTTACAATTAATATAAAATATTATCATTATTTTCTCAACTTCTATGTATAATACTATTCGCATGTATACTACATGTATACACACATATACATACATAATTATTTATGTATCAATGGTATCTTATGCTTGAAATTGTCGTTTCTATCGAGATGCAATTGCTCCATGCATTTTTCGTTTTATTTTTCGCTTCCTTTATGTCTTGTTGAAAAATTATCTCTGTACAAATACGCGCGCTCCACAAAATTCAAGGAGAAAAAAAATAGGTAAAGGAAATTGTCTGGAATTTATAAAAAAAAAAACCTATATATTTCGTAATTGATGAGTTTTTTAAACGTATCGTAGATTCTCTACTTGTCATATCTTATTTTCTATTCAACAGTGAGTCTCTCGTTTTTATTTTTGCATGAACACTTATAATATTACATTCTTCTTTTTTTTATATCAATTCTATTTGACGAAATGATTGTGAGCAATTAAAAAATGAAATTTAAATGAAAACCGAGGCAAGAGTATTTTCATTTTTCTGTTATTGACCGTCGTCGTGTCTTGCCGTTTGGACGGACCGGTTAAAAATTATATTTAACATAAGGAGAAGATTGCATTGACATTAAACAATTGAATGAAATGATTCGTACGAACGTTTGAATTACTAAAAAATGCAGTTTGAAGTTTTGGATTTATATTCACTGAAATTTCATTTCATTTCTTGGAAGCGATGATATCACCATTAAAATTCCGAGCAATCACCAATGGTTGAAGTGCATCCGGCCGGAGCAACATATGCATCCGTGTTGATCTCATATAGACCGGTTTCAAGAGGCGGTTGGCTATCTCTTCAGGTTTAAATATAAAACACATACACACTGACTTTTCAACGTTAAATTTCCATCTCTTTCGATACTATCCAAGTGCAAGTGATTTTTTCAAATACAAATAATGATGGTATCATTTTCACTTGAAACTTATGGCAGCCAGAATGATCTTTTTTTAAAACCAATAAAATAAACAAAGACGACGTTAGAAAAATAAACGACACTATTTCAACGAATATTTATCGATTTTTTTTCTCCTACTTTGTTGTTTTATATTTTCAAATGCTTTTGTTCAGGGGAGAAAAAAATGTAATTTCAATATGATGGTTTCGAGGTGATGAATAACACTCAGTACGCGGATGCTTCTTTGTATTCAGAGCTCTCCATTGTAAAGAAATCCTCGAGCTTCCATTGGAGAGTCTCGAATGTCGGCCTCTTCATTGGATCCTTGTTCCAACACTCGAGCATTATGTCATAGAGAGCCGTTGGACAACCTGGTGGACACGGCATTCTGTAGCCGTGCTCCACTTGATGCAATACTTCAGCATTTGTCATACCTAGAGAATTTTTAATTATTTTCAATATTCATTCATAGAAAGCCAAATTTTCTTTAAAAAAAAAAACCGAAAAATATTGAGATTATTGATTAAATAGAGAAACTCACCAGGATAAGGAATACGTCCATAGGTGACAAGTTCAGTCAATAGAATACCAAAAGACCATACGTCTGATTTAATACTGAATTTGCTGTAGTTGGCTGCCTCTGGGGCTGTCCATTTAATGGGGAATCGAGCGCCTATTCTAGCTTCATACTCGTCCTCTTTAATCAATCTAGCAAGACCGAAATCAGCAATTTTGACGACATTACCATCAGCAACTAGAACATTACGGGCCGCCAAGTCTCGATGGATATAATTTTGTGATTCTAGGTATGCCATTCCTGCTGCTATTTGAGCGGACATGTCGATCAATTGTTGGAGCTTCAGACCCCGGCCTTTTCCTGTCAATTGTTGTCACAAATAATTGCATTATAATACATGTGTTTGCTACTACTACTGCGTTGTAACAATATATTAATCAACTCTGTGGAATTTGTTTTTATAATCCTTATCTCTCGAGCCACTTTCCCCGGACATGCTAATGATTGTTATCATTTACTATTTTATCGCGGTTTTCGGTTCTCGGTTCTCGTGATGAGTCAAAGTTATCGGGATATTTTTTTCTTTATCTCACGAGGAAAAATAATGATTCAAACTCCACTCAGCTTTGAGAATATAATTCCAATGGTATTTGAAAATTTTCATCAGTCTACGCTACTGCATACCTTGGAGGAATTCCAGCAGACTTCCATTTCTCATCAACTCGGTGATAATGTAGATGGGCTCTTCCATTGTACAAACAGCGTAAAGTTGAATGAGTTTACTGTGCCGTAATTTCTTCATGATTTGTGCCTCAGCGAGGAAATCTTTGGGATCCATTGTACCAGGCTTGAGTGTTTTAATAGCCACTGGCGTTGTGTTGTTCCACAGGCCCTCCCAGACCTCACCAAATTGACCCTGTCCAAGTTTTCTCACAAATTTCAATGATGATCTATCAATCTCCCATTGATCTCGCGTTCTGTGACTGAGGCCTTCCGTCACGGGTTTCTCCACCTGTGAACAGAAGCAAATACGCGCCAGTCAATTCCTGATTGTAATATCATTATTCTATTAAATTGTGCCCAGCATTGTTTGCATTTATCTATATTAAATTTTAACTTTTTCTCACCTTATTATGTATAAACTACATTTAAGAAGCTCCTTAATAAAGTGAATGTAAGCAATAAGAGAAATAATATTCATAGAGAAGAAGAAGAAGAAGAAGAAGAAGAAGAAGATTGTTTACAGCACAATGCAAATCGCAAATAATGCGTGTGAAGACAGAGACACAGTGAGAGATGAGGATTATGTAATAATGATGAATTAATGAAACTTTCTTCATTATTATTCCCAGAATTTTTATTCCTACTCCCACATTCTCCCAGTCCTTCATAATTCCAGAAAATCTTCATACTGTTGTTTAACATTATTAATACTTCAAGGTTTATACAACTAGAAATTGGAAGAGTTGGGTGTAATCTATATAAAGATAGCACTTTTAGCACCATTTTTGTTGATGTTAAAATGAATAAAATACTGTATAAAAATGAATTAATAAAACATCAAGTTCATCAGTCGGTTCAGCAGTCCTTTATGAAAAATATCTCTCGTAAATGTCCATCAGTTTAATGAGTATTTAAAATTTATCAGAAAATATATTAGTTGGATGGATCCTGTGAGTTTCAATATTCTTTGTGTCTCCTCTGATTTTTTATTCGCAGTCTCAATGATTAATAGATAATTTTTTTCTTTTCTTTAAATTTTAAGCAATCTCCGTTCGGAATTTGATAGTCAGGTTGCATTAAAACGAAGACCAAAAAAAATTGTAATCAGATACGTTCCATCGATATTGCATCGTGTGCTTTCTTCAACCAGACTCGATGGATGGCAAACACATAGACGACGAAATAGCTGAAACGTTGATATTGTGGCATACACATTCCCTTGATCTTGTGCCCGGTAATTTTCTTCTAACATTCTATAACTATTTTCAATGTTTTTAAAACATAATGCCATATAAAACAGGCTTGTGCTGTGGTGTTTCGTTGTGAATTATTGTGGACAATTTAATGAATAGATGAAGACAGAGATCAATAAAAATAAGGATTCAGAATAATACAGTTAAGGAGATCAAGTATAAACGAAATGGTTTTTTTTTTGTTTGTTTATGAAAATATTTCATAATTCGGACATTCAATTTACCAAGAAAGTCCAGCGGGAAGTAGGGCAAGCAATAACAGAAAGAAATACAGACTAATCAGAGATCGAACCTCCAAGTATAAATTCCTGATGCAATGCATATTTATTGCCCTGATTGTCAAGGATCTATAATTAGTTGAGCGATGAAAGAATTTCATGCCTCGATCAATTGTAAATCCCTGGCCGTCAGGTTCATACATATAAACCCTAGATACTCATAAAATCCGAATGTCTGTTTGATATATACTGTTGTTTTAAATTCAAATTCTGTATACTGTTGTCTCCAAATGCTCCAGCTTAAAATCCTCGCAATATGCATTTCACTGTATGCACTTTACTTACATTTCATATCGACATGGATAATTTGTCCCACGCACAAAATAAACTTTCACGTGTTATAAAATGAAAACGTTTGCAGATAATCATATTATAAAAACGATTGAGTCAATGTATTTGTATGTTAGGTGGATTCCTCGATAATGCAGACATTCTAGTTAATTTTTATTATTAAATAAATGATGTTGAATTTCTTATTACCTGTACACAAGGCTTGCAGAGATTGACGCATAAGCCATCGGCATCTTTACTGTAGTGCTCAACGAGATCCTGGAGATTTCTGAATGTTGTTCTTCTTGCGATAAAAAATCCACCCTCATCCAACTGGCGAATACGGTAATGTTTAACCGTGTCGCCATCGCGAACTGAAATCCAGTTTAAGCGCATGATCGATCAATTCACATGAATAATTGTCAACAATTTATACGGTAATGAGGATCATGTTGGAAGAGTGAAGAGAGCGGAGGAAAAAAAAAAGAAAATGTAAAATCCATACCGGAAAGCGAATAATCATTGTGTCTGCTCTCTGAGTCACGAATCAAGAAAGCTCCATGATCATTTTCAGGCAGCAACAGTTTCTTCTCAGCCTCAATGCGCTTGATCTTTCTGAAGTACCATCTACGAAGGAAATAACCAATATGGACTGTGTGTGTGTATGTGTATATGTTTTTTTCTTTAACAATATAATAATTAATATATAAAAACAGAGGGAAAGTGACCCTCTTGCAAACCATCAGCCAACCATACCATAATTAACTCGGCATACTAACATATGAAATTAATGCAATAAATAAATCATGAATTGAAACTGAATTGACCCAGTGAACGTGCAATGGAGAAAAGTTTTAGAGGAAAAATGTAAGCTTTGGAGAATAATAATATTGCCATCATGTAAAAAGTGGATAAGTAAGGAATAATTAAAATGAAAATAGAAACGTAGCAGTAGTACTTACGGTTCAGCCTCGATTGATTTCAACTTGGCCACATAATTGCTAGGAATATATCCCTCTTGTCTCGTTCTCTTGCTCTTGGCTAACCACCAGTCGCCCTGTGTGTCATTGAGTATCTCCAGATGCTCACCCTTACGAAAACTCAAATCTTCATCAGTTCTGGCATCATAATCGTAGAGTGCTATGAATACTTTGGCCGTAGGCACATCAGCATCTGGTATCTGTGGCACAGGCCTGATGGGATCAGGCGGTGGTGTTGGTACTGGACTTGCTTGTGAAGCAACAGCCTCAATACTTGGATTACCTATTCTATCAGGCTTCTCTGTTTCGGGATCTGTCGGATTGCTAAAACAGTTACCCATTTTTTTTTCTCTATTTTATCTATTTTCTCGTCTAGGCAAGGAAATTTCACTAGCGACTAGCGGAAAACTCATAAAATCAGTTGTCCGTTTTCAATTTAGCAGTCTTTATATTTATTTTGTTTGCCCCTTTCTCTTGATGGCCCAACAATGGAATTTAACGAAGTTAATTAATTATTATGAGTTTAAAATATTTATTATTCACAGCTGCTGGGCGTATCTCGAACAAATATACGTGGGTGATCTGATTATGTGGCTTTCTTCACGCATCCGACGCGCCTGATGGATTCCCATTAATATCTTATCCATGAGTAAATATGCAGACTCCCATTATATTGAGGCGTGTATCACCTAGGAGTCTTCTTCGGTTTCGTAATTGTTTTTCTCCAGTAAACTCCAAAAATCATCAGGAAGACTCACTCGTATGAATCCAAAAATCATTCTGAATCACCATTTTTTCTCTTTTTTTTTTCGTTTCACGTTTTCACCTCCACATTGGCAGGGATAATTAATAATGTCACCATCTTTCGTTATCTCAAGTTCATAGAGCAAAAATAATTGAGGAGATGAAAATGAGAGAGGAAGAGGCAAAAAAAAATGATGAGTGGCTCACATGCGCCGTCTCGAAAAAGGAATCTTGGAATCAATGGACGTGACTGTCGGTTATGTACAGACACACGACAAATGGAAAGAGATGAGAAGAGAAAGGAGAATGGGAGAGGGAGAGAGAGAGAAACACGCCCAAATCACACATACACACACACACACACAGGCTGTAAGAGCAAGACTCTCTGTTACGAAGCCAACTCCAACTGTCAAGTCAATGAAGGGATATGGTGGAGATGGGGCTGGTGTGTACGTCGCTTTTATGTGTCTGTGTTTGCCGACAAGACAGGGAAAGTCCAAACCCACTTCACTAAGCTCTCGATTAACAACAATTGCAGGCGAATTTCACGTGTAAATTTTATTTGTAGCACAGCACAGTTTTATCATTATTGGGGGGAATAAACAATCACCAATTTTACTGGGGAAAATGTTATTTTTGTTGACATTTTTCAGGCGAATCGACAATATCGGAAAAAGCCTGAGGTGAAAACACCCATAGTGAATGTGGCCAACTGGTGTGTGCTGCCTTGTGCCTTCTACGAGAAGAGACGGACGAGGCGAGGCATCTGCGGCCAGGGGGAGGGGAATATGGCTGGGGAGGAGAGCTACTGCTGGGGATAGGAATTCAACCGCTTGCACGTTCGCACTTGTTCGACGCTGACGATCCATCCGAACTCACCCGAATACACACACATACACCCGACTTATCATGCCTTTGACTACTCGGTTTTACTTATTTATCTCCTTTTCCCCTTTTCCTTCGGCTGGGTTTTTTACACTCCTACTGTACTTTTGGTATTTCTGCAATGATATTTATTGCTCGACTCTTTTATTCTCCCTAAACACTCTTTCGCTCCAAAAAATATGGAACTTTCGTGACGCACGCAAATGTTCGAAGGCTTTTTTCCTTTTTTTTCTCATTCCAGGTTTCTGTGCTCTGTGTGTGAGACTATGAAAAAAAACGGCCGTTTGCCTTTTAACATCACGCAGCTTCCCTTCGAGAAGGATCTCAGGGAGGCCGTCCACTTTTATTCTACTCCTCAAAGGATTCGCACCATTTTTTCGAGGGGAGAAATTAATTGAGCATAAGATTAACACTAATCTTTTTAAATTTTCAAAATGTAAAAGGATTGTCATTCCATCCACATATCTAGTGGTCTGGAAAAAAGTTTAATATATGGTGCATTCTGAATTACTCTGTTCTATTTAGTGATTTCTTTTTTGTTCTGCTTCAGCCGTTATTAACCGCGACGACTATTATTGTAGTCGATGCATCACGCAAGTTTGTCGTTTCGGTTTATACAGCAATAATCATCGCCTCTAATCTACAGCAATGGTAATAGTATTTTTTTTTTACCTTCTCAGCAGACGTATGAAGAAATTACGTATTGACTTGGGCCGCAAGTATTTTGTGTTCATTATGACTGCACATTCGGATACAGTTGAGAATTAGTTGGCTCTATACAGTAATAGTATTTTTATTTTTATTCTACTCCGGACGACTGATGAGTTGTGTATAGCTTCGCGGACGTCCATCCACTGACTGATTACGTTTTAGATTACATGAAAGATTATTCACTCTCAAGTGTAGGCATGGAAGGCTTTTTGTTTGACTGTTAATTCCCAGTTATTAAGAGAGGATCCACTGTGGACTTTGCAATTTTTGGTCTAGTTTTATGTAATCAAACAAATGAATAGCCATTTGAAGAGCGGGGAATGGTGACAAGGGAAAGGGACAATTGTCGTGAGTAAGTGCAAAATATAATGTCACATCCTGTGTTAATGGAGAATGTTTGGGAATTGAAAGAGAAATGATCATTTTGCTTGTCATTTTTTTTCTTTAATATTACAAAGGAACACATCCATTGATAAAATCGAGTCGTTGAAAAATAATAATAATAATAATAATAATAATGTTGTAAATTATATTAGTCGATTGGACTCATCATTTTCGCGCTCACACAGCCACCGAAATTCCGAGAGAAATCATTTATTCTCCTCTTCATGAAAGGAAAAAATTATCTCAACGAGCTCAATAGTAATATTAGGTGAATGATCGGTATGCAAAAGCCGATTTTTCTTTTTTTTTATTTTCCAGTGGCTCGTTATGAATTTCAATTTCTCAACGGTATATCATTGGTTTCCTTTTGAGTTATTGTGTCTTGCTGCCTTCCTCAGTCTCAATTGGCACTTGAAGAATTTTCGGTCCATAAAGAAGAACGTAAGCGCAATGCCAATCACCACCTCCACTGAGTTTTAATATTTCCTCGTCGGTTACGACACTGACAGTCTCGTCGTCACATTTAATCCATGTGTTACCTTTTTGACGCACCCATGCGACATAATGACCGCTGCTGCTTGAACGGCCTCTGTGTGTAAGTACTGCTTGGAGTGTGTAATAACCACTGTTATTCGAGCCCAAATCTATTTATTAAAAATTGAATATTTCATTAGCGTTTGTATTGTTAATTTTCTGATGAAAATGCAAAAAAAGTGGAAAAATATATATAGATACCATCAGCAAACCAGAAAGGTTCCTCCTTCTTCACATTCTCCTCCGATTCATTCTGTCCTTTTCCCTTTTTATCTCTCAAACTTTGTGCCTCTTCCACTTTTTTATCCTCAAGGGCCTTGAATTTCTCACGCATTGGCAGTAATTTAGCTTGGAGTTCTGAAGTGCAAAGATCGTAGGCATCAAATTCCATTGGGAATTTAACATCCTTCAGTATCTTGGCATTTATTGCTCCCTTTTCTTTATAAAAGAAACGGACAAATTGAATAGTGAGGTAAGCTGGCAATCTACTAATTTTCGACTGAAATAATTATTTGAAATTGATTATTATGCAATTGATTATTATGCACTTTATAGGATGATAATTCAAGTAATTTACAGTTTTTGTATAAACAGCGTCCCTTCCAAGTGTCGATGACATTTTCGTAAGCTGCTCTTGCAATTTGTTCCTCAAACCTGAATGCATGTACTTGACATCGGTCGAGATGAAACAGCTCAATTGCAAAAAATCCTCTTTTCCTTTAGTTGGTTCCTCATCCTCAGTCTCAACACATTTTAATTCTGTATCAAAAGTCCCTCCAAAATATTGTTCAATAATAGATCTTGCTTTGGAAGCATTTTCACCGTCATTTGGATTAGCCTGACAACAATGAAAGAGAGAAGAAATTGCATTCAAAGACAATTATGTGCTCTATGACACAATTGAAGTAAATAAAACAGTTTCTACCTCAGCCGGTAATTTCTGCTGCAACATTCTCACAAGTTCAGTCCAGCACTCATTGGCATCCTGCTGTTGAAAACCCCCGTGCTCTGATTTCTCAGCAAATCTTGGAAATGCTAAATGCATCATTTGAACGAGAACAATGGGTCGAAGTGATGCCCCCTTATCCATTCCCTCATAAAGATCCCTGAGGGATGCTGTTATGCTCTGGGCTGGCACTAATGATGGACCAGAACTCCCTCCAACAGTGGCAAGTCCCCCGGGGAAACTTTTCAATGCTTCACGAAGTGGTGCAACTGTTTTGAGACACTGAACGGTGGCATTTAGATAACAAGTATTGCCAAGATTCGTTAAACCCGCGGGCAACTCCAATGCAGTTGCTATCTCTGCCTCATTCATATCCTCAACGAATATGGGCTTCTCGATTGGCTCAACTGGCATGTCTTCCTCCTTTGAACCCATCATCAATACTGTTACCCCCTGCAAGTTAAATTTCAAAATATTCACTCTTTCTATATATCCTCTAGAGGAAAAACTACTTACATCTTTCAATTTTATATTTCCCCAATCGTCATCTTTCAGTGTCATTCCCTTTAGCATAACTTTTTGCCTCTCAGGTTGCACTCCAGTCAGTGCAAATAATTGAGCTTTGAACAACATTGGCTCCTCATCGGTATTCACCTCGACATTTGGAAACATCTCCTTTCCCCATTTGACTTTAACTGAATTTAGTTTACAATAGTGTTTAATAAATAGTAGAGTTTTAGGTTACAATTGCTTCAAAGTGTAAATCTCAGTAATTACCTGTGTATTGGGGCATTTTACTTTCGTTACTCCACTCGAATGAAACTATTACTTAGAAATTGTTGGAAAACTTGACCGGCTTGACTAATGCAAGTCAATTATTATAATTTTTTTTTGTTTTTTCACTATATTCCCATACAGTTTGAATTGTATGTATTAAATTGACTAAGTCATGTTACACACATTCACAGCATTTACACACAGTGCTCATACTATTTTTTGAGAGAGACACGACACGTGAATGCCCCACAGCGGAGTTTCAGAGAATTAAGAAGAATGTCACGTGGTTGCAGCGGATGCAATGTTTAAAAAATACTGTATTGATTCGTATCATTCCATTTTCATGTCATTTTTATTCGTTTATCGGTAGTCATTTTACAATTAAAATGAGGGGAATTAGAAAATTTAAAAAATTTAGTACTATTGTATTACACATTTTTTATTAGTTATTCTCTAATAAAAATTATTATACAGATAATGACTCTGTGAAATATGGAACTTAGGACCAGCCTAATACAATACAGATATTCCACTATCGACGAGCGAAACAAAATTAAATTGATAATTTCATGAATCATAAATATTACTCTACACGCACTTCATTTACGCAATAACGTTTTTCTATTCTCTTTGTTTATTATTATTATTAGTTAAATGCACGTTGGTACTTTTTTCATGAGAATAATTATTAGACTTAACAATCCATATAGTGACTTTTTAAGACATAATTATAATTAAGCCCAAACACGTAGGGTAGTATCCCAACTACCGGTGGAAAGGGCAGTACCATCCGGTGATACTCGTAAACATGAAACACGGTTTTCGTGTCCATAGAGAAGAGCGACACGCTGGCATTTCAATGTATCCCAAATGTTGACAGTGTAATCATTGTATCCAGCGAATAACAAACGCCCACTGACACTCAGATCAACGGAATTTGCACCGAATATAATACTCTCTTTGGCATAAACTGCTACCTCTTTGTCAGCTCGTAGATCAAATAGGCGGCAAGTTGCATCGTCTGAACCTGTTGCAACAGCATCGCCACTTGGATGGAATCTCACCTTGAGGGATTAATATAAAAACCACATGTGTATAATATAAATACACAGGTGTATAAATAATCATAATAATTCTCATCGACTTACAGAATTAACATCGGAATCGTGTCCCTCAAAACTCTGCACACACTGTCCACTCCTCATATCCCAAATGAGAATCATTTTGTCACAGCTTCCCGAGACAAATGTATTGCCAGTTTCACTCGGTGCCAAATCAATGGACATGACATCGCCAGAGTGGCCATGAAAATTTTGTAGCAATTGTCCACTCTCTACATCCCACAGTGCACAAGTACTGTCTCCACTGCCAGTCAAAATTTGTTGATCACTGTTGGGAAATGCACAGCACGACATGTAAGATGTGTGAGTACCGACTGTTTTTTTTCTCGTTGTAACATCGTCCTCGAGACTCAGTGGATAGACAGTGACTTTGTTGTCAAGACCACCGCATGCCACGAGAGCTCCAGTGGGTGCGTATGCACACGCCATTACCCAAGTTGTGGGCATTGTAACAGCGTGCTCTTTATTCGTTGTAAATGCATCCCAAATTATCATTTTGCCATCTTGAGAGGATGAAACTATGTGGCGCTTGTCCGGTGACCAATCGGAGCATAAAACTTTTGCTTGATGTCCCTTCAACACCCTTCGTGGCTTTACGTTTATACAATTGATTGCTTGGAGTCTGTCTGCTACTTCAGACACTGAAATCACAATATTTTAACAGGCATTTCATACTGTAGTACATCATTCCATTCAGAAAAGATGAAAATTAATCTCACGTGTAACATCGTTAAGCTTTTTCCTCTCATCATCGAGACGAACTTTTAAACTCTCTGCTTCCTTCTCCAGCTTCTCAATCTGCTCTCCCTCGGTAGCCGCATCCATATTTTTTTTTTGTTTACTTATTTAAGAGTCTTTTTATAATATGTCAATGAATGAAAAAATAAGGAAACAAATGTATTTATTTATTTAGTTTTACTACGGCAGAGAGGTCACTCTTCCTGTGCATAACAATTATAATCAATACGCATCGATATAACTGACATTTCGTTCACAGAAAGACAATTAACTAAAGTTTAACATTGTTGTTATCCCTCACCTTAGATTGCCTACAAATCTTCCCACATTCTTCTTTATATTTGCAACATCATGATTGTTGTGTCACAATCGAGGGAAATATGAAAATAGTATATGTAAAGGGTCACAACTGATGAGAAACACTCGCGTTGCAACGTCGCGACGCGCAGCGTCTCTCAGCGCATCGGCGCGGGCGCGCGCGCCTGCCTCTGTCAACTGCTTTCAACTGAATGTTGTTACCCACACAGGCTCTCTCACGCCCTATCGATAACGAGCCACTTCCTGTCCCCCCTGAATTTAATAAAACAAACCTACGATTGTTGAAAATTAATTCCTCCAATCAATCTCGTGTACACAATATTACAGACTGGAGAGAATTAAATAGTCAAATGCCAAACATCTTTTTATAATGTGATTTATTATGAAGCCTTTCTCTATGTACAAACTAATAATAACAAATATAATTATATCCTGATAAAACATTTTACAGCGTTTTCATTGAAGACTGTATGAAGAACAAAATAAAATAATTATGGAAAATCACGAGAATGAATTTTCCCTGTTCATTACGAGATATATTTCATCATTCATGTTTAATAAAGGAAAATGGAAAGCCAATTATGAGATCAAAAACAACATATAATATTTAACATATAATTTTGAAAATACCTATCATCCTAAATATAGGAAGAGAAGAAAAAAAAATTACAGTGTCTGAAATTGCATTTTAGAATAGCGTACAGTGTCACCACATGTCGTACACGAAGTAACCCATAATGTTTAAAGTTATTCAGTGATTAATTCACATTCATCAATCAAGAGTAGTGTTGCAGGCAAAATATTTTTCTTGCTCTTCATATTTTTCACAACAATTCCATGTTTCACCCTAATTTTCATTTATCCTAGTAGAAATGAAAAAAAAAATCAATTGGTCACAAGACGCACGAAGGAGAGCACCTATTCCCCTTCATCAATTCAACTAAATAAATCCAGCAACGGTACAACAATAATTCGAGCCAATCAAGTTGATTTTGCATAATGCTAATGGCCTCGTGGCGCTACATGGATTGAGAAAAAAAAAAGAAAAAAATTGTTGAATAGTATAAAGCGGTATCGGTCAAGATGAATTCAACTTTTACTGATTTTGTGTTCGTCGTTCCCCGATAATATGCTCCAGTTTTCTCGCTAGGTATGGGACTGTCGCAATTTTCTTTGTCGGGGAGCTATTCTCAGTGGGCTGTTGGTCCACATCCATATCGTCTGAGAGCAGTCGTTTTCCAACGGGTTTTCTTGAATCAACGGAAATCATCATCCTATTGATAGCCTCCAAAGCCTATAGAGAAGGATAATAAATCACAATTAGCCAAAAAGAGGATGAAACAAAATAATAATAATAATGAAACCGACCTTTGCTGGACTGCGACTGAAGCAGTAGCTGAGTGGAGGTGCTACAGAAGCCACTGATGCAGTGACGGCTTTTGGATCAAGAGTTCGTGTGACAACACTAGGAGTGACACGTCTCACAGGTGAATTCATCGAGGGCTTGCTCATGGGCAATGGACTCAATGGAAGTGTAGAATTGTTTCCACGCGATAGAATAGCAAATTCCTTGACCTTGGGTACATAGACAGCATTGTAGAATTTAATTAAATCACCCCGTATTTCATCGCCAAATGTTTGAGATGTGCCAGCCATATTGGAGGGTGTTGGTGGTGCATTGCTACTTTGATTCTCAACAGTAGAATCAACATTACCATTTACGCTCTGGGGCTCATTATCAATGATATTTCTGTCATTTGTATTGGCTTTGGATATCAAAACCGATCTGTATATGTGAGACTCTGCTTGTGGCTGAAATCTGTAGCATCTCATGATTTCGGTGAAGGTATTTCTCTCAATTTGAGCTAATTTACAAACAACATAAACAGCGCACATGAGAATTTGATCAAGATGTCTGTCTTTCATGAGTTCAGTGCGCTCTTTGATGGAATATTCAAAAATGGTCCAAATTTTTTTCTTCAGATCAACATCATTCACCGCCAATGAGTTGCACAGATTCTGCATGCGAATTGATGCCAGATTGTAAAATTTACGAAAGAAGAGGGCAACAGAACCAGTCTTTCGGGGTTTACAAGAGTCACGAGTTAGTGAATTTTCTCCTCTAATTGCATTAGACTGATCTGATTGTGAAACTGCCAAGTAGACTCTTGAACTGCCATCAATCATCACTTTATGTGGTATTTTATCTTTGAGAAGGCTCTGACCACTGACTCGACCGCTATTATCATTGAACAGACGCTTTTTAACCACACCCGATGCTGTAACAGGCGACTGAAATCTCTCTGATGCTGTTGATATTGGACTTTGATGTACATCATGATGAGTTGTACCTCTGTCCAAAGCAAATCTTCGAAGTGCTGGCTGTCCTGGTGTATTTGGATCGACTGAATCTAAAATACCAGGTAGAGAGACCTCTTCACAACTTGGAACACCACCAGGAGTATTTTCAATTGCTTGCCAGAGAGGACTGTTGGATTTCCATGCCTGGGACTCAAGTATCTTCTCTTCGATGTCATTCAAGTGTTTGACAACGTCTCTGGCTAGCTGTTCGGCACGAACGATTATCTCTATCACTTTATAGAAATTGTAGGGCTCAACCTTGAGAGCATTTAGAATCCAAGGAAAAGTTCGATCTTTATTCTTGTACGACCAAATGACAATTTCCAAACAGCATGCAAAGAGACATTGAAGAAACACCTCATTGGTCAATAGATTTGTAATGTCATAATCAGGCTTAATCCTCTTTTCATCAGTCAAAATCATCTCCAGTACCTTATAAAATAAGGTCTGGGCGAGAATCAGTCTCTTTTTACCAAAATCAAGATTCAATGTATCAGCATCGTCGGAATTCTGGCTGTATGTAGCACAGAAACGTTCTCCAATTTCTTTCACTTTATTCTCAACGAGACTGCTAACGTCTGTTGCACAACTTTTCAACATATCGAGTAGAACCTCACTTGGAGCTGGTTGACGTCCAGCCAAAAGTGCCTGAAGACGAATTACACTTTGAGTTGCTGTTGCTACCGGTGTTACACTTGTCATGTCCTTTGTCCTCAGGTATTTTCGACCAGTTAGAGGGGTTGGTGGTGTCAGATCTCTTATTTGCTCTCGTTTCATTTGACATTGCTCATGAAGATCAGTTACATTCAACATTTTAGCAGGAGAGCCAATGTTTTCACTGGCATTGGGCCCTATAAATCAACATTTTCATCAGAAAATGTAGAAAAATGGTTAAATTTTATAAATGAAAAAATATATATGCTGTAGAAGATGAAGATGATAATTGCAAATTTTCCCATTATCGATTTTTTTTTTTTTCATTTTTTTTTCACTTTTTGTGAAAACCCACCTCTGATTGCCAAATGTCTCGGAATTTTCGCCCGAGTGGCAATGTCCTCGCCAACAATTTCCATACCCAACAATCCGATATGTTTCACTCTCCTCCACTCGGCTGTGTTATTATACATCCATCAAAAGCAAACAAACACAAGTTTGGGATTAAAATAAAAATGGAAATGTTAAAATCAAATAGAATAAGAGAGAAGAATATTTGTTCAAGATTCAGGATTAATAATTGGGAAACATGCCTTTGGGGAAATTGATTTGCTGAGAATTTGCCTTGTTATCAAATACTCTAACCCCAGAGAGAAAAAAAAACGGCTCCCGATAAAACAAAAGAATGGTGAATGAATTTTTTGTTTTTTCTTTCAACATACCTAAAAATATTCTCTCATCGAAATCTCCAACGTTGAGTACATGTTGCTCATAAGCTCTATTGATGGCCTTGTTGTTGCCATCAAAATTGAGAGCCTCTAGGATGCCCGAAAAATTGGACTGTTCTCCGCGAAGAATTCGTTCATTAAAGAGCTTGTTCAAGTGATTTCTCAGGGTATATTCTTTAATGACCTTGGCCTCGACTCCAATAGCTTCATGACGCTCACACAAGAGATGTACAATGCAATTTGCAGTTTTGGGAGGAAGAGAATTATCATCAGTGAAGTTAGATGGTAAGCCTGGAATGTAAACAGTTGGTTGAATTGGCATACAATGCATGAATGATTTACAATATTTCCATACATCTTCTTACCTGGAAAATTGGGATTCAACAAGTCTTTTCTATTAGCAAGCAATGCATTGCTATAGACCAGATCACAGCATACTAATAACAAATGATAGGAATTAACAAGATCATCAGAAATATCTGGAAATGCTCCTTTGACGTAGATAAACAGTGTCCAACAGAATTCAAAGGCTCTGGATGGTGTGCATGGTACTGCCTTGTGTCTGCGTGGTCTTGGAGGCTTTGAACTGTCCTCACTTGGATTTTTAAATATATCAGTAAAGATTGGCTGATATTTTTTGAAAATCACCATTGAAACATTAAAATTTCGTTCAATTTTATCGATCTTTGAACGAAAACTCTGCGGCATATTTGCCATGTCTGCCCATGATTTGCATTTATTGAAAAACTGGATGAGAGATAAATTGCAGAGTCGAAGAAGCTGTGTTAGGGATACACAATTACCCTCGACGTTGGAGCCTGGTTTTCCTACAGTGGGAGTCGAGGACTCACGACAGGCCACGTATAAGGCGCAGCCAATCCAATGCAATTGGTCACCCTATTGCCATGGTCAAATATACATTAATTCATTACAAAATCTCAATAAATATTAAAAGGTTTGCTATTTATTATATATAATGTGTAAAAAAGTTAAATTTTCATGTTTCAAAGTGAGTTGAAAGACTTGTTATTATTGAGATGATGAAAAAAATGATGATGATCATGTACACACAGCACCTCTACATGACACTTATACAAAGTTGGATGTAAATGGGGTTGCAAGCGAGCATTAACCACAAATTGTTGTGTAACTAGTGAAAATTATGAAATTAATATTAAACATACGAGAGCCATGAAAAATATTTCCTCTTTAACTGCGCAACAATCATGTGATTAATGCAATGTCAAAAATAAATACCTCGAGTGTGTAATTTTGACGAATAGTTGAGTAAGATTTCCAAGCTTCCGATGCAGCCGTTGCATCCATATTAAGTTTTTGGCACAAATCTTGATGTCTACTGTAAGTAGAGTCTTCAATATCGTCCGATTGACCCATTTTTTTATCCAAAATTGATACTTTCACTTGATTTAAATGTAAACAAAACAACCAAAATACTGTAGTGGTGAATGACTACAAACAGAGTGAATGATGAACTGTGAAATAAGCAGGCACGCTGGTTCCTGCGCGCCATGGGACAATCCCTCTCCTCCATCCACTTGGCGGGAAACACTCAATCACGGCCATATTTGCCATATTGGCGGGAAAATAATGCAACTTATTCTTTTCCATTGAGAGAGACCAAAGAATAATAAAATAAATGTGACAATTTATATGCCTTTTTTTTACTAATTGATGGAACTAATTAAACACTTGTATAGGTTGCAATATTAGTCACGAGACTCAATGTTTTCAGGTACTACTTTGTCCTGCGTATCAGCATACTTTGATTGCGTGGTGCGCATCAATATCCATTCGCGCCCTCTCCTCCTCCAGCCCCTTCACTACGCAACTGTTCCTGCTACAATGTTTCACCCATTGTTATCAGCCAACGATTGTTTTCCAACATAGTATTTTCTTCATATGATTCTTCAAAATAAACTCTCCAACTTTCCTATTTGTCTTCATTTATAATAATAATAATAATAATAATAATAATAATAATAATAATCAGCATATTTTTTTCATCATTTTATAATCGAATGGTGGCGCCACAATGTAAATTATAGAGAGGTCTTGGATACAAGTGGAAATTACATAGAGAGGGGGTACCCACCGAAGAAAAACCTTATATTGGGAAAGTATATACTTTAACCTGAAAATTCAACTCCTTATATTTTTCTTTTTAAAAGTATAATAATAAATAGACAGCAATGTTGCAATTGAATAAAGTCTCATTGACGTACAGTTATTGTCGATACTTCATGATAACTAGTAGTATAAGAAATAAAAATTATTTTGCTAGGCAAGGAAAATTTATAAAAAAACTCATGCGTGAAGATGCTCCAAAAAAGTGAGTATTTTGAAAAGAACATTAAAATTAAAATAGCATGGCTTAACGGATAAATTGTTGTTTACTTTAGAAAGTGGCACATGACGAAACCAGGAAGAGTGCAACAATCATTCAGCGGCGATAGTATTAAAGTCATTAGTCCCCATGTGACGCGACGTTTGAACGTTTTGAATAAATTGTTCATGACGCACATCACAGATTTAATGACAACTGGAGAAGTGTCGGGACAAATTGTCGGTCGAGGTATCGAAATATCTCGTGTCAAATTGGCCAATGATTTTCATGTTGTTAGAGTTTACTGGTTCTGCAATGATGACGATACTGATCGGTTAGAAGAAACTACTCGGCATCTGGAGCAGATTGCTTTCAGATTGAGACATGAGTTGTCACAATTAAAAGTCATTGGTGTTGTGCCACAGATACTATTCGTTAAAGATAAAGCTGTAGCTGCAAATTTGGAACTCCAGAAGAGAATAGCAGAAGCTGATTATGGAGAAGATCACGTTCCAATTGTGAACATTTCCCCGCCAAAACCCCAATTAACTTTATACACACCATTGCCGGAGGATGTCAGGAAAAAGATTTTAGAGTATTCAGAGGAAGATAAAGAGGAGGCAGAAGATGATGCGTTTTATGCTGTAGATCTGCCTCCAATGAAACATGATGTACTTGGTTTGAATCATTGGAAAATAATGTTCCGGGTAATTTTAATTGCACTCACTCAACTTCAACTTTTGTAACGTTCCAATCAGGTTTATAACTATCAAATGAATTACAGGTAAAAATGTCTCTGAATAAACTACGCGCCGTTGAAGCTTCAAAGAAACAGTGGTCACCTCTCGATTGCCAACAACCCTTTAATCCTGAGAGCATGAAAATACATCAGAATACTACTAGTGAAGAGATGAAAGCATTCGATGATTTCTTATTGAAAAGAAAAATCGATGAGAAACGTAGGGACCGGTGGGAATTGAGAGATTGGAATAACATCATGTTGGAAAATGACAAAGAAACAGACGAGGACAACGAGAGCTACGACGACTTTGAAGAGGAACATTATGCTGAAATGTTTGATGGTACTGATGATCCTCAGGAAACTCTGCAATGAAACCTTTCTCATACGTAGATGAGAAGCTGTAAATACCCTATTGATACTGCAGTAATAATAATCTAATTTTTCTTTATTATCATAAAGATCATCACAGTTTCATTATGGTAACAATATAATTTCACAATATTCTAGTCTCCATGATCTACACGTTGAATTGAACTGATTGAATAATTTTTTTTCCTTTAAAAAAAAAACAGACGCATAGAAAATACTTATTTCACCAGGAAATGAAAGAATAATCTTTGACATATTCTTACTCTGTTGATGAATTTTTTCAACTGTACTGAGCTCAAAAGTTGTGAAAAAAAAAAAACTCAGTAGGGTCTTTTAATTGGCTAGAAAGATGTAATTACTCTATATTCAACTAGTTTTCGGTCGTGATGTTTCCGATTGAGGCTCCACAATTGGGGGGGACTGTGGTGCAACAGGCTCTTTGTCATCGTCGCCTTCCTCCTCTGACTTTGAGTCATTTCCATCGATGGGTAATGCTGGCAAACGTCGAGGAATAATGTTGGTTGAGTGTCGAGCATCCTCGGCTGACAATTTCGATATACCATCGCTCAAGGTACAAGCTTCACGCACGTGCTTGTTGAAGATTTCACTCTTGTCTGCATAAACATGGTGGCCAGCACCACTTATTACCTGTTGAAATATTTTTTCCTCTATAAATAGGGAATGAATCTCCATTTCTTCGTTGAAAGTTGATGACACAAACGACCAATGTCAATGATAAAATATTTCATTAAAAAAAAGTATATTTCTCACTTGAATATTAACGTAAGAATTGACACGCTTTTGTTTGATAATTTCTCCGGCCGAATTATCCACCCACGAACGACTGCCATAAATCAATGTTATAGGGACCTCTTCGTGCATCTGATCGATTCTCTTGATAATTGGATTTTTGGCCCATCCAAAGCCCTGCATCATTGCATGAAATGCACTCTCTCCTCTGATGCAAAATAATAAATTTATGAAAAATCATTGACAATTATTAATTAAATAGTCTGCATACTTACGAAGGTGTTTGCGTATTGCACTGATGAATATATTGGAAAATTACGTTGGCATCTTCTTTCAGAACAGGGCTAAATTTTTTAACAATATCCGGTCGCGTTGTTTCAATGAGCCTCTGGCCTAGAAAATTAATTTGGAGTAATAATTAATAAAGAATAGTAATAGTGAGTGGCAGGAGACTCACCGAAAGGACCTGCTACTCTAACTGCCCATAGAGGATTGAGAGGCTGGATCATATATGCGATTGCTTTTACCCAAAATGGTACTTGATATCTCGCATGAGCATCCGCTGGTTTCTCCGGAAAACCCCAGGGATCAGCTAATATGAGATGTTTAACTCTGTCGGGATAATGTATAGCATAGGAGGCCGCTAAAAAACCACCCATTGAGTGTCCTAATAGAACAAATTTTTCTAGTTGCATCTCTCTTCGCCATTCTTCAACGGAACGAACCAGCTGTGTCTCGGCTTCATGTGCCTCATTGCTGAAGTTTGGTCGGCTGCTTCTCCCAAATCCTGCAATTGATTTTCATTCTCAATGCCATCGGTATGCGTCATGCATCATCTTGAAATGAGTAATCCAACGCGTGGACCTATGCTCTTATGCATTTATCTTCCATGACAAAGCTCTTTTCTTCGTTGAAGATAATACCTATCTAGTGATGAGATGACTGTGATAAAATTTACTAATCTTTTTCATTCATTCCTTCATTTAGGTATAGTGGATGTAAATCATTGTTTTACTGCCGCCAATTATTAATGGTCTCAATAATGCCACATTGACATACAATTGAAAAAGCTTGGGACAATTATTTCTCATTGCTCTTCCCATTATATATCTGTTATTATTATACCTAATAGATCCATAGCATACACTGGTCGCTCGGTTGATAAGCTATCGAGATTGAGACACCAAAGTGCAACTCCAGCACCCAAACCATGTAGAAGGACAATTGGTGTATTTGGTGCATCTTCGTTCAATGCTATTGTCCATATTTTATCAGCCGTACCCACGCACGGCCCAATATCGACATACCAGCCTCGATAAGCACTTTTTAAACCTTAAAAAAGAGGTAACTCTTTCAACTTATCAATCATTTTTTCGACCTTAATTATTATCACAAGAAATACTGAACTATGCCGTTTTACAGCTGTTCATTCATCAATCGTGAGAACAAAGAAAATTGACTTGATGGCATTATTTTTCATTGCAATGACTATAACCATTCGAGAGATATTAACTCACACGAGAGGATTTTTTTTTCGGCTGCTCTCAGCATCGTTGCGGAGGAGCCTGACCAACTGAACCAGTTCCAAATCCAACTGAAAGTTTAACATGAAAGTAGAAAAAGAAAAAAAAAACTCGTCAAGAGAAATAGTTCGAGTACAATGAGCAGTTGTTTATACCTCGAGGCTGTTAATAGTCTCCGGACGAGACTAGTTATATAGACGAGTGAGCGGGAAAAAAATAGAAATAAGATATTATTTCTTATTCGGGCTGATACTTGTCATCAATTACCACTAATCCTATAACCTTGAATTTGATATTTTATAGTAAATAATCAATTGATCAATTGATCTTGATTGATGAGAGTTGACTACTATACAGAGATAGAATCTTTCAACTTTTTTATTACTACTACTATTTTTTCGCCATTTCATCTTAACCTCTTCTTCATAAAAACGAATGCAGCCGTTTTTATTTCCGAAAATTACGTAATACTGGCATTGTCACTGTCAATGCCTATAAATAGTACAATGGTGGTATAAACAAGTCAGAGATTGCATTCTGTGATGAATATTCATAGAAAGGGATATTTTGAAAATGAAAAATTATGTAGATACCACCTTACCTTTGAGTATTAGCTTCCACCAATTCATTATTTGCCATGAGTTATTCCAGTCAAGAATATTGAAAATTTCAAGGGCTGTTGTTACAGAAGCTTTTATGGGAAAAAAAGACAAACGTCGTTGCAACACGATATTGAGGCACAAAACGTCAACACTGATGCATGTCGTCTCTTTGTTTTCTAAGCTCACTGAGCACCACCGAGCACTAATAGTAATGTGTTGAACGTCGCAATGAATTTATTCCCACCAAGAGTGGGGCAAAACCAATGTACAGAACAGAGATATGTGTACAACACATGCAGTACACAGTATTATATCCAGCGTGGTGGATGACATGGAATGTATCGGAGAGGGAGAATCAGCTGATCGGAGTTGGATGGGGGCATAGCACGCTTGACAGTTGACATTCACTTTGGGGTTATACACGAGATGATGATAGATTCAAGATTCAAGGCTAGATACACAAGTAGTAGTATGCACATTTCCGCATTTTTCCAGTCTGCTGTGTTTTTTTTTCTCAGATAATTTCAAAGGGCTGTCATTGTATCGGGTTCTTAATTTTTTTTTTCAACATGTTTCCATGAGATTTGTCCCTATTATTTCATTTGATGAATTTTTCCAAAATCAAAGAGGCCTGTGTTTTTAAGACTGCAATTGTTGATATCTACATCAATCCCATTTGAAAGGTGGCGGCAAGGCGTATGCATATACGGGGCGTTGACCATCAATTAATCTGGTTCTACTTTCACTCTGCTCAATTGCATCCGATTAATCTTCATTGTAGCATTTTAAAGTGATAATAACTTGTCAAAAGAGCAGATTGGTTGTTTGCAAAAAAAAATGAATTTCTTATAATTTCCCGTCTATGTGGATGAGTAATGTTTTATAAAATATACATGGGTTTGTCGGTCTATTTTCTCGGAAAGCAGGGGGATGGTGATGGGCGGCTCGGCTCCCCAGTGAGAGAATAATTGGGGAGGGGTATCCGGTGGTGGTGGTGGTGGTGGTGGTGTGGTGTGTAACGAATACATCCGGAAATGTCCGAAGTAGATATCATTTGTTTCGAACAATCTCGATTTCATCCGAATTTTTCCGACGCTTGAAGGGATTCACCATGCCCATGCCCAGCAAGCTAGCTCGTTTGTACTCTCCGTCTCCATGTTGGACTCATCCTCTATCTGTCACAAACACAAATGGTGGGGGTAAGGGTACTGCGGTTGCTTGGCAACCGGCAACACTGCGGCTTGCGACGCCGTCGCGAAGCCCAGCGAAAACCAACGCATATAATAGACCCGGCCGGTGGCGAAATTTTTCATCGGGCTGCATCGGGCTCAACTGAAAGAGCAGGCGAGTAGACGAGCAGACGAGCAGACGAGCAGGCTTACTAACCATAAGGACGTTCAGAACAGTTCAGAACCAAGTGGTCTCCCGTCTGGTACAGACGTCTCTTCTTGTTGAAAACCAACAAACGCACACACAGTTGATACAATTACGTTCGTTAATCGTATTATATTCCCTTGATTGAATTTTTCATTCTGTTGAAGAAAAGAAAGAGAAAGGAAAAAAGCAAAAAGAATAAGAATAGGCAAGAGTGTTGATAGTTTCTTCTTGTTAAGATAATAATTCATTTGATATAAATTTGCCAAAAAAGAAGGGAAAATAAAAACCGGTTGGTTTTTCGGAGCAGTGAAGAAGGAAGAAAGAGATATAGAGCGTGTGCAGCGGTAGCGTCGTCGGATTTAGTACCTCAAAACTACAGTAGAAAGAAAGAAAGAAAGAAGGAAGGAAGGAAGGAAAGGGAGTGAGGAATCGTCGCATAAAACGAAAAGAATACAGAAAGCGTGACGCCTCCGGGAAATTGTTAATTATTATATTGCAAAGAGCCCAAGAGTATTATATTTGAGGTATATATAATAATAACTGTATCAAACAGAGAAAAGGGATACTAAAGTAAAATGGCGGAAGAGAAGACTGAAACTAGCCCAACAGTTGAGGGTGACAAAAAGCCTCAGGAGCCGACCACTCCCACTAAAATTGAAGAGAATGAAAATGCTAAGGACAATAAGGAAGTTGAGGATAAGAAGATTGAGGAGAATGACGAGGAGAAACCCAAGGAGAACGGCGAAGAGAAACAAACCACCGAGACGAAGGACATGCGTGCCATCGTTCTCAACGGTTTTGGTGGGCTGAAAAGTGTCAAGGCCCTTAAGAAACCGGAGCCAAGCATTGCCGAGGGTGAAGTACTCATCAGAGTCAAAGCATGGTGAGTTTTATCATTATAGTTCAGTCCATTATACACATTGTCTCATTTCCTCTTTTACGCGGTTGATCATTTGGAATATTAGCAAATTCATTTCATTTTCAACTTTTTTTTTCTCTTTTATTTCACTCCTTCATTGTCGATCATCAACCGGGACATTCAATTGTCGTTTCCGCTTTGTCTCTGTTCGATTATTATGTGACAAAGACACGTAACGTTGAATAGCAGATTATTTCGAATGTTGAATAAATAATTGCTCGCGAATAAAAGGACCGTCCTCTTTATTCTAGGCAACAATTTTTTCTCAACGTTGAACGTTTATTGGTATTATAGAATGATGACGATAATTTCCAGAAGAAATGAGTAAAAGTGCTCTGGAATGTTAGATTTTTGATAAATTGAAAAAATCATTTTGAAAACTCTCTCCTTTTATTTTTATTAGTCTTCAGTTAATTAATATGCCAATCATCATATCGAGCTCGGGCTTGACCTTCATTTATCATTAGAAAATTTATAGCTGTGTGTGATAAACTCTTCCTGTAAAAGGATATGATGCAGGCAAATGTGAAATTGTTCATTTGTCGTTGTAACTTTTTAAGCACGAGACGAATGTATTAAGGAGCTCGTTAAAAAGACTGATGGATTTAAGCACATCAGTACAATAGTGGCTCTGATGAGAGACGTACAAGGGACCCCTCCCCCCACCCCGAATGTCTGTGAAACGTTTTTATTTTCTGGTATGCATGCTCACCCTTTTTTTCCTCCTATCCATCAACGAATGAATGAGTCCATAGTAATGTTCAGAGGAATTTCTTCCATAAATAAGCTATGGTTATCTTAATTGCGCAATAATCTTATCCTGGGCGTTTCAAATGGAGTCTCATTTCCGTTTTATCATTAGTCATATGCATTGATGTACTGAAAATGCACTCGATTGATTTTTCACCAATTAATTTATTATTTTCTATTTCCACAATTGGTCTGATGATTTTATACTACATACGTATATCTTGTTGAATTGTCCTATCAACAGAGTCATATTGATGCATAATCCGATTATTGAATTCAAATATGTTAAGGCCTTGTCGATGAATTCCTCAAGTAATGTAAACAACTCATGGAATACTTGGAGCAAAGAAGAAGAAAATAGAATTTATCAAAATTGATTGGAAGAATGAAAACATGAAAAATACTCCATCAATTTAATTTGCATACATATAAGGATTTTACGGGTCTTGGAGTTTATCGTCGTTAGATTGTGTACGGCCAATGTTTCAATAAAAATCAATACATTAAAAGAAAAAAGTTTCGATTGATTGGGGTTTTTCAGCAGCTGTCAACAGGTTTGGCCTTACAAGCGCGTAGACTTATTATTTGCGCACAATTCTTTTCTCATTATCATCCCGTATCATTCCAGCTGATTAAAGCCTTATTGAGTATTTCAGTGGCGTTTAACACTCTGACGACGCACATTGTCTGTATTTTATTTATCTATCAATGCTCACCTTGGTCAATTTAGGAGGAAAAAAAAATTATTTCAAATTCAGTATTCTCTTCATTTCTCTCTGTATTTAAAAAAAAATGAATAATGCTCAGACAATGTCACGCTCATTGGTGAAAAAAAGGCGCCATTTCCCTTTCTATTTTCAATTTAACGCTCCCTATAATACTCTAAACGTCTATTTATTCTATTTATTCATAATCAAGATCGCCATCCATCCAACACGCAAGAGCGCTTCATCGTCATCGGATGTAGAATAGGAAGTAATGCAATAAGTCAGAACTAATCAATAGCTCTCATTGGAGTATAAATTTAAATCTAAACCTGCTGCTTTCTAAGCAATGTTTTTTTTTTGCGGCTCGACAATTTTAAAAGTCAACATTTCTTAATTTGCACAAAAACAATTGCGCACAAGAGGTGAAAAAAATGGGTGGAAGAGAGATTCGATACATATATGAGAAGCAGCACTAGGTACCGTTGCCGATAGATCTTATAAGGTGTTGGTATTGATCGGACCACACCCCAGTTGCGCGCCCTCATGCGTGCGGTTCCTTTTCCTCTAACCCAGAGACGCACGTGGTGGGAGATGATTTTAAAGGGGAATTTATGAATCATAGGAACATCTTAGTTATTCACGCCTATATTTAATTTTTTTTTTAATATGATATGAATAATCGTGTATTTTTCCCACTGTATAATTGCTGGAGAAGTGAAATTTTGAATTGATCAATGAAATTTTTAGTAAAAAAAATGCGAATACATCGGGTGGATAGATTTCTCCAACATCTCCAACTTGTCCATTTTGCACCCTTTTGCGTTTTGTACTGACGAGGAGGGAGTCTCTATTGATTTCCTCACAAGTTTCATACATCGTCGCTTATGTATAATATAATGACATAGTAGACCGACCGACAGGGGAACAGAGTTCCTGGAAAAAGGCACATATGGTCGCATATGGGCGGCTCAATTCAAGCACTCGTAGTCTGTGTCGTTCTTTTTTTTGTAGTAATTCTTTAAGGATGTATATCTATGTATATATTATCTGTATCGTCTAAAAATCTCAACTATAAAGAACATGAGAAAATTTTTCAGATACGATTTCATGTAAAAGACCGATAACAAGAGCACATTCATACCAAACCAGACTACCAACTAATCAACAGAAGCAAGTGTATCTACAAGAAATTTTGAACAATGATCTGCTTGTTTTAATTCCAGTGGATTAAACTTCCAAGATGTGATGACACGAAGGGGTGTTACCGACTCGACGCCGAAGCCACCGTTCATCATGGGTTCCGAGTGTGCTGGTGATATTGAGGCAGTCGGTGAAGGAGTGGAAAATTTCCAAGTGAGTTGGAAATCAATGGATTGGATAATCAATGAATAGAATTTTTAAAAAGTTTCTCGCAATTTTTTTCACCCCAGTTGTAAAACATATAGAAATAAGGATTGTTATAAATGTTGCAGGTTGGTGATCGTGTGGTCGCATTGCCAGAACATAAAGCATGGGCGGAACTTGCTGCTGTTCCAGCTACATCAGTCTTCAAGATTCCTGATAACATGAGCTATTTGGATGCTGCAGCGATTACAATGAATTACACTGTCGCTCATATCCTCCTCTTTGATGTTGCTTGTCTCACTCCAGGGAAAAGTCTTCTTGTTCACAGTGCTGGAGGTGGAGTTGTAAGTACATTACATAGGACAAGTTGTAAGGATTAATAGTGATGATAAACATACGTCGGATGGGAATTGAGAGTTGGACTCGACTTGATCAATACGACTCAACAGGTTTCATCCCTATGACTAGGGGGTGACAGAGCTAAAGTTTCTAGGTAGTGAAATTGTGAGGCGCGCCCAAATACGAGTTGGGAGAGGACGGTAGAATATGTCCTATGTCCTATGGATGGGTTGAGGTATTGGTTATATGGAGGGTGGGATGGGTACGCGGTTGCCTTGGCAACCGGGTTTACGTATCCCATCACACTTTTACCCTCAGCGTGTCTCACTCACTTTTCCTCATCGACCAAAATGAGTCGAGCCACACTACTCCTATACTAGCCTCGCCCGTCTCAACATTTTTCAGCGCACACGTGTTCTGTCCAGAGCAAATATTTCTATGCTCGATATAGTACAATAAATATTTATGAAATCATTTTATACAAGAAAATAAAAGAACCAAACCATTTTTATTTTATTTAGGGTCAAGCTGTCATCCAATTGGCCAAAACTGTCAAAGATGTGACAATTTTTGGTGTCTGTGGAAAACTCAAGCATGAAGAACTCAGGGCCCAAAATACCATCGATCATCTTCTTGAACGTGGAACTGATTATTCCAGTGAAGTTAGAAAGTAAAAAAAAAATTAAAAACTATACATATATGTATTTGTGACAATTGAAAGCTTGAAACAAGCTCATTCATTCCAACTTGCCTCTGTGATTTTTTTAGAATTTCACCTGAAGGCGTCGATATTGTTTTGGATTGTCTCTACGGCGAGGAATGCAACAAGGGTTATTCTCTACTCAAACCGATGGGAAAATACGTTTTATATGGATCAAGTAATCTCGTTACTGGTGAAACAAAGAGTTTCTTCTCTGTTGCTAAATCTGTAAGTTAAATTATTGAATATCGTTAGTGACAAATAACAATATGGTTTTATGTTTTTTCAGTGGTGGCAAGTTGATAAAGTCGCCCCAATCAAGCTCTTTGATGAAAATAAGACAATCTCAGGCTTCAATCTTCGTCATCTGATGCATCGTCAAGGAGGCCACGATTTCGTAAAGAGGGCAATTGATCAAGTATTTGCACTGTGGAATACAGGTGCTGTTAAGCCTAAAATTGATTCTACGTGGGCCTTGGAGGAAGTAACTGAGGCGATGCAGAGGATGCACGATCGAAAGAACATTGGAAAAATTGTATTGGACCCAAGCCTTGAGCCGAAACCGAAGCCAGCTACACCAGCCAAAGGTAAAGCTAAAGAGAAAAAAAATGCCAGTCAGGAGGAGAAAAAAACATCGAGTGTAGAGTCTGAGGAGAACAATGAAAAGAAGAAAGAGCCTGAACTGACTAATGGAACATCTGAGGACAAATCAGATTGTGATTCTAAGGAAAAAGAATCAAGTTGAATTGACCATTTAAAGTAAATTTAATATAATATACTGACAGAAAATGGGAGAGAAAAAAAAAGCAAAACACAATCGCGAAAAAAAGATTCTAGATATTAACATCTTTACAATTATTAGTACATACTCCTACAGTTACTCCATCATTATATAAGAACTATGAGAAAGTGAGCCTCGGAAGGAAAAATCGTCCATTCATATTATTGAATAAAACTGGCCATGAGTCGAGTTTTTATGGGCGAGGCGATTAATTCATTCGATCGCAATGGCTTGCAGATGAAGGAAGAAAATTTTTCGACTCTCTGGATTATTTGGCGTATATAGGTATTATACTTGTGAAAATGACAAAATAACGATGAAAAATTTCTTTAATCAAAAATAAAGGGAAATGAAGTAATGAATGAATGAATGAATGAATGGAGTAAAATCATCCAAACTATATATCAATTTTAACGCGGTCCACAGTAGTTTGCAGTAAATGGAAAATGAATATTAATTTTATTTTTAATACCTGATGACCGAAAATATATGAGTTAATGTTGCATATGGAGACGAGTGAAACGAATTATCTATTTAACACCTGATGATGAAAAGAAGATGGGACGAATAATAAAGGGATAACAGAAACAAGAAAAAAAACTGCACATCTATTTCTAATAATACCGCTAATTGCTACATATAAATTAACTATATCAAACATCTACACAATACAAAGAAAAAGAAAAAAAAGATAAATCCTTGCTAATTGTTATGTCTGCTCTGTGTAATGATTGCTATCTGCTGCTACCGAAATGCAAGGCCATAATTAGTTTTTACTTATAAAATAAACATTTCTCAGATGCAAAAAAGTGCGTTGTGATAATAATTTTTTGGTAACCTAAACAATTTACAAACTAATGTAACTTTCTATGTAAATTCAGAGTCGATAAACTTGTAAATTTATTGAGTACAAAATAACAAATGATTCCACTGTGAGATTTATCTCCATAATTGTGGAAAAAGTAAAATTTGCCTTTTTTTCTTTTTTATTTTTTGCATAAAAAATAAATATTTGATACTTTTTACAACTTTAAAAAACGAGATTACTTATTTTTACAATTTTTCATCAACATATTGAGTGACAAATATGCATATCTTGGAATGAAACAAGCGAAACAAATACTTTTTTTACGTGAATTTTTCTAACAAGCCATTTGTATTCGACACTCGGTACTCTCGCTTGTTTCACAGCAATAATAATATTAAAAATAATATAATACTTATAATAATAATAATAATAATAATAATAATAATAATAACAGTAAAAAGTACTACTAATGATAATATAAAACACTAATAATAACAATAATAATAATATTAATTATTGTTATTATAATCAAATACTATTCATCATCGGATCAACTGCCTAATAGTGAAAACAAACTATGGAAACAAGCATTTTATTACATAGCTAAGAGTAATAATGATAATTTGCGATATACTATACATTTTATAACTCGAAAATACTCAAAACCTGAAAAATACATCGAATTTCAGACATGAGTAATAATAATGTATATTTTAGGCAAGGCTTTGAATGTTTCGACAAATACCTACTCTACCATATTGTAATGTATCTATATATATATTTATAATGATCATACTCCCGTCACGAAAAAATTTCATTTCTTTTCCAGAAATAACTTTTGCAATGAACATGCGATTTATTGATTTAGCATTTCCAACTCTATTATCTCATGACCTCAGGAAAAATAAATCTCAAATTGCATATGGCAACAAACTACACCACATTGAGTGAGTGTTTCTACACGATACATTCAAATATTACTATACGCTATATTCCCAGTTTATTTTTTATCACGTATATGATATCAAACATTGCGTGGAGGTTCTGGGAATAGAAGCGTGTATGGAATGACTAATTAGGTGAAATAAATGAGAAAAACAAATGAAGAAAAATATATTAATTATAATGATGATGATGATTACAATAATAATATTCATAATCGTATGAATAGGAGAAAGCAAGCATGCAATTTTATTTTCGTCATCTGATAAGGACATTTAATAATGATGTGCAGTTAGTAAAAGTTGATCATATACAACTAGATGTTAAGGTGAGAAATTATTTGAATATTACTGATTAATTGCACTTTTCTATAGTAAGCAAAGTTTCTATTGATTCAAAAATTTATTAGTTGTATCAATTATCTTATCGTTTAAATGTACAAAATAACACATTGATTTGGATATGGCTTTCATCATATATAAGAAAATCCATGTAGCCGTGTTACTTTGGAGCATTTCAACGATGATGAATAGAAGCCACACATACACACACACACACAAGAGCTTTTGAATTATCAGGCTAGGACACTCAGTCGGAGAATTTGGTTCCTAATTTTTTTTTTAACCAGCAAACGTCCTCGTTAATAGTAAATTGTATTTTTCGGCTTATTGTAAGACTGACTATGTTGCTATATTAAAGATTGCTTCGATAAATTGTACTTTTTATTTGACAAACTTTCCCAATTTTACCGACAATTTATTTCATTTCGGGCTTTTTTGTTCTTTGCACTGGCGGAAAAATTTTTAAGGAATAGAGGTAAGGATTGTCAACTGGTAATGAAATAAATATATATAATCAAAGCGTATTAATTAAAATATTTACATAATTTTTTTTTTTTTTTTCATCTTTATTAATCAATTTCTCACATCTTACAAAAATTGAAAAAAGGGGAGGGGGGCTAGTGGACTGGATTATTTTTCAATAATACAAAGAGAAAAGAAAATTGAATAAGAAAATACAAATAGTTCAATTAAAGTCTATTGAGAATACTTTGAATAGCTCTGAGTCGTTGAATAAGTTCACTGGCATTGGGTTTACTGAATAATGTCGTTAGGCATTTGGAAATGATATCCTGGCACTTGATAATGACTTTTCTCTTTAAAAAATTATTGGAAATTTTTGTATTAGTTATGAAATAATTGACAAGATTGGCAGTAGATTCAATTAAATGGAATTCATTTCCCTCATTCAACCAAACACGATTATTTCCCCCAATAAGTTTGTCATACAAATCCAAAAGATCCTCCATTGAAACACCAAGTTGTAGGAAACCAGTGATAATATCAGTGTTTGATACTGCCAATTTGCATGCGCGAATTTCCAGCTCTTTAATCAAGAAATCAATGGGGAAACAATGAGGTGTTCCAGAATATTCTTGTCCTAGCATTTTAATTTTACTCATGACAATGGACATTTTGTCCTCGGCCGAGGTCTGAGTCTGTGCATTCTTCAATTCATTTTCAATGATATTGGTCCAAATTCCCTGTACCAACATGGCATCTTGATGACCAGAGCAATGAATAATGGCCAATTTAGACTCCCAAAGTTGTAGAGGATCTGCGTACTCCTCGTACAATTGAGTGATATCTAATAATGAAGAATTTAATCTGAGTTTGGCATCTCTGACCACCATATTATCGAATAAATGCTGCTGATTGTTGATTGTATCGAGAATTTGTTGTTGAATCCTTGCAACTTCAACTTTATCCTCGAGTTCTCGAAGAAATACACCAAGATGAGGGGCGTAGCCTGCTTGATCACTTCTCATACACACAACAGCTCTCGCAAGATATTCAACTCTCTGGGATAATGAGACATTTGGGCCGGGTTTTGTTGCCAGTGCATCGAGAATTTTGGCAGCTGCAGCGTGATTTTTGCTTCGTTCGTAAAATTGCCACAATAATTCGGGAGCATTGACTCGTATTAAATAAGGCTCTAGGGAGGGTGCTGCAAGAGCAACGAGTTCACCATGAAGATTACGTTCAATCATCCAGCTATAAATTGAAGCGTGAAGAATTTCACATGGACTGTGAAGAGCATCTTGAATGATCTCGTGAAGGAGTTGTTTAGCTGGTGTTGTTGCAGTTGTTGATGTATTATAAGTAGGTGGTCCTGGCTTGCTTGGTATCGTTGGTGTCAATGGATTGGACATACTCTGATTGTACAAATGATCGAGCATAACTGTCACTTCTTTGTATATTTCAAGCCTCTTGAAATATGCCATATTTCCCTCTTGATCTTCTACAGGCTCATTATTCTTGTAATAATGGAGAGCTGCATTATTTGGATCAATTTTTTCAGCACAACATAGACAAAGCTCCAAAACACCGGTATAAAATTGACAAGCAACAAATTGCTGACATACTGCTGCTAAATTCAGTCGTGGTGCTACCATTTTACAGAGTTTTAAAGCAGACTGTAGATGTGACTCTTTCTCCTCTGCATTGGAGCAAATTTTAGCTTTTATAATAATTTCATTGGCTTTTGAGCATACAGCATCTTCACTTTTATACAAATTTGGACAAACTTCTCGCAGTTTGGCACTAACGACATCAACAGAAGTATTGTCCCCAAGGTAACTGTCAATAAGATGTATGATTAGTAGTGAGCATATCTCATGCCCCATTAAAATTAAATCTCTGAATGTTGCTGTTGCAAATTGATTGATCTGCTCCTTAGAGAGGGAATTGACAATGTTGTGCAGCTGATTTTCACATAAAATCTTCCACAATCCCAAAACTTCACAAGCGTGGGTGATAAAAATCTTGAGGGCGTCAAGGGAATTTCTCTCTTCCACCATTGGCTCTTGATAATGTGTCATTGTGGTCGTGTCAAAATGTGTCCCCTCAGTGGTAACATTTCTGCCAGTGCTGTGTTGTTTTGAAATGTGAGTATTCTTATTGAGAAAAGATCGCAATGCTTGAAGATGTCCAAGAATCCATCCAATTTGAACACAAGTTACTGTGCTCTGTACAAGTGGCTTAGCATTAACAATTTCTTGTTTAATACATCTGATATTCCAAATTGGCCTGAGAATTCTACCAACGTACAGATAGAGTCCTCCATGTTTTGCTGAAAACTGATGAATACTTGTTTCATTGGCATTGACACCAATTTGTTGATACGGTGTGCGAAAGATATTTTGTCGTGTATCCATCGCTGGAACAACTCTGGGTGTTGATGTATGTATACTGACAGCACTGAGTAGTGGAACACCGTGCTGACTGGACAAACTGGAGGGGGCTCTTTGTCCACCATATAGGAAGAAGGCACGAGTTGCCCACTCTGACAATTGTGCATTCTGCGATGATTCAAGTGTCGCCAAGATTAGACAAGTCGCACAGGCTTGCTCTGGTGATTGACTCTCAAAGTACAAGCGAACTGATTCAGTATCAGGACCACGTTGTTCAAGAAGAAGCTGTCGAAGAATATCTACAGGTCTCACTTGAATGAGAATAATGGCACCTTGTGCTGTCAGAAAGATGAATTTTCTCGGCGGTTCCATGTGTTGTCTTACGAGCAATGGTGGCTGCTCCCCCTGTACTCCTCCCTGCTTGTCAATGTTAATTACAGACTCACCAAATATCTCTGCCATGGCCCAAGCAGGACTGTCCAGTGGCAAAATACTCTGAGTTTCCGCCAAATAATTGGTAAAAGGATAAGCATCATTACTGAGACACCAAGCAGTCTCTGTATCACCACCACAAACTAGAATGAGTGTGCCTTTACGATAATGGGCCATTTGAACTTTTCTCGGTCTCATAACTGGTGCATTGGCTGCATAACCCGGTGGTAATCGCACATGGATGAGTTGTAAACACTGTGGTCGCATACCAGGATTTGTTACCGAAGTACAAGTGAAATAGAATCTTGTACCAGTTGCAGCAACTGCTACCAAATTCAAGTGAATTGATTCAGTCTCTGTAATAGCTGAGATACTCACTAACGGTCGAAAATTATTACTATCCAGTGTTTTTACAATGTGAACAGTATTTTGTACGAGTGATGATTGAGACAGCGATGTCACCTTTGATGCACCACCATTATCAATATCCCATACCATAATTGTTCCTTTATCTCCAAGTGTGTATAAAATATTTCTAGAATCATCGACTGATATTTGAACAATGGCTTCCTCCTCTGAGAGTGCAACTGTGATAAATGATGGTAGCAAAAATGATAGAGGGCCCTCAGAATGATTCACCTTTTTACAACGTTTTCCAAACCAACTGCTCTCAGCTTGATAATGAATTTCATACAAAGCACCATTCCTACCACCCAAAAATATTCTTCCACTGCTTGTATTGGCTATTGTTGTTATGGCAATACCATCAGTTGTTACTGTAAATATTGGCTCTGGTACCAGCTGTATTTCTCCCTGTGTTCCATCAGATTTATCCCCAAGTGTTACACCAAGTACAGTAATTTCAACAGTCGTTGTAAGAATCAACAGATATTTCACGTAATTTTGAAATATACCTGCTTTTGGTTTAACCAGACCAACACTTATTATAGTTTCATTCAGACCATCAAAGTACGCGACATCGGATTCATTTTCGTATGACCAAACGTAAATATCACTGTCAATTGTCAACCAAGCTTTGGAGATATCAGTGAAGAGTCCCATCATACAGTGACATTGCATATGACCAAAGTGTTCCATTACCTCCGAAGGCAGTGGAATCTTACTGTGCATCTTCATTTGATTTATGCTACTGAGGCTTAGATTGCCATTCAAATTGGGATAGTCATGATCGTCCAAACCACTGACAGTCGGTCCTCCTAAATTTCATTGCAATTCAACATTAATTTGACGACATACTCATATGTATTGGTGAAACAACTGTGGATGAATATTTTAGGTTTTTTACCTTGTACCGAGTATCTCATGAGATTTATCAAAGATGGGAAATTACTGTCTGCTATCATGTGTTTGTCCACCATCTTCCCAGCCATCTCGAGGGCATCCAAATGGATTTTTAGAGGTTCCATTTTCTGCTAAAATATTAATCCATCAATTAACTATATATGCATATTTTTCATAGATAATTCAACGAAATATTCACCTCTTGTTTACTTTTTATCTATAAAATAGAAACGTTCTGAGATCCTACTTTTGTTTGGTTATGTCACACATGCACTTGTGTATATACCACCATGAAAGTACTTTCATTTGATGGAAATTTGTCTACATGTGGAAAAAAATCATTCTCACGGATTATCGATGATAATTAGTAACAGTGGGGTCTGACTACCATGTATAAAACACCATTGAAAGCTTCAAAATTTCACAACTACCGGCTATCCATTGTAGAATTGAGCCGATCCCGCCTATTTAACAGTAGTAGGTCCATATAAATTGATGCGTGTGCGCGCGCGCTGCCTGTGTAGAGGCTACACTGGATTTTTTGGAGCGCCAAAAATGGCTGCGAGAGAAATTTCTTTCAATCAATTTATTGCAGATACACACTGATTTATAATTTCGTAAAATTTCCAATGATTTTTTTATTATTTGAAATCGCTATTGTGTTCATTCCGGGACCAAAATTTTTTTATTATTTCGGATTTTTAGTTGCAATTGGAGGGATTTTGAAAATGGCGCCTAGTAGCTAAACGACCAATTAACAAATTCTCTTCCTCCCCCAGCCCCTCATCGTCGCACAGAAGTGGTATGTGGTAGGGGAAATCGGATATCGTAAGTATGACACTAGAGAGATGAGAGACTCTATCATTTACAAGTGACAATAGTTAAATTCAACTATGGAAATGCGAAATTTTTAAATTAATACAATTATCAATACATTTCTATTATAGAATTGTTGTAGAGGTAGTTTATATTTGTGCTTTCAGTTGAAATTGTGATGTGGTGCGTGTGAACAAATTGGAGTATCTATAGCCTTTTCATGTAAAATGTCGTTACACTCGACGATTCAGTATTTAACCAAAAAAAATTTGCTGAGAAATAGGTGAAAAGATGGAAGATGATGCTGATCTCAGGGAACAATTATTCCACAATACTGTCCGAGAAAATATTGTGAGTACAATATAGATCAATTATCATTCTCAACTGTTGGACGCTTTTTTTTATCAAACAACATTCCACACTTCATCATTATTGTTTTTTGTTCACACGTATGTGAAACTGCTTCTCTACCTTGTTTTTGCAGATAGATCATTGACCTTAATAAGCGACATCCCGCTGAAATGAAATAAAAAACTAGCTTTTTTTTTTAGAAACGCTTGGCAATGCCATGGACAATGCGAAAATCTGTTCCAAATTTGGTCGAGAGAAATCGTCATGTCTTTATCATTGACCTTGATAGCATTTTCTCCTATGAATATTTATCTTTTTACATGATATTCCGGAGGGAGAATTGCACATTGATTTTAGTTCAATCATAGAAATGGAATAACCACAATATTTTACGTTGTTAATATTGACCTTATTTGAATGGCGTATGTTTATGGCGTGTGTTATGTATAGTTATTGATGTGCATTATGACCTTTTTTTTTATCGACATACTCTTCCAATGCAAACAAGCTAAAGAGTGGATTAGATATAAAGTGAAAAATTATAGCCCATTGCATACAGTGGAATATGCAATGGAATATATATATATTTACCCCATGAATAATTTTCGTTTCAGATATTTCTCCTTCTGTTTCTTTTGTTGTACATCTCCAGTTACGCTTTCATCGCCAGATTCAGACGTACAGATCGAGAAGACTATTTTTCAGTAGATGAAGATGAGGCGACAGTTTATAGAATTAGCCTATGGCTATGCACTGTTGCCCTAGCAGTGTCAGTTGGTGCAACATTACTTTTACCAGTTTCAATCGCCAGTAATGAAGTTCTCATACTTTATCCAAATAGTTACTATGTTAAATGGCTCAATAGCTCTCTTATACAAGGTAAATAGCGTTTACTGTATTTATGGTGTTTTGTAAAAAATATGGTTATTTGTAAAATTGAAATGCCCTTTTAGGCCTCTGGAATCATGTATTCCTATTCTCGAACCTCTCTCTGTTCGTCTTTCTACCGTTCGCATATCTTTTTACGGAATCTGAAGGATTTGTTGGATATAAAAAGGTAATAATAATAATGAAATGTACTGAATCATCTTGTTATACTCTCATAAATTGACTTTATTTAGGGAGTTATGGCCAGAGTTTATGAGACCGTGACAGTATTATGCCTGCTCGGAACTCTAGTTCTCGGTATGACATATGTGTTATCGGCACTCATTGATTATCAACAATCGAGTCTCCACACATTACTCAGTGAGTATGCCTTGAATTTGTATACATATTTCAAGCGATTACGGTACCAATATTATCCAAGTGTCAAATTTTTCAGATTTATGGAGTTACTATTTACCCTTTTTATATTCTTGTGTATCATTCGTCGGAGTTGTCATGTTGTTACGTGAGTTTTTCCTTCAAAAGATTTTTTATTCTTCCTTTTTTTTTCATTAAAAAAAAAATTCATCATCCATTATGTATTTTCAGTGTGTACACCAGTGGGATTTGTACGACTTTTTGGTGTTGTTGGATCCTGTCTTGTTAAGCCACAATTCTTGAAAAATTTAGATGAAGAATTCTTTGCCTATCGACTGGAGGAAGACTGCATAAAAAGACGGTGAATCATCTTAACATTATTTATGCCTCTATGCCTCTTATCAAGAGATATGAATTGATATGAATTACTCTACAGAGTGAATATATAAAAATATTGTATTTCCTAGCCTTGAACATGCACAAGCTACGGGAAAATCCTACGTTTCACCAATGCCAATGTCACCACCATCGTGCAACAGTGTACCTGACGATGATGAACAACTTCTTGTTTCAAATCCAAGTTTAATGTGCCTCAAGAATGGGGCTCTTCAACGTGGCCTTATCCAAAGACTAAACGATGTACAGAAACATAGTAAAATACTTGATAAGCAGAGAAGAACTTGGTGGGTTAGACGAACTCTTGTTTATCCATTGGCGATGCTGGCTCTCTTGATCCTGTCAACCACAACTGCCCTCTTAGCAGTGCAAAACACACTGGAATTGCTCATTGGAATTAAAGCACTTCCATTGAGTACAAGGGTACTACTTTTTTTTTTATTTTTCTTCTTCTTTCTCCACCTCACAACTTATTTATAGTGCAAAACTCCAATTCAATGATTTCTTTTAGCAATTTACGCTGGGAATCAGTTCGCTGTCAAAACTCGGACCAATTGGTGCTGCAGTTGAGGTAGTTGTAATACTATACTTGGCGGCCACAAGTGCCATTGGCCTCTACGGACTTCCCGGCGTGAGAAGAGTTAGGCCACGTATTCATTCAACACCTCTTACTCATCTTATTGCTAATTGTGCCCTTCTGTTGGTTCTCAGCTCAGCCTTACCGCTTTTATCCCGTATATTAGGTGAGACAATGAAGAAACCTTCATGGATAGTATTTTTCAATAACTATTTAATCAATTTTTTTTTTCTTCAATTCTAGGAATGACAAATTTTGATTTATTGGGTGACTTTGGACGCATTGAGTGGCTTGGTAATTTCAAACTCGTTTTATTTTACAATCTTATATTTGCAATAGCTGCTATTGCATGCCTTGCCACCAAATTTACGGCGACTGTGAGGAAGGAAATTTACACGAGACTCCGTACCAGCATAATTGGTATATTTAGGTTGGATGGTAAAAGAAGTCAAACGGGGCCATTCTCTAATAAAGAAGACTAGACTGATATTACAATTATAAGAAGATGATCGTTTAAAAAAAATAATAAAAAAATAAATAAATGAAAGAATAGGAAAATGCAAAGAACGATCATTTCATTGCAACTAGTTTAATATGCATCTTGAATTGAGACAAAAAAAATAGTGAGAATGACTATATCCACCAGGGAATTGGTATTAGATAAAATTACTAGAGATGTTGAAAGTGAAGAGATAATTACTCCAACGTATTCATAATTTTCTCATTCTTCATTGTAGATAGGTATTATTTGAAACCACATACTTGCTTCCCATTTGAGAAACATGTGAACGTTATAGCGTGATATATCTTGTGATAAAAGTGTGTGCATGTAATTCAAATTGGATACATGTATTTTTATTTCAAGTGTGTCAGAAGTCAGAATGACATTTTTTTATCAAAGAAACTAAAATTTTGACGATTGTTAATAGAAAAAACGTCGATGTATGTGAATGCATTCGAAGAATGGAAATTCTTTCACAATGCATGAAAATTGACGCTATCTGTATAAAATGTGCATTCAAAGTCAGTGGATAGATAGTGGGCAAATTAGAGGATATTTAAAATTATTTCCCACATGTTTTTGTTGGCATTTTCACTTTGGACTTTCGGTTATACAATCAACCTAATTGTAAGGCCTTAATATGAGATACAAAATACATTTTATAGACATTTTGAAAGAATTTCATGTGATATGTATTCTCATTAATAAGACAATATTAACTTGAATAATTGCACTTCACAACTGCTATAAATAATAAAAACAACTGATGTACTCAAGACTCTTCTTTAAATAATTATTCATGTTTGTACCTTGGGGATAAAACAAGTACAATTTGTTATACTTGTTTTGAATGAAATTTTATTTTTAATGACATATCATTGTAGTTGTTGTTGTTGTTGTTGTTGTTGTATGGCACCATTTACACTTGTCCCATTTTTTTCATCGGGCCTGTCTCGTTTCGTTAAGCCATATCTGTACATTATTTTGAAAACTCGATCGAGTAATATTCCTCTGCGAATAATATAAAATTCATTTGGTACTGTCAAATCAACAACAGTCGATCCAACTCTGTACGACTCATCTAATTTTTTTTTATCAGTGATTGTGTAAAAAATTCCCCCCAATTGCGGCCAGAGATGTTGGAACTCATCAGGAGTTAGAGAACTTGGTTGATCACTGGAATTGGCACTGGTGAGTGCCAAAGGTTCATTGATAATTCTGCATAGGCTTCTGAGAAATTTACTCTCACTGACTCTAATGCCAATTGTATCGATACCAGGATTCAGGGCTGGATTCAATAGAGGTTTTCGCTTTAGAACGACAGTAACTGGTCCAGGTAAAATAGCCATTAATAAATTTGGAGGAAGATGATCAGTCTCAGCCCAACGTGGAATATCTTTTATGCTACTGAGAGCAATAGCCAGGGGCTTATTTTTATTTCGACCCTTCAATTCATACAACTTTTCAACAGTCTGAGTGTTTTGAGCAAGCGTTGCTAAACCATAAATTGTATCTGTCGGAATGGCTATTATATTATTCTCTTTAATCAATTTAACCCCAACTGCGAGACAACGTTCACCCCCTATGAACCAGTGTTTAGCATTTGGACTCATTCTATTCATCAGACAGCTTACTTGATTTAGCGTTACTTTGAGTGGTGGTTGATAATTAACTTCCATAATATATCTTATTCCTCCAATATTCCAAATAGTAGCATTTACTCTCGCCAATTGTGACCGCACTGTGGGTTGCAACATTTATAAAATGTTGTCATAGGCTCGTCCGCTGATCTTGTCTGAATTTGCATGAAATATGCACGTGGATGTGTACACTTTGGACAACGTTCCTCAGTAGAATCCACGTTCTCCCAAGCCGCTGCTCCACCCAATACGTCGTCTAATTCTTTCAATTTTGGATAACTTCGGCTGCTTATTTTTCGTGAAATTTTGAAAATATACGGACAACTGTTACACGCAAATTGGAGACCTGAAGAACCCTCTTCTACCTTGAGGACGTTACCACATGTTTTGCAGAATATCATACTTTTCCTTGTCTGAAATATATTTTAAAAAACACATAATAAAAAAATTATTAATTAAACCATTGAAACAATAAAAAGTGACTTATTCCATCATGCAGATTTGTTTTTTGTTTTCTAATTTATTATTCCAAATTTTAATTTAGGATTTCACATTGCACATATTTATATTGCATTGAAAATAACATACCTGCTATTACATTGACATTCTCGTAAATAGCATACGATATAAAGTTTGGTTCTATTATTTTTTCACAGTAACTGTTGTTGGATGATTTCAACTGAACAAGAGAGATTATAACCTTTTATTATGTACGTATGTGTAGTACATCATAACAGACACACAGCGACAAGGGAATGCGCGGCGAGCAATCAAACGTTTCGCTTGCCCCCTGCCCTGCTTCGGGCCGATCGTCCTATCCTCTGTATATACTATATACCTAGTAGTGTTAGTAGTATCCAAAATGGTGCTCGAAAGTACAATGATATGGTGAGACTTTAATTTTTATTTCCATTATTTCATTAATTTCATCATTTTTTGAATGATTAAACATGCCGATACTTGTTTTGTAATTACATAGAATTACTTTAGTAATGAAATATTCGAGCAATTACATTCCTTCATGCTCTCAACAGATTCTCTTTTTAGAGTGACAATGCAAAAGTTGATGGCAGTCATGTCAAACGTAATCCTTGTATCTACTAATATTTTTGATTTTTGATTGAAAAATTGAAAGAATGAAAAATTAATTTTTAATTATAATACAATACAATTTTAGTGTCGACAACAGTGACTACATGAGAAATGGCGATTTTTTACCTACTCGCCTTCAAGCCCAGCAGGATGCAGTCAATCTTGTCTGTCATTCAAAAACTCGTTCTAACCCCGAAAATAATGTGGGTCTCATCACTTTAGCAAAGTAAGTACTTTTTTGTCCCTCAATTAGCCGGCGAAAAATAATGAATAAAACGAAATAATGAACGAATTTTATGATTAAATTAGAAATGATTCTGCTTCCAGTGTTGAAGTACTGGCCACATTGACCAGTGACGTTGGCAGAATTCTATCAAAATTACATCAGGTACAACCGAGTGGCAATCTCAGTCTAATTACTGGAATTAGAATTGCTCATGTAAGTTTAATGAATTTCATAAGTAAATGTTGTTGTCATCATTATCGGGTATAATGAATTTGGAAACAAATTGCCTTTATAGCTGGCACTAAAGCATCGTCAAGGGAAAAATCACAAAATGAGAATTGTTGCATTTGTTGGAAGTCCGATTGAACTCGATGAAAAGGAACTAGTGAAATTGGCAAAACGTCTGAAGAAGGAGAAAGTTAACGTTGATATTATAAGTTTTGGTGAGGAAGCAGTAAACAACGACGTCTTGACAGCTTTCATAAATGCTTTGAATGGAAAAGATGGTACTGGAAGCCACTTGGTGACCGTTCCACCGGGTCCTCATCTTTCTGATGCACTCATTTCTTCACCAATTATTCAAGGCGAAGATGGACTGGGCGGTGCAGGTATGAGTGGAGCAGCATTTGAATTTGGCGTTGATCCCAATGAAGATCCTGAACTTGCATTGGTAAAATTTTGCTTTTATTAAAAAGTTATTTAGAGCTTAATCATGTAATAACTCGTGTACTGAAATATCAATTTTAGGCACTGCGTGTATCTATGGAGGAGCAGCGACAGCGTCAAGAGGATGAAGCTCGTCGCGCTCAAGCCAAAGAAACAACATCAGCCAAGCCAGAGACAATAAAAGAAGCACCAAATGAAGAAGCAATGCTGAAACGTGCGCTTGCAATGTCTATGGAAGGGACTGAAGAATCCTCTGCGGCCGCTCCTGAAGTCACTCCACCAAGCTCCGGCAATGTTCCGGACTTTGCACATATGACTGAAGAGGAACAGATTGCATTTGCCATGCAAATGTCTATGCAAGACCAACGTCAGTTGCTTAACAATGACCAATTTCAAGCTAGAAAGAAGCAATTGCTTTTTTTTAATTAACCATGTACAACATTTATTGCAGAAGACTTTGAGCCACCGAAAGAGGAAGCAATGGAAGTTGAGGATGATTATGTTGCCGTCATGTCAGATCCAACATTCCTACAAACAGTTTTGGAGAGTTTACCAGGTGTTGATCCTCAATCGGAAGCCGTACGCCAGGCTGTCAATTCCTTACAACAGAAAGATAAAACACAGGAGAAGGAAAAAGAAAAAGACAAGGACAGTGACAACAAATAGAGTATTAATAATCCATCATTTTTTATCACCAATTATTGCTCTAAATATATTTCCAATTCATCGTATTTGATACTCGCAATTGATGTGTCTAACGAATTTGTATCGTTATTCGCTTTATTGAACAATGAAAATAAATGTATGAAAAAATATTCCATCATTATGCCTCATTCCTTCTGGTACTAATAATAAAAATTAAACGATAACAATTGATGAAAAAAAAATAATCATGATTTATTGTTGAAAAACAAAAGCTTAAATTATGTAGTTTGAATTTTATACAATATTTACAAGTTTTTCATCATTTAGATGGAGTTTTTTTTTTTTTTTCAATGAGATTATTCAACTTTTTCTACTTGTTCATCTTTTTTAATGTAACTCTTCCTCCAGGTTGTACCTTGACCAAAACATCACTCAGAGTTGTTGAAAGTTCTCCCTCAACTGTTTTAAATGCTTTTGGTCTCTTGGCTGTTATTTTCGTTACTGGTATCTTATTTTTATTTTCTACAACAATAATACATATTGATTATTATTACTGACCCATTGAGGTAATTGAAACAAAAAAGAATAAAAAATGACAACTTACTGATGGAATAGTAAACTGGAATTGCCAAACTCCTTGGAGTTTTCAGCAGAATAGAACGTATATTCTCCAATCCTCCAGGATACTCCTTCTCTAGTGCTTTACATGCTGCAATGATATTTTCAACAATTTGTTGTTCGCTCATTGTAACTGATGCAACTTGCATCGTGTGACAATTGCCCGAGCCATGAATCTCCATACTCGTTTTTCGTAATGCATTATCAATTTCACTTATCAAGTTATCCCTTTGGAGTTTAACTGGCGTTGGAGGCCGTGCGGATCGTCTGAATGTTTTGCCGAGAAGGTGAGTTATGTGACCTGCGATTCTTCCATCTACCAAGAAGAAATCAAAGAGTCGTCCCAATTTGCGTTTCATTTCATACTGACTGTATTCTGTTTTAACTTTGTTCATAGGAATGATTTCTTTGATTCGTGACACATTTTTATCTCTTAAAATTGTTTCCCAGTGATCAACCGTTTTTTCGTAATCTTTCCGACGACCTCTCTCCAAATCGGGCACAAATAATGCCACCTCATCTGTTGGACCAACCATCATATGAGGGAGAAAACTGAAACACAAGTAAAAGAATAATGATAATAGTGGTGTGGTGGTACTTTTTTTGTTCGTGTGGCGAGGTATGCTGCAATTTTTTTTTTCATCATATATAAATTTCGAATCACGATGTACTCATAAGGATCCATTGGTAATTTATGTTAATAATCATGTGAAAATTTTCTTTTACTTTTAAATAAAAAAAATTAAAAAAACAATGCAATTGTTAATTAAATGTATACTCACACTCTCAGCTGTCTCTTAGGCATCTTCGGTATTTTAATGCAGTTTATTTGGAGCAAGATGACATTGTCCTCTTCAGGCAATAGAGATTTTTTTCCCTCTTTTGGCTTTTTTGCTAGATGCAATACTGTTTGAACGCATTTCTCCACATGAGCCTCGGTCATTTCCAAATTACCAGCTTGCTCTGTAATTACCAATGACTCGGATTTTTTCATAGTCTTGTCCTCTTCTCGGTGAGATTTTTGTTTTTGTCTCGTTTCCTTAGATTTTGTAGCCTCCAATGAAGTTTTCGATTTTTTCTTGGCTGGGAGTGATGATTCATCAGGAGCTACTCGCCTCTTGACGATTTTTGACGATTGGTTTGGTTTTTCAGGCTTAACCTCATTTACAGGAGCACGTGGTGCTTTAGATGCAGCATCGAGTTTTTCTTGTTGATTCAATACTTTGCCAGTATTGTTCTTGGTCAGCACAGTCTTGACAATTTCCTTTTTCGTTTTCTTTTCCTCTTTAACCGTTTCATTCTTCATATTTCGACTAATATTCTCAATTTGTTGATTCTCCAAGTTTTTCCTTTTTTTTACATTTTTTTTATCTCGTTGTCTATCTACATTTTTCTGATTTGTTTTAATCAGTTTATCTTTTTTCTTCATTGCCACGGCATTTTTATTCATTGTAACGGCATCTTTTGTCTCACTGCTTGGCTTTTCTACTTTCGTTTTAAGCTTAATAATCCCTTTATTTGATAATTTCTTCATTTTTTAATCTATTCATTCAACAAAATTATCAAATGATTTTGTAATTGATTTTTCAATAGCGTTTCTGAAGAATGGATAAATGTTTAAAAATAATAATAATAATAAAATAGAAAAAATATGCTTACTGGTTGCTTGCTGCACATGAAAAGAGAGGAGCGAGGGAGAATCTGCCTTGCCTAGGGCCTGAAGAAGGATTTTATCGAGTATGGCCATCTAGGAAGAAAATGTTGAAACTCAATGGAAATTGTGGGAGGATAGCAAGTATGACGAGACACACGACGACTCTGACTCCATTTCGTGCGGAAATTATTGAAGGGGAAGTGAGCATATATGTACATTGTACATCATCGCTGGTATTGTAATAAAAAAATATATGATACTGGCGAGTCGTGTGTGAGAGAAAAATCAAAGTGAACAATTTACAATTATTCAAACAACCATTTGATTTAATTAGAATTGTCGGCCAACAATAATATAATTAACAATGGGTGAAGATTTTAATGGAGGTAAGTAAGAAAAATTAGGTTGAAACAACCTTACAACTGATGTGAGAGCATCGGGACGCCAAAAGGTGATAATAGGGATTCAATTAGCAAACACCATCGGGAAATATATTGTTTCATTAGTTTTTTCATTCATAATGATGTTTATTATTATTATTATTATTATTATTATATTGGGAAATTACTATTCAAGACAGAGATCGTGGCGATCGTGATAAAGACAGGGAGCGTGAGAGGGATAGAGATCGTGATAGTAGAAGACATAAATCACGGAGTCGTGATCGCAGAAAACGCTCGCGATCCAGATCCAAGGATCGACGAGAGAGAAAACGTAGCAATTCACCAAAAAAAGGTCGTAGTTCAAGAAGGAGAAAACCATCACTCTACTGGGATGTACCACCACCTGGTTTCGAGCACATCACACCTCTTCAGGTATAGACTAACAATTGGATTGAATTATTTTTTCATTGATATTAATAATATTAAATGATGATTACAGTATAAGGCCATGCAAGCAGCTGGACAAATTCCTGCTAATATTGTAGCAGATACCCCTCAGGCAGCTGTACCTGTCGTTGGGAGTACAATAACCCGTCAGGCAAGACGGTTATACGTCGGCAACATTCCGTTTGGTGTTACTGAAGAGGAAATGATGGAATTCTTCAATCAGCAGATGCATTTGTCTGGATTAGCACAGGCGGCTGGCAATCCCGTACTAGCGTGCCAGATTAATCTTGACAAGAATTTTGCTTTCCTGGAGGTAATTTATTGTTTTACATAAATGGCAAAATTTCTATTGTTATTATTATTATTATTATTATTATTATATATATATTTGATTGGTTTTTCAATTTTCAGTTCCGTTCTATTGACGAAACTACACAAGCAATGGCGTTTGATGGAATTAATTTCAAAGGACAAAGCTTGAAAATACGTAGACCCCATGATTATCAACCTATGCCTGGAATGACAGATAATCCTAGTATGAACGTTCCAGGTACGGTTCCCGGTATGTTTCGCGCATACACATTAATTAATCTTACCTATATATCTCAGCAGAATACCCTGGTGACAATAGTTGTTTTTAAATGATGGATTTTAGTTAATTCTATAATTAATTCTTCCTTCAGATTCACCACACAAGATCTTCATTGGTGGACTACCAAATTACTTGAACGAAGAACAGGTATGCAGACAAAACGATGAAGCACATGCTTTTATACACGTTTTTTTTTTTCCTTTATTCATCGCACTTGGCTCAGATTGACACTGATTTTCACTTGAAGGAAAAATCCACTTTTTTTTCTCTTCATCTTCAATGAATTCAGTGTCGATGAGATGGAGTTCTCATGATGAAGTAAATCATCATTAGGTATTTAGCTATTTAAAGGAGAGTCCAAGGGTTCCTCTTGGATTAATTAAGAGTAATAGTAATACGAGTTCCACGAAAAGGTACGTATGGGTGTTTATGTGTCGTTCACGGCGCACGGATTTCATTTGTGAAGAGAATCAATAATTTTTACAATTATGTTTCCATTTCCATCATATTCTGTCGCGACTTTTTTAGCTCAGGTATTATTAGGATCAACTACAAGGAATAATTAAAATTGTAAGAAAAAAGAGAGAGAGAGAGAAAGAGAATAAAAAACAAAAATTTTTTCGGGAAAGAAGCTATAGTTAGAGACGTTGCAGGATTTAGGTGGAAGCAGCAGAGTTCGTTTCTTCGTATTCCTTCATTTTCTTTTCCAGCCTCTTTAGGCACAGCGTATGGAGAGAGTGAACGCGGGCATCTCCATGTCAGCCCCGAGAAAGTGAAAATATACAGAAATGAATTTTAGGGAGAAGGACACGGGTGGGAAAAAATATATACATTTTTTGGGTCATCATTTATATTTACAGGCGTTGATTAGAGGGTTTATTTTTCCAGCAAATTCTTTTCAACTTTGATACATTTTTAGGAAATCTTCCAGACGACGGCCGACCAATCGGTCCACGCCTCTTATTGTCTCAAATATTTCTCAGAAGTAAGACATGGAAAAATATGAGTGAATACATGAAAAAGATAGAATCTTATTTGTTCTTCTTGCAGCAACTTTTTTTACAGGCTTTTCAGGCTTGAACGAAGAATCGTCAAATAAAACAATTATTTGAGAAAAAGTTTTCAGCATACGCGTTTTCAGAAACAGCTACTTTTCTGCTGATCATTTGAAGTCCAAGGGAACGGTAACAAGCGTGTATGAGGAGTTGAAATAAAAAAATAAAAACAAGCAAATTATAATGACAAAGAAAGAAAGAAAGAATAAAAAAAAAAGAAAAACTCTGAAATGAATTAGAAACGAGATGAAAATAATGTGGACTGATACCAGTGCCCTTTCTCCCTATTTTTCTTAGCTTAGGGTCGCGCCGATCAAAAGCATTCGCTTACCACTTCCACCACTACTACCACTACTGAACATGACAATAAACCACACTGCCCGGAGAGAGTGGCTAAGCCTGGCTTTTCGAGGCAAGTACCTGTACCAAAAATCTAATCTCTTGCGAAAGAAAAAAAAAAACAAATTACAAAAACCTGTTGGAGCGTGCCAACAATCAATGATAAATTGATGAGCTCCCTCACTACCATTCAATTATCCCTTGTAAAGGAGTAACTATTTATTAACGCTTCAAAGATATGAAAAGTTGAGGAAAAATACACCTTTAGGGAATTGCCTCTATTGAGACGAAAGATGGATAAGAGCGCGTTATTGTTGATATTTTGGTGGATATTTCATACTTAACTCACCGTTCATTATAATCCATTGATTTCGCCAATAGAATTTGTCTCCACTATCTTCACTTTGCATACAATATGCAATTAGACCAGTTTCGTTGATGAGTTTTTATACTTCTGACTCCGTCTGAATGAAAATTTTTCGTTATTGAACAATATACGGTGAGTATGTGGCAGGAGAGAACGTGAAGGGAACTCGTTGGACCTCAAGAAGTGAAAAAAAAAAATATATATATATATATATAAAAATGAGTATTTCATTTGATTCAGTGAAACCAATTATCTTAAACACTAATTATTATCATTATTATTGTTATCATAATCAACATTGTAATAATAATAATAATTAATGGATAATAGCATTGGTATTTTTCGATGAAAAATGAAAAATATTAATGCAAAAATGACTAAACAGGTGAAGGAATTACTGATGAGTTTTGGACAGTTGAGGGCATTCAATCTTGTAAAAGATTCGGCAACTGGCCTGTCCAAGGGCTACGCCTTTTGCGAGTATGTTGATGTATCCATGACAGATCAAGCTATTGCTGGACTCAATGGTATGCAGCTTGGAGATAAAAAGTTGATTGTTCAACGTGCCAGTGTAGGAGCTAAAAATCCAATGATTGGAGCACAAGCACCAGTTCAAATCCAGGTTCCTGGATTATCCATGGTTGGCACTAGTGGACCACCTACTGAGGTAATTTTCCTTCAAATTTGCTCTCTATCCGAAGGAATGACAAATGTATTTCAAACATATGACTTATCAACGTTAGTTATACATAATTTCCCGTGTTATCAGGTACTTTGTCTATTGAACATGGTAACACCTGAGGAGCTGATGGAGGAAGAGGAATATGAAGATATTCTTGAAGATATCAAGGAAGAGTGTAATAAGTATGGAGTTGTCAGATCTGTAGAAATTCCCCGGCCAATTGAAGGCGTTGATGTTCCAGGATGTGGAAAAGTAATATTTACTAGAATTTTATGTTTATCACACACAAACAAGCGTATTGAATATATACTAATGTTTTTTGTTTTTTTTTCTTCTCCAATATTTCAGGTTTTTGTTGAATTCAACAGTGTGATTGACTGTCAAAAAGCTCAGCAAACTCTTACAGGTCGAAAATTCAATAATCGTGTCGTGGTAACATCATACTTTGATCCTGATAAATATCATCGACGTGAATTTTAAATAACTCGAAATGAACTTTACACATGAAATGAAAATAAACCGTTTGAATTACAACCTATAGTTGAGAAGTATCATATAACAAACATGACTGATTCATTTTTCACGCGAATCTAAAAATATGGTGATGATGATGATAATGATTGAAATTGGCCTATTTTTTGTGTTTAATACTGTAAATTCTTTTATGTAATTTTATTTTATCCGGAGAATAGGGCGAATTATAAAGCGATTATCATCAACTTTCACAATTGGTTTAATATTATCAAATTATAATGATGAAATGAAATAGAGTAAAATGCAAGAAAATTATGTTTCTGCGCATTAATACCTTGATAATTATTGAAATGAATTATAAATAATAAAGAAGCACATTTGAAATTGGTTTGTATTATAAAATAAAAGTTAATAATGACAATTGTTTTTACAATAATTATTCAATCATAGCATTATTGATTGATCATGTGATGAATAATTGGAATGTCAAATGAAGCAATGAAATGAGCAAGATCGTTTTACACTTCGTCCTGCATTGCTGGATGGTAAGATCGAATATCATTATCACCTGTACCATTAACGACGAATTTTCGAAGTAGAATGTAGAGCCCTCCGCCAAGTGTTAGCATTCCTAAACCGCAAAAAAGGACAATAGACCAAGCTGGAATAGCAAGACCGCCTTGAAAAAGACAAAGAAAATAAAATCAATTACCTATTTCATTTTTCCAGGAGCAATTTTTTTTTTCTACCTTACGAATACAAAAGTGGAAAACCATGAGTATTTTTTCATTGATGATTGCACTCGTAGAAATCGGACGTTAATTTAAATGATTATTGTATTCAATTGTTCAATTATACTACTCACTGTAATAATGCCGAGTGATTGTTTTTCTTCCGCGCAGAATTTTACGCCTTGCCTCTACTTCAGCCATGAGTACTCCGAGAATTACTATGATTCATAAAAACAATAATAAATCAGAATTAATAAATGTGATGTATGTTTATTGGATTTATTGGTTTATTTTACTCACAAAATCCTAAAGCGAGGAAATACAGGATGCTATGTGTCCGCATTTTGAAAATTCTCTCCAACGCTTGTGCTGTAGTAGGTGTACGTCAAAGAGACGAGTAAAATTGGGTGTGAATCAACTTTGTGATAACGTAGGTAGATAACACGTAGATTTATCTTTATCTTCTCTGATACACACCAAGTGCTCATAATAACTCGTTGGAAAGAAATCCCTGTGGGTGGTAATATGAGCCCATAGGACAGGTAGAATGAAAATTTAAGTACATATCATTGAACACAATATTTTATTGAGGTCGGAAAAAATTTGAGTTGGACAAAATGAAAATGAGAAGAATGATAAGTCATCATTTCACCACAATTGTCAATTATAGGGCCTCAATTATTGCGCCCTATAATTAAAGCTAGTGCGACCACCTCTCACTGTTGTATATTTCCATCTGACATTTCAAAGAGTAATCAAAATTTTCCAAATGCAAAAAAAGCATACAATAACCAAATATAACTCTTCTATACGATGATGTTTTTGATGCTTTGACTATAAACAGCTGGCACACATACAAGGCATACAGGCATTAATTTTTTGTCCATTTTTATCATTTCTTGTATTACATTCCGTCATCGGAAAAGAAATAATTATCCAATGAAAATGAGCAATTTCTTGTCATTACATCAGTCAATCAATATCCACTCATTTTTCTCATCGTTTAATGACAAATTTGACGAAAGAAAAAGAATTATTTTTATGATTAAATGAAAATTAAACATTTTCTCGCTTCTCTATAAAGAAAATACATAAATAATGAATTCACATACATTTTTCATGATGAAAAAGTTGTCAAATTCCGTGGATAGATTTTTTTGTGGTGAAGAAATGAAATGAAATTAAATGCAATATAGCTAAAAAGTAATGTTCAAGTAATACTCAAGTAACAGCTCTTTAAACACTATCTCCATCCTTTTTAAAAGCCTAAAAACTACAATAATCCCCACTCTTAGTCATTCTACCAAATGTGTTTTAATATCTGGAAATACATTTTTACAAAGCCTTTCATCACTGAATATTCTTTTCAAATAACTCTTCAATTTTTTGTATAATTTTTTTTTTTTTTACAAGAAATATATTTACGTATACTCGCGTGTTGAAATATGAATTTATCATTTCATCTAGTATAACTAATGCCTATACACTCGCGAAAACTCGGCTTGAAATAGCTTATACTATTTTCTTTTTTCTCTCCAACGAACAACTTGTTCAAATTTCTTCTGTTTCTTCTGTTTAATACTATTATATAATTTCTAATCAGTATTGGATGGCGTGTAATGACTTCGGTTTAATGTCGTGTTGAGTCTAATTTGTATATAGCTTTAATCTATCTATATGTGAATTGTCTATTTATTGAAAATTTAATACATCATGTCAATTCTCTAGCCTCTTTGTCTCACCCAAAATATTTATGTAAGACGTTTATTGTGTATTAGTTAATCCAATAATTTAATGAAAAGCGCAATTTATAATTCACAGCATGAAAATTGAATAATTAACAGAGTGCTTGCATAATTATTGTTATTTATATGAGGATTTATGCTTATCAGCAATCTTAATTGAGTGATTATTTTAATAGTTTTGGCAATACGCTATTGCTACACGATGGCTGGCTACACACACCACACCCCACTCCACCCACCATACACTGATACGCAATCGCGAGCGTATCAAAATGCAATTGTCAGTACATTGTTAGCACCCTGAGCACTGTATCTTTTAATTGTTGTATAATAATATATTCAATCAATTTATTAATTGCTTCAGTTTGTCTTCCTCGGATAAGGATAAGGAGTTTTATGAACGTGTCCATGTTAAAGCTCGACTACTCTGTTTGAATTTGCAGCAACGGCATCACTTGATTATCGTATAAGTGAATAAATATTAATATAATGTAAATAAATCCAATAGATCTTCATTTCTCAAGTTATACATTACCTAATTGTCATGTAATTTTTATGAATTGAACGTTTGAATTTACCTAGTGGCTAGCTTGTACTTCTCTCGGAAAGTTCTTTTTTCGTCTCATTCAAATGACTTTGTGAATAATTACTCTTATCTTCCACACATTGTTGTTGGCGTGTAGAAGTTGATACTATTGTTTGAGATTTTGAATGAGTATTGGCGGAATTGTTTTTCGGAAGGATTCCCTCCTTGACCAAGACTTGTTTGAATATGGCCAATGTTTTTCGGAGAGTGATACAAAAACCTCGAGATGCTGGAACTAGAGGAAATTGTGGCAGAATTTTTTCATCTGTAAAAACAAAATGCCAATGTGATTAATAATCAAGTGATGATTATGAGAGAGATATTTTCTTTTCTTTCATACCAATTTGTGAAAAGTCTTTAAATGTTGTCGGGGTCAGTGGTGACAATGGATGTTGATTATTATGATGCTCGGAAATTTCCATCCACATATCGAGTCGGTGTAGTAATTTCTCAACGTGCTTCTCAAAGTGTTTGACAATGGCTTCTTTAAAGACTGATGGTGGATGTTGCAAAAGTTTAGTTTGCGCCTGAACCAATTTCAAAACAACCATTTCATTGTACATTCTTGAATTTTCTCTGCCCTGTTGTGAGCCTCTTTGTTTTTCAAAGCCAGCTTCATTGAAATATGGCTCAGAGACAAGAATCAAGCCTTGAATTGAGACAATAACTTGAAGGAGTGTAGATGAACTTGTCCATAATTCAGTACCCCGTCCAGCCCAAGTACCCAACAAACTGACACAGACTTTACCATCCTCATACAAATTTGGATTTAATCTGTCACTGCAATATGATATATAATGACAGAGTGGAGGTGCGGCTGGATAATCAGCAGACAATTGGAAATCAAATAAAAATAAGCCATCCTCGTAAGGTGTCTTTTCAGGTCCTCTAAACATGACTGAATAAAGATCTATTCTATCTTCAAATCCTTTGACCCATATGCCTGGGGGAAGGGAGCCTCTTAATAATTTCAATTCTTTCGATACAGTTCTGAAGAAATTAGCTGGATCGGTTGGTTGGAACATTGTTAATTTAAATTTGTGACTATCTGGTGCACTTTCTTCAACTGAAAATCCTTCACCCTCTGTATAATGTGGTATTGGCATTTCAACCAATAATTGAGGAATTTCAATAGCGGTAGCAGCAACAGCAGTAGCAGCAGCAGCAGCAGCAGCATCAGCAGTAGCAGATGCTTCATTAATGAGCTTTTCATCATTCTCTATTATCGCTGGTGATATTTTCTGTGGTGAGCCTGTTTTTGTTGCATCTGATAATGACATTCGTGATAGACCAAATCTCTTTGAGACTTCTGCATGTGCAAGAACAAGTTGAGCTTTAATAAGGGTACAAAGTTTAACACAAACATGAGAATTTGCAACATGACAATTTATAAATGTTTCACTGGCTAGCTTGTTTTGTTCTACTGCTACGGAATTATTATCAGCGAGTGGTATTGGTGGTGTAGAACGATCAATAAGATTTGGATCGTCAGATAGTGGAAATTCACCGGCGCTGGAATCGCTCGAGCCAGATTCTTTTTTCGATATTTCAGCTGAAAAGAGACCAGAGTCCTCGGGATGTGTTGTCTCGTCTTTAGTTTCAATTGGTGTTATTTCTTGACAAGAATTGGTATTGGCATTGGATTCGAGAGAAGAACTGCCACATTCATGTGTAAATAGTCTATTAACTTGATCAGCAACTCTTTGAGCAACATTAGCACGTCCTCTCTCTCTTACACGCTCTAAAAGACCTTGAAAATTACTTTCATGAAAAAATGAAGTCCCCATGAGTTTATCCATATATCTGCAGTCTTTGTACACTTCAAGAAGTTTTCTCATAACTTCAGTTGTTTGTAGAGCTGGATTTTGAGTGAAAATTTCTTCCAATCTTGACATAGCAATTCTGGCCTTTTCAATATGAGCTGCCAATTTGGGTTTAATATTTTCCGTTTGTTCAGTTCCATCATTATCAGCAATGAAGCAGTCTTCGAGTTCGGTTTCCCAAGAGGCATCAGACGACACTTCATCCCACAATTCACCTTCATCACTGTCATATTCCCCAACTTTGTATAGATCCTGAGGCCAACACATACTCACATGTCCATCCACCCACCAAACTTTAACTCTACCTTCTGGATAATTATCCAAAACCTGACCAGCAGTACAGCCGGCGTCTTCTCCCTCAAAATTAGCAATGCGAATGACTAGAGTACCGGGACGGTACTGAAAATCAGGATGATCTTTTAAATCGTAAACTGATACTTCTCGCTCTTGTAAAAATGTTGGCTGTGGACTTTGGCTGGAAGTATATGTGCGAAACCATTTTATTTTCGCTGTTCTTCCCTGATGATCAACCGACTGAACTACACCATACATTCTAGATTCCTCTTTTTGATCAATAACAAAATCACCAGGGAAGAATTCTTTATCATCCAAATGATGAATTGGATAAAGCTGAGTTGAGGGTATTCCAAGTTCCACTGAACCATCTTGCCACACAACATTGGCTCTTGTATTTGTTGATAGAGTTTCAACGACAATTTTCGATCCAGTTATCAATGGAGCTGGTGCTACTTTTTTCTTAGCCTTTATCAATTTTTTTTTCTTCAATACTTTGGTCATTAAAGCAGGCCCCTTTGTTTTTTTCTTACCCGTTGATGACATACTAGAGCCACCACTTGACATGGAAGCCGTATCACTCTGTGATGCTGTATCCTCAGTATCCCAGTCATCGGAACTGTCATTTCCGATGCAACTTGTAGGAAGCATCAATTTATTGTTTTCTTCACTTGTTGTTGTAGTAGTCTTCACTTTTGATTCAGCCTTTATTTTCAATTTTTCCTTCGAGTCGTTGTCTTTACAATCTTTTTGTTTGTTTTCAGGTATTTTTACGCGAGATTTACGTGGACTGTGTTTAGGAACTTGAAATACCTCTCGTTGTTGCTTTCTCCATTGTTCACGTGTTATAATATTTTCATTTCCTTTTAATAAATAAAAGTCTCGATCACCGACCTGCAGTGTCGAGGGCTCAAATACATTGAGTAGCTTCAATTTTTTTAAATCATCACCCTCAACCAAAAATTTTGGCTGCATTTGATGTGACCAGGCACCATCTTTTGAATAAGCTCTACATTGCCAATGCACACCTACCCAATCAGCTTCCACTTGTTGAACAATAACTTTGGTTTTTTTCTGAGGTTTTGATTTACGTTTAGCCATCATTTCTTTAGTGCATACTATCCACTCAGCATCTTCTAAACACTGAATTGGCCCCCAAAGACACTGCCCAGGATAAAATTCCGATGAATGGGGAAAATCATTGTCACTGTCTCGTCTTTCCTCAAAATTAGCTAAACCCTGTGCATCCATTTCATTGATAACACATTGCGAACCATCGGGTGTTGCAAGCCACAGTTTAAAATGAACCATCCGAATTCCACCAACCCAAGAGTCCATACAAACAGCAATGTCAGTTCCAAATTCCTAGCCAACAATTATTATTATTATTATTATTATTATTCATCATTCCATTATAGAATAAATATAGATGAATAAGAAATGAAAAAATAAATAAATAAATAAATATTCAAACCTCTAGCGGTGTTAAATCTTCACTCTTTATATTTGTAAGAACTTGCTTTGTTCCAATAACCTGCACACAAGCAGTCAATTCAATATCTCGACAATAACCCCGTTGAGTATCCTTTCCTTTTATCATTCTCCTCACCACATCACCGGGCATCAGTGTTCTATCAGCTAAATAAACCTGTGAAATTTATTATTATTATAATTATTATTGCTGTTGTTGTTGTTGTCATTTTTCATAATATTGCCATTGACATTGTTTTACTGCACCTTTTTAGAATTGACTAGCTCCTCGACACCGGATGGATGCCATACCACGCGTATTTCACCCTTCTTCCTCTTGGGACTCTCTTCACTATCAGAACTTGATTCAGACATGTCCTGATCATCATTTTCCATGACGATGCCAAATTCAATATTACCACGTTTATCAACACGGTAAACAACATCCTCGTAAAAATATTGCAAATCGACAGGCACGTTAGTGGCCATTTTTCACCCACCAAATATGTATATATAGTAGGTGTGTTGAGTATTGTTATCTTATTAACCCCTGATTAGAGACTGAAATTTTCGTCCAACTTGTGGGCTAGTAGGTAGTATCTTTTCACGGGCTGACGATAGCAATCCCTTCAGAAATTGCAGAGCCAATCATTTGATATTATATATCAATTAAATATTATAATCGTAGAATATCAAATGATACTGTAGACTCTTATGCCTCTATACTAATATTAATTAAAACTTACATACGATACGGTATTTAACGCCCAACGGCCCAACTTATTCCGCTATCTCTGTGTCCTCTGTCCTCCAAGAGGGACAGCAGGCGGGCGGTTAAATACATATATATTTTATATGTATATACACTGTAAATTTTATAGGACTTGCACTCTGGCGACACGCAGAGAGGTTAATGCGCACAATCCTATGCGCACTACTTTTTGCACATGTAAATTCGCAAATTTAATATCTTGTTATTTATTGTCCACAATTCGAGTCGACAAATGTCTTGATAATTTTTGTTTTTTTTTTTCCATACACAGATGACACGACGGAGGATTTACTCGTTAGACATTGTGAGAGTATAAAAACTGCTTGAAATGTGTATGAAATGCTTTCATTTGTTTCATTTTTTTTTTCGATTCCCTTTTACTCTAAGGAAATCACGAGTATAGGGAAAATGAGAGAAAAAAATATAAAATTTCAATTAAAATATAAAATGAATTTGGATGGAAAGAGCAAGAGAAAAATTATTTTTATGAGTGAATTAAAAATTTTATTCGGCAATTTTTGCACTGTAAATTTTATACAGGCATGCGCGCTAAAATTCTCTTCGACAATGTTCGGTCTTTCGTCAATATATCTCTACCATATCTACATATACCTCCCCACCAGTATTAGCGAGAATGAACAACCATCGCCAAAGGCAATTATATTCTTTAACTTGAGGTCAGTGTCACACATGCATTGTCAGTGTAAACTCACTATATCGGTTGGCTCTGTTATTATCGCTCTTTTTCGCATGTAATATTCTTGTTGTAAATGAGATTTGTCGTCATTTGCCAGTATAATAAATGAGAAATGGCGGAAAATATTTCTGATGTGAATGAGGTGAAGATTGAAGCCCTTGATACTTTTTTAAAAGAATTTGGTGAAGAAGCAACTCACTGTGTATGTGCACCCGGTCGAGTCAATGTCATTGGAGAGCATACAGATTATAATGAGGGATTCGTCTTGCCCATGGTAAAATTGTATTTTTCATTTCTAAAAAAAGACATTTTCCAAAATAAATATTGTGCTATAAAGTTATTACATGTGTTTACATCGTCATTAAGATTATGAAAGAAAAAAAAGTGTATATATATATATATATATAGTCCTCACCAGTCAAATGATAAGAAGAAAATTTGACATTCAAGAGTCATTGAGTTGTAATCTTGAGATTTTATAGGATTATTACGAATTAATGCAGCTCTTCTTTTATAAAATACAAGTCAAAGTTCGGAACTTGATTGATCCATAACATTTTCTTGTTTGGCCGCCGAAATAGCCAATAATATAAACTTTTGCTTCACAAACATGAAATCAATTTGAAAGTAATTAATTGAAATGTTGGAATGTATAATTTATATTATTTAGGCCCTCCCAATGGTCACCGTGATTGCAGGCAAACCCAATGGAACAAATATCTGCACTATTATATCCGCTAGTTCTGCGGGGACAATGAGCGTTAGTAAAGCTGAGTTCGATATTAGTGAGCCCGCGGCGATCAAACCTGGCGAACCAAAATGGGCAAATTATGTCAAAGGATGCATTGTCAATTTTCCAAGTACACGAGCAATTTTTCCAAGAGAAAATTCAAATACTAATATTAATGATACTTTGTATTGAAAAAAAAAAACATTTGACAGATGCATTAGCAGGTTTCAAGGCTGTAGTGATTTCAACAGTGCCAGTAGGTGCTGGCTTGAGCAGTTCTGCAGCTCTGGAAGTAGCAACGTATACTTTTCTAGAAGCAATAACTGGCCAACAAGCCAGCGATCCCGTCCAAAAGGCCATATCATGTCAAAAGGCAGAGCATGATTTTGCGGGTGTGCCTTGCGGTATAATGGATCAATTTATCTCGGTGATGGGTATAGATGGACATGCTCTTTTGCTCGATTGTCGGGATAAATCTGTGATCCAAATACTCATGGAAAATCTCAAGGATCATGTATTTTTAATTACCAACTCCAATTCTCCACACAAGTTATCATCAAGTGCCTATCGTGATCGTAGAGATGCTTGCTTTGAAGCTGCCAAAAAGTTGGGAAAAAATAGTCTTCGAGAAGTGTCGTTGGAAGACATCAAGAGTAAGACATGATAATAATAAAAGTTTAATGAATAAATGCTCATTTGTAGCTACAACTTTTCAACTATTATAGCTTTAGAGAAGCAAGGAGTTTCCAAAGTTACAATAAATCGTGTGCGCCACGTGATAAATGAAAATTTACGAACGCAAGAAGCAATGAAAGCACTACAAACCGGAGATTATAAAAGAGTTGGCGAATTGATGAATGAAAGCCATGATTCACTGCGGGAAAATTACGAGGTCTCATCTCCGGAATTGGAGACTCTCGTTAATACGGCCAGGAGTGTTAAAGGTGTTCTCGGGAGTCGCTTAACTGGAGCTGGCTTTGGTGGCTGTACAATAACTTTGTTGAAAGAGGACTGTGTATCTCAAGTCATCAATACAATTAAAGAAACGTGAGTATTCTAGCACTTTTAATTAATATATGAGCAATCAATCAATTTTTTCATCTTTACAGATACACTGGTAAGGCAACATTTTATATGGCGAAACCATCGGCCGGAGCAAGGCAATTAGATTGCCATCGTTAATTTACCACCTTGATTTGTATGGTGAAAATATCAATTTTTGTACGCAAACATGTATATGGAAAAATATTCACAATATTTTCATTTTAAAAATGTGTCTTATTATTTCCTAATTTCCATGCATATCCATATATGACTTATTGTTTGCATATGTAATTAGTGCCGTGTCACTGTAATCGCAGAAATCGTTGAAGAATCTAGAAAGATAACGAGATACTCGTTTTTTGTTTTTCTTTTTTTTCTCATCATTGTTGCAATGAAAATTGCAACTTTCACTGGCAATAATTGAACAACACTTTACCTCTCAAGCTATCGTTTAATTCAGTTTCACTGGAACAGATCCACATTTCTGACGGTTTAACTCCTTGAAAGATGGCAATGATACTTGGTTTTAGATTTAAAAATATCAATGGTTGACCTCTTATAAAAAAATCTTGGATCAAGTTCTTTATTCCCTTGGCAGCTGTAAAATCAGCCGCCTGAATGTGCGTCGAATCAATGACAACTGGAACATTATTCCCCAGTCGTGTTCCATGTTTACTTATCATGGCTCTGACATATTCAACACTTGGAAATGAGAGACTTCTATCTGGTGTTATTAGCAAGTATTCACAGCCACTTGGACTCTGAAATTGCAGCGGCATTTATTAAAATTACTATTATGTATTTCTTGTTTGTCGATATAAATATGTACTAACTAACTAACCATCATTTTCATGACTTTGAGACTTGGTCGGGCAGATGCATACAGTAGGAAGAGTAAATTCACTCCAATTCCAATTACTATTCCCAATTCCAAATTGACAAAAAGACAACAAATAAAAGTCACGGCTGCAGGCACCAAGTCAATCTCTGGAAGAAGAAAAAAAAATAGGTGATGACAAAAAAAGTAGGGGACGTCGAGAATATATGTAGTGTACATTTATAAATTGATAAAACATACTTTTCGTTCTCCACATTGGTTTTATCACGTGAAACTCAACCATGAACAAAACTGCTGCAATAATTACAGCGGCCAGAGCACATTTTGGAATGTAATAGAGATATGGAGTGAAAAATTGAAGAGAGACAAGGACAAGGATACCGGTGTAAACACCACCCAGAGTGGTTTTAACGCCCGATGAATGGTTCACAGCTCCTCGACTAAGTCCACCACTTACTGGCATTGACGAAACGAAAGAGGACAGTAAATTGCATAGGCCAATAGCCAACATTTCTTGAGTTGCATCAATAGGTTTGCCATCAGCTGAAGAATTGAACAATGATAATGAGAGGTAAACAAAAAATAATAAATAAATAATAATAAATGAATAAAACAGACATACAAAAGACTTTGGCAAGTGCAATACTCTCCAATAGGCTCAAGAGAGGCACAACGATACATCCAGATCCAAGTGCAGAGACCATATCTATGAAATTGTATGTTACGTTGCCCTCAGTAGTTGTGAAAGGCGGTAATTGTAGGCTCGGTAAGCCTTCTTTAACGTGACCAGTTAAAATCACTGGTGATGATCCCAAATGATTCTCTAGATACCAACAGGCCACAGCTGATACAACAACAATTAATATATTCCTTGATGTACTCAAGAACCACAGGAATGCCTGCATTATTTTAGTGCTTGTTGATGATGTGACTTTTGTATCCCTTGAGATTAAAGGAATGTCTTTGACTTTCTGTATAAACATGTCAATTGTAATAGGCCATTAGTTATAGGCCATTAAAAATGCAAAAAATAGGCTTATACTGACTCTAAGAATTAATAAGACTGCTATGGAAATAAGTCCCCATATAGTGTCCCAGATACGGGTGTCACAGATGTGTTCAAAGACATTGTGCCATGTATCAAGAAAATTTCCCCCGGAAATTCGAATCCCGAGGACGTCTTTAATTTGGCTTGTAGCAATGATGATTGCGGCTGCGGATGTGAATCCAACAGAAACTGGGCCAGATATAAAATCAATGAGGAATCCTGTATGTGTACACGCAACAATAATATATATATATATATATATACATATATTATATTTCTGTGATGATGATGTTTTGCACAAGTGCACTTACCCAATTGGAGAATCCCCATGAGCAATGACACGACACCAGACATAAATGCTAATAAAACAGCAAAATTAGGGCCTACATGAGCGCGCGTGAGTGTTTCACGTGTTAAAATAGCGGCGATTGCTGTTGGGCCTACAGGTACATCCTTGCTCGATCCAAATATCGTATAAACAAAACATGCCATAAATGATGAGTACAAGCCATACTGGAAAAATAATCATCATGTTATTTAAATGTAAAACTCAAAAATGCAACTATTATACCTGAGGTGGAATACCAGCAACATTGGCATAAGCAATAGCCTGAGGAATGACAGTCAGTCCAACGGTGATTCCAGCAACGAGATCACTGACAACATAATCACTCCGATACCTTGGAAGCCAATCAAGTATTGGTATTCTTCTATAAAGTAATTTTGTTTTGAAGGATCTTCGGAGCCTCTGGCATAACCATCGCCTATTCCAGCAGAACCTCTCTTTTTCACGCTTTTCATCACTATAGCTAACTATACATAAAATATACATTAACAGCTCAATAAAAATGTCCATTCAATTTATTTATATCAGGTGTTTGATAACCGAAGCAAAAAAATATATTATTCAAGTTATTGAATAAATTATTCATACAATATTTGTTTACCATTCAATTGCTTATTTTCATCCCTTTGGGAGATTTCATTTGCTAAATTAGTGCCAATGATGGTTGTACCTTCAGGTGAACTACTAGTAAACCCAGTGAGTCGTACTTCCTGAGCCACCTCCCTCTGATACTCGTCCTTGATCTCGTACCTTGACATCTCTTGTTCTGATTTTTCATCAATTCTGTATATGCATGAGATGTTTGTTTATTTCTCTTACTCATCATTCATATATGATTCTCAAAATACTTTAGTGAAGGCTGATACCTACTTGGAATTTTTCTGGGACCAGGCGGGCCACAGTTAATGCCTCTTGCAGTTGAAATATCTTATTCTTAAATACATACCACTTGCTTCAACTGGAACGAAAATTTCAACTACTAAACAAAACCAGCAGAAATAGTTAAAATATGTGGGACATATTGATTAACAACTCATTTTATTTAATGCCTTCCTTTAATGAGAAAGACAAATTTTCCTCTCTGAAAGATTATTTCCTTATATTGAAATTGAGTGACAAAGCAGTAAAAGAGTAGAAACGATTTTATTAAAATAAAAATCTCATTTTCTGATAAAGGAAAAATTTACTGAAACACAAATCACCATTAGGTTTATTGAAAAAACCAAAAAAATACGCACACATCTTGCTAATGAAGAATTGAGTTCAACTGCGCCTTTAATTGATAGGAAAATTTTTGCATACAAGGTTAACACCAAAATTGTGAAAGGAAGATTTGTTGGGAAGTGAGAGCCCATGCAGCAGCACTCCGTCCTAGGTTTATACAGTGCAGAAACTACCGGTTGTTTCACATAAATAAATTTTCCAAGTGCTCGACTCGCTGCAGCAAAAGATACATCTTCTAGGGGGTACAACTACAATCGCACTACGCATGCGCATCTTTTTCAAAACAACGCCACGTGCTCTGCCACCCATTAATACATATATACATATATATTATTGACATTGGAGAGAAAGGATGCTTCATTATTATTACTATTTTTATTATTATTATATACAGAGCCGGCTAACCATTAGTGTTGATGTCCATCCTTCGGCGAAAAAATTATATTTATGGAGGAAAAAAAAAAGTAAAATCTCCAAGCACGTAAAAAGTCACTTGTTTGTATTTCTCGGAAATAATTTATATAACTTTGAGTCGTATGATCGGTTTACCCATTTTCGTGATTATGTAAATGAAAAAAAAAACATCCTCGAGGTGGAAAATTTTGGACAATAGTGCCACACAAAGACTACATGCGAGATTGCATGTCTCCTCTCCATATTGATGGAATTATATATTTTCAATATTCATAATGAAGAATGAATGAGACTGTTATGATAACTCAGCCAACCAAGCAATTACAATAAATGTGACAATATAGTATAAAAATTCATTGCATTGATCGTGGCTATAGGATTACATAATTGAAGAGATTTAAGCTTGAAACCAGGCTTAAATTCTAGGACTCGTCGCTATTATTCATGATCACTGGGATGAAACCGGCGCATCGAAATACAAACTGTCGATTCGTGTGGATTGTATAAATTCAAGGCCAAACCGTTGATTCCCTAAAGCTTCTTTTTTCTATCGTGTGAATGAGCAGCAGCAAAATTAACGTGAATATTCTACGAATCAATTTACCCTCCTAGCATGAAAACAGAGGCGGAATTGTATAATTAAACTTGTCAACACAAAATTTTCGTCACTTCATCTTTTAGCTATTTCATAATTGGTTTCTTCAAAGTGATTTCCTTTTGTCAGTACGAAAAAAAAAAGAAACAAATGTTTCATAACAAGTCTTATACAAGTAATTATTTCACGTTTCCGGCAATCAGTGTAGAGTAATTTCGAGATTGTACAGAAGATTGAGCTAACAAAAGTGACTATTGTGCTGATAAAGTTTGAATAGTATGCTGTTATTTTCTTTGATTTTTTTGTGATTAGGTCTCCATTTGATTATTATGACGATTAGATTTGCTCCAGCCTTCGTACAATGCTGTTTCGACTTTTTCATTGATTGATTGATTTTACATAGCCTTCGATTGAAATTTACTTTTTTTTGTGTATATACACGATTGTATGAAATGTCTGGACATTACAATACTATTGCAGGCTGCTGACTAATGCCAAATAATGACTTTATTCGAAACAAAAACATTGAAGTTGTACCAATTTTCCGCATGGTACCACTATGACAAAGTAGCTGGGTGTTGGAGTTTGCGGGGTATGTTGCGGGGATAATAAAAGAGATTGTGCATTCGATTGTGACTTGGAAGATTATTTGAATAATACAGTGTTGAACCGGTACGATTTTCAAAAAAAACAACATTGATATAAAATTTGTAGTGCAAGTCTCAGCTTGAGTGGATTTTTATTTTATACAATAATATCTAATTGGAACTTTTTCAAATGACAATTCAAATTTATAACATTTTAAGGCAAAAAGTATCTAGAAATCCCTAATATCTAGGGTAAATGGTGCCTTGTAGTTGATGTAGGTTGGAACGACCGAATAATGCGTATGTATGTACATACATAATTTTACAGCTGTGTTTCCAGTCAGAGTTTACGAATAAAGGCAATACAAATATAATATGTAACGGAGAAATAGAAAAAATCGAGGAAAAACAAAATCACGAGTGGGTTAGTTTCATTTTCGCTAAATTCCATTTACTGATAGGAAGTCGATGAATATTTTTCGATTTTAATAATCAGGTCACACAATTGCGACGTAAAAAGTTGGTCAATCAAGAAATTAATAGTGCTCAAAAGAGTGAATTGCTTGTGTGAATATAAACAGAGAACACGACTTGCATACATATATATAATACAACAATTGGAATCAATTCTGAGGTGATAAAATTCAAGTGAGTAAGGCTAATTTATAAGAGAATCTCAGCTATAAATTAACGTGTACAAATGAAAGCAAATGATATATTTGTACTTTTTTAATACAGAGACAAATGGAGAAATCGGGTGCATCAGACATTGTTATCGTGTCTGGGAATTCTCACCCAGAACTTGCTGAATTAATAGCAAAGTAAGAATAATCATTGATAATAAAATAAAATGAAAAACCAAATTCAAGGCTTTTTCAATATTGATTGATAAATTTCCTCAATTTCCAGTCGTTTAGGTATTAAAAATGGTGGTTGTACAGTTTATCACAAAAGCAATCGGGAAACAATGGTGGAAATTGGTGACTCGGTTCGTGGAAAAGATCTATATATTATTCAAACTGGTACAAAAGATGTTAATAATAATATTATGGAGTTATTGATAATGGCTTACGCCTGTAAGACATCATCAGCCAAGAATATCATCGGAGTCATTCCATACTTGCCATACTCTAAACAGTGTAAAATGCGTAAAAGAGGCTGTATCGTGTCCAAACTTTTGGCTAAGATGATGTGTAAAAGTGGGCTTACCCATATTATTACAATGGATTTGCATCAAAAAGAAATTCAAGGTTTCTTCGATTGTCCTGTTGATAATTTACGTGCCAGTCCATTTTTACTGCAGTATATTCAAGAGAGTGTAAGTATTAGTAATATAATGGCACATTATAGTTGCACAAAATCCAGGTTATTATTGAATTTTTCAATTTTTTTTTCTTGCAGATTCCAGATTATCGTAATTCTGTGATTGTTGCTAAAAATCCTGGGAGTGCAAAGAAAGCAACAAGTTATGCTGAGAGACTCAGAGTTGGAATTGCAGTTATTCATGGTGAACAAAGAGAATCAGAATCTGATATGAATGACGGTAGAAATTCACCACCATCAGTTTTATTATCTTCGAGAACAATGGAAGTAGGGGTTGGCGTTCCTTCACATCCAGCTAAAGAGAAACCACCAATCAACGTTGTCGGTGATGTTAGCGGTCATATTGCTATCATGGTGGTAAGTTATTTATTCTTATATTATATATCATATCTCTTGAGAATAATTTGATTGATGGATGATGAATAATATTTCAGGATGATATGGTAGACGATATGCAGTCATTTGTTGCAGCAGCTGAGTTATTAAAGGAACGGGGGGCATACAAGATTTATGTTCTTGCTACTCATGGACTCTTGAGTTCAGATGCTCCAAAACTCATTGAAGAATCCCCAATTGATGAGGTAAATAATGGATACATTTTTATATTAACAATACAACTCTACAATGATATTCTTAATTGTTTTCTGCATTTAGGTTGTTGTAACAAATACAATTCCCCATGAACTCCAGAAGAGTCAATGTTCCAAGATAAAAACTGTTGATATCAGCATATTACTTGCGGAGGCTATACGCCGTATGCATAATAAGGAATCCATGTCCTACTTGTTTAGGAATGTCACAACGGAGGATTGAATTCATCGGAGAAAATCAACTTATCGTCATTTTCTCTTATTATATACATTAAACAGGCCTTTAATGTGTAATAAATATAGAGTAAGGGTTAAGTCACTGCATTAATAGAATCGTCAAAATGAAATTATAAAAAGCATGGCGATCCTTACCACTCAGCGTTCTATTACTTTAGGGACCACATAAGAATCATGTTTGTTCCGTAATTTTCTACAACAAATGATAAATGGCTGAATCAATCAATCAATCAATCAATCAGCTCGAAAAAAGGTACATTGTACAAATAAAACAACAAAGTTTCTTGGTCTGAGTATTTTTTTACATTTTCGAATAATGTTTATGAGAAGCCGAAATAATCTGTTGTTTGTACAAATACTCTCTTTCTCTCTCTCTCTCTATACAGAATTAACTCAATCACGTAAGTTTTTTTTATTTTTACAAACACACTGTGAAATATTGCTCATCAATTTGGTTCTTTATGGCTCATATGTAAAGAATGGACTTTACAAAAAATCAATCGACTACTAAACCCTCCAAATATTATAGCAAAAATAAAATACGGTGTGGCATTTGTATGCGAATTTTTCTTCTTGTTTTTTTTTTTTTTATAGTAATAGCCAGGATATACTATAATATATTAATGTTTTACATTGTAGAAAGCATAATATAGATGTACATCCTTATATCTGAATAATAATCATAAATAATCAATTGGAATAATAATAAATTGATGTTACCATGGTATCAAACAATTGCTTAGCAACGATTTTTAGAAATTCTTTAAACATCTTATGGGTGGTCTGATAATAAAAGTCAATGTTAAAAGTGTTAAAAATGTCAAGGGTGGAAGAACTTCAATTGAGTGAGATTTGTTTTTCATTCCAATGCCAGGAGAAAAATAAGCGATTAAGGGCATTGGAAAAATTTAAAAAAATAATCTCTAGCAGTGAGAAGGAATGGTCCAACAGTGAAATGTCGGAAATGTGGCAAATCATGAGTAAACATATTGCAAAGCAGTTGACAGATCCGTCGGAATCTTGTAGAAACTTGTCCATTGAAATAACGAAAACAATGCTAGAGTCTCTTCCAGATTTGGGGAAAAATATAATATACTTGATACCAGTGTTAGTGCAACGCTTGGCATCTCAAGAAATCCGTGAACCTTCCGAAGAAGTCAGGCTGAATTGTGTCATTCTACTTCGAGTAATAATTAGAAAGTATAATGAACATTTGCCAGTATACATTGATGATATGATGGCAATCCTTGCAAAAACCGTTATTGATGATTATCCAAAAATTAAAAGTGAGAGCTGTGAAGCTATTTCAGAATTGGCAAAGAGCATTCCGGCCCAATTTTATACGAAAAGTGAGAGCATTGTTAAGCCCATATTGAGTAATTTTACACATCAACATTATCGAATTCGAATGGCGAGTGTCAAGACAATTGGCAATGTCTTACTCTATGGAAATAACAAATCCTTAGAGGATGTAACTACTTGCATGGCTGCAAGATTGTTCGATCAAAGTGGAGCTGTTAGAAATGGTTAGAAATGTCATGTCTTATACATTTTATATATTCGATAAAACTTGGCAAGATTTTTTTTTTTTCAGCTGTTATTGAAGTTGCTGGTAATTGGTTGTTGAACCTTCGAGATCGATACAGCTGGTGGTTCAAACTTATACCACTCCTTTTGACTGGACTTCATGATGAAATTGAAGCCATTCGACTGAAAGCTAATAATTTATGGAATTCCACGGGTAGACAGTATTTACAAGAAAATGAATCAGATGATAAAATAAAGGATAAATTGGATTATTTAACTTTTCCACCCGAGCATTATCCTCCAAACAGTATGTAAACTTAACCCTGTATGTATGTTTTTACCCTGTTTAAAAATTTTTTTTTCTTCTGCTTTCTTCATGCAGTTGAAAGATCAAACTTGGGATGTCGAATAATTGTCCAACAAAACATTGGTAAATTGATCGGTGGAATATGCAGCGAACTGGACGATTGGCTGGCTGACATTCGAGTTAGATCAGCTCAATTATTAGCAGTTGTAATTTTGAATGCAGAGCAGGATACAATTCAACATATAGAAAAGCTCTTACCATCAATGTATAAAGCTTGTGCCGACGAAGATGACAGAGTAACTGTCAATGTCGTCACTGCTGCTGAATATATGGGACATTTTGTGCCTCCTCAAACGTATTGCCGTCTAGTTCTTCCAACTCTTGAGGATGGAAACATTCATTTTGGGCATTTAGCATTTTTTGCTGCAATTCTTCGTGGTAGCCAACGTGGACTACTCTCCAAAGAATTGAAAACCATTGCCAATTTTTTACAGCAAACATATATTTGCCGAAGTAAGAAGGCGAATTATCAGCAGGAACTCTTAAAATGCTGCCAAGCTCAGTTGGAAGTTTGTCAAGAGGTTTGTCATAATAACGATGACAATATCATCATTAATAGTCAATATCATCTATTTATCATGTTTTTTTTTTCTCCTAGGATTGCACTAGTATATCACAGGAGCTTTTTATCACTATATTCACTGTATGGTCAATGTCAAACAACCAAAGTACTCAAGATTTTGCACGACAACTCTTACAGACGCTCGCTAAAATGACAAATGTCAAAACTCTACAAGATTTATATATACTACATGTGCCATCACTTCTACATGATATAAAAAATACACCAAATACTTGGACAGTACATAGTGGAGAATTAAATATTTTTCAACTGTGCTCGTCAGAAGCGAATATTGCAACGTTGGAGAATGTTGATGTTGTTTTGCCAATTTTAAGAGTAGCAATGAGCCAAGATTCGGATATAGAATTGAAATTAAAACTTTTCATTGTTGTATCAGAATTATTACAGCATCGAGGTGTATGTTTAATGAAAAGAAGAAAAGAAGATTTGAATGGATTTCTTGTTGAGTTTTTGAGTGATATACTGATGCCATGTTTAGTATGGGTGGCAGGAAGATCAGCAGAAGCACTTAGAACAGCAGCTATTGGATGTCTATGTTCACTTTTGGACGAATCACCTGGCAAACAAATCGACACATTCGAGTCTCACGAGTGCAAAGAAGAGATGGACACTATTTTTTCAAATAAACAATTATTTTTATCTATTTTTAAACAAGTCAGGCCCATTCTCATATCTCTAATTGATGACAATTCGCGCAAGACAAGATTATTTGCTCTCCGTGCAATATATTTAATGATTAAGAATGCATCGAAAATATTTTCTATTACTGAAGAGGATATTATTGAAATTTATCCTGCAATCGTGCGAAGATTAGATGATGGCTGTGACGACGTTAGATTTGCAGCTACTGAAACATTAGTTTTTGTGTGGAAAGTCTCGAAGAATCATAATCTCAACGTGGGGAAGAGTCATATTAATTATCTTTATACATCCATCATTGTCCATTTGGATGATCCAGAAGAGCGTTTTCACGCTTTAATGTTAGGTAATTTTTGGAATTTTTATTTCATAATTCAAATATGATGATATATATATATATATATTTTTTTTTTGTAGATGCAATGATGACACTTGCTGAAATTCATCCGAAAATGCTTGCTGATAAAATTGAAAAATGCAAAATCAATTTCCGCAATCAAGTGGAATTGGAAAAACTCCAAGATAAATGTCATCTCTTAATAAATAGAGGAACAGAGCAGTAGTGACGGATGTTTTTGTGTTGTTTCTCCGTATACATTTTTAATATATTTAAAAGTATTGATTGATGTATTTGTCTCACAGCAGACAATGCAACTTTATATGGAATAAAATGATAGGAAATGAGAGTGGTGTATTCAAGATAAAGATTGTTTAAAACACTTGGCATTGAAATTCCCGGTCGTTCATATAAATAAGAGATTATAAAAAGGGGGGGGGGAGCATATTTGTTGGTGTGCGTGTGTGTGCTCCAAGAGCGCGCCTGGTGGTTAAATATCGTATCCCTTCAAGATATGCCACAACTTGAATATTTTTTTTTATTGCCCAAAATAATGAACGGTATCATGGAAAAAAAGAGGAAATTTTTATTATTGCTTCTCAAGTGAACATATTAGAGAGAGTTTTTCTTTTTCTTCCAGAGTAACTCATCAACTCCATGAAAAACAGGAAGTTAATGCGCCCAAATCAGCCATATTGTTGAGGCCTTTTCCGTTTGGCAAGAGAGTAAGCGATATTTCTCCGGTGTATTCAGGCATACTATCTAATGCCTGCTGAATAGAGTTTGACGGAATCGAACAGAGAGGAGACAGAGCGAGAGAGAGAGAGAGAGTCTCCATGTGAAGTAATAGTTGAGCTTGAGCAGGGGCTATTATAATAATTAAGAAGAAAAAATATTGAGTTAACAACTTTTACCTATCCTACTTATATTCTCATCTGGGGATCTGATTGATTGTTGTTGTGAATTAATTTGAAGATTGCGGTGAGTTTTTTAGTACACATTGACGTTCAATAAAATACACCCCCTACGAATAGATTTTGGCGACAGACTTTCATGTTATCATGTGAGCCAGTGAATAATTTACATGTTTTTTTTCCATAATCCATGGCTTATTATTAATTACTCCCTAGTTGCAATGACTTACTAGCCATCTTTATAAAATAAGTATAAGTACTTCATATAATTTATAAAAATAATATCTGAGTAAGAAAAAAAATAAGAGTGAATATTTTCTTGCATTTTCAATATAATTAGATTTTCGCTGGGGGGAGTTTATTAATTATCTATTAATTATGTATAATATGTTTTTTTTTTCCTTTCTTTCTTTATTGGTTTAGTGTGTGAGCCAAAATGGCAGATGCAGCAGGTGATCATGTTGGCCCTGTTGAAGAAGAGTTGGAAGTTGAATCAAACTATAAACCTCCACCAGAGAAAACGATAGAGCAACTGCTTGAAGCAGATAAAGAGGATGAAAGTTTGAGAAAATACAAGGAGACACTTTTGGGCGAGGCCCGAGCTGGGGGTATTGTCATTGGTGTGTCAAAATTTAAAATCCATTCAATAAATTAAAAATTTTAATGTATGCAATGTATTGATTAATATTCAATTTGTGACCGTGTTTCAGATCCCAACGATCCTCGTAAAGTAATTGTTAAAAAATTGGCACTATGTGTTGCTGATAGAGCCGATATGGAACTTGATTTAACCGGGGATCTGAGTCAGCTGAAAAAACAAACATTTACCATCAAAGAAGGTGTCAGCTATCGTATTCGAATTGATTTTATTGTTCAACGAGAGATTGTCCACGGTTTGAGATATGTACAAAAAACATACAGGCTAGGTGTACCCGGTGAGTAGTAGTTTCCATACTTGTGATCGAATATCCTTCAAAAACTCGAATATCTTGATCTAATGATAAAATAATGATGAAAATATATATATATATACACCTATATATGCTGGCATCCAATAAAGGAGTGACAGGTAAAGAAACCACCTTATTACTAAAGCGGTTTTAAAATAATACACTTGGGTGAAAATAAATCAACCAATTTGGCATTTATTTTTATTGGAATATTTTTCATTTTTTTTTCTATTATTATTTATTCATTACATATTTTTACAACAGTTGACAAGATGACACATATGGTTGGTTCTTACCCACCAAAAACTGAAGTCCAATCGTACACAACTCCACCAGAGGATGCACCAGCGGGCGTTATGGCACGGGGATCCTACACTGTGAGTTCTTTATTCACCGACGATGATAAGCATGAGCATCTCAAGTGGGAGTGGTCATTTGATATTAAGAAAGATTGGAAAGAATAACGATTGTCTATCCATCTTGTGACTACTCATTGCAATCTTCAAGATGAACCTTTTAATACAATAAAAGTTAATTATTGCTAAGCCATCAAGTTTGTAGAAATGGATGCCTAGTATAATAAATCCATTTTTTCTTTTTTCGATTCTTCATTAATTTAGTTTGATGGTAATTTGATTTACCTATTACTCGATATATAGACATGTAGAGACCAAGGCCATACGGATTTGTATGTGTGTATTTTTTTTCTTCTTTCAATGCCAACGTTCAAACATAAAATACATGTATTAATGTGTATGAAACAATGAAAAAGAAAATGAAAAAAACCAAAATGATGGGGAAAATTTATTCAAGTTATTTTCTCAATTGTAAACATCATCCAACCATAGATTCACATAGGATATCTCTTTTGGCCCTGAAAACACGAGATAATATAAGAGAATATATCAATTTTTTCTAGGATAAAATGTGAAAAATATTTGTGTGAAAATGTACAAGTTTTTGGTGCCTCTGGTAGCATTTATATACGATATTCTCTGGCAGAATTAGTCGAGTTAACATACAGTGCCTACATCCTACATCATACTCTCAATGATCAATTTAAAACTTTTTCCGTTTTTTTTTTCTTTTTTTTTTCTTCCCAGCCTTTCAATGGCTTGTAATTATTGATTGAGAATCATCCCATACAAGTGTCATCGATATAATAAAGTCTTTAGGACTGGTTGCACAAAGCCTAACTGGCTCACGTCACTCGTCACTTGACGATTTTCCATGTACTTTAAGGTGGATTACTGATGATTCGTTGCTCGATGTGGGCTTGGTGTAACCAACAAGCACTATGAAATAATACTAAGTAAATATTGAGTTTTTACATAGAGTATTTGACAACAATATACACCACCATATAACCAATTTTTGAAGCCAAAATGCATTAATTGTACTCCATCAATGTAAAATATGTCGAAATAAACGTTTTCCATGCTACATACACAATTTAGCCTCTCAGTTGGTATTACCATTTTTCATTTGAGAAAAACAAAAACTCTATTATAACTCTATAGTTGGCAGAATAGATGCAATCCGGTCACGGTCACGGTCACACAAAAGTTACGGTCTGATCGTTTTCCTCTCCATAATCCTTCCGTTCTCAACGTCTCATCGTCGTCTCGGTCAGTGAACTGCTCCCCCTCCACTTTCTACTTTTCTATTCAGGAGAACATGAGCTCTGTTCCAAATTGCATCTTGTATAGGTTTTTCATATTAAAAAACAATACATGTTTTCTTCTTTCATTCAATTTTCAAAATGATAGAGTCCGGCAGATGTAGCTTTTTCTCATCGTGTACTCAATCGTTAAAAAAAAAGAAGAAAAAAAAAACCAATAAGTAAATAAAAGGAAAACGTAAAGTCATTCAGTACTGCTTCTCCAAAAGGTAATGAAAGACAATTTTTAGATAGTTTAGAATTGAGTAGGTTAACATGTTACAATTGAATCGGCCGAGTTGAACAATCATAAAACGAGTGTAGGTAGCTGATGAGGCCACGAAAATTGAGCAACAGGAGAATAATTGAGAACTGTAAACGTCAGGAGAAATTTGCGGCCTCATCTTATCGTGCTAGTCCGTCTGTCTGTGAAACTCTGTCGAGATTTCCAAGTTCCCAGTCTGATTGTTAATAAGAACCCAACTAACAATAGCATTAGTATATATTTGATTGAAATTCATTCATTAAGATCGACCAAGTAATAAACCGCCAGTGTACAATTTATAAGTATTCCTGTTGTTTTGTTTCGCTTTGTTTTCCCCTGCTTCTTGACAACAATAGAGAGAAACAGGACAATTTTATCAATTAGAAGACTCAATACGTGGTATGCTAATTGACAAATACTTGAATATGGAAATGATGATACGTAGGCAGTTTTTTTTTAATCACTGAGACGGTTGAGATTTATACTGAAAGACACGAACGAAAAACAGTGTATTAATTTCGATGAATGGATAGTGCCTAAACCGGCATTAATTGGCCAACTGACACCAATTCAGCAATTCACCTTGGGCAATTATTCAAGTCCTTTTTTTTTAGAAGAGAAAATGAAATCGTCAGAAGCCTACAATAGTATTACTGCAATTGTTTTTGAGAAAAATGCGTTATTTATTGTTTCTCTTCTCTTCTCTTCTCTTCTCTCATTAGTAGTGACCCAATTGGGATAAATATTTTACGGGATATTTATAGCAACAGTGTTCAGAATTTTCATTTGCTGTAATGATATTCAGTTTTGAAGAATTATTCAAGGATATATTTGTAATTCTAATCCCGGTAATGAGAATGGCGATATTTTTTGTTGATTTGAAAGAAAGAGAGGCCCATATCTAAAGGAAGTTGAACGGTAAATGAGATCCTCATTTTTTTTTCATGTAAATTCGACCGTTAAAGTGATTTCTCGCTTCTTTCACATCCGTTTAAAAGTTTTTTTTTTTTTTTCTTAATGAACTCAAATTCTTCAAGATTTAACTCACAACATTAATCCCGTTAATTGGTCTGATCCAGTGCATTTTACCAATTCCATTTCTGCGGTTATCTGAATCTGAAACTTGGAGGTAATGCATGAAAAAATAATAATCCATATTTTTGCAAAAATACATTTATACAAGTAAAAGTACATCTCTGCATCAAGAGGTCCTTATTAGATATGGTCCACGTTTTAAATCAAGTACATAATTATACCCCCCGCGATGAGTGGCTTGATTTTGATAATTAGTCATCAGAGTATTAATTTAGATAAAATTTGAATTTTTTCATTTTATTGAATTATACAACTCGTTGATTTCGTTGATATAGATGACATTTCATTATCAATGAAGACCGGATAATGAGGGTATTGCAGGGGGTACTTAAATAATTAAATTTAAAATGGAACGGGGAGAAAATATAAAAATTGAAGGTTTTCTGATTATTGACAAAATATAACTTATCTGTAGGTACTATTTTTGAGGACGACTACTGATCCTGTGAGATAGCACACAAAGAGGGAGAAAAAAAAGAGATGGAGATAGAGTTCACCGTCCCACGCGAAAGTCAACCTCCTGTAGGTCAATGCACACATTCTCACTGGGCTCCATATGTTCTCTCTTTGTCTTCCTTGTTGGTTGCTCCCCACCCTGGATCTCATCATCCCTCTATCGTCGTTTCCTCTGAGCACTCGCCCGTCTGTCGAGCCTGTGCCTGTCGAGCTCGAGCAAGGGGACTCTCGACGAAAGATCGCTTGTTCACGGCAGTTCTCGACGGCACTCGGCGCTCGCCATTGGAGCCACCGCAATCCCCATAAACGATATTATAACTATTTACAGTCTAAGCGTCATTTCATATTTTTCCTTATTATTATAATAATAAAGTAGATACAACATTCATTGCTATTAAATTAACGGAATTTCCCTTGTGTGTTATTAATAATATAGTCTTGTTGATAGGCTTGGTCGATTGAGCAAATATTGTGTTAATTATTTTGTTCAAGGTGAGTATATAATATATAGAGGAACATCAAATTATTAATATATTGTTACAATTAAGTGTCGAATGAAGTAATGGAAAAGAAAATGTCGAGAAAATTATAATGGAATTTTTTTGTGCTGTGATTTTTTTATCATTTTTCTTAAATCAATAATTTCCATGTTTGAATTGTTGTAGTCTCTATAATGATGTGCCTATTTATGGTTTGTAATTGACGACAATTGACTAATATTTTACCTTGATATTATATTTTGCCGGAGAAAGGATATACATATATATATATAATACATTTGGACTACCGTCAACCGGCTTTCTGCCGGCTTCTGTTCTGTTCTGTTCCATGTTCCAATGTGCGTGTGCGCTGACTCACACATTGGTGTGTATGGTATGGATTAAAAAAATCCCCCGTAGTTTGCCTGGGTGGGGTCGAAACCCGGGGGTTGAGACCGAAATGCTGTGGCCTTGGCTCCATTGACTACCAATGAGCCACCGCCGGCCATTCATATTATAATGGCTATATAACAAAATGATAATAATAAATAATAAACCAACTATAAATATATTCCAACTTAGGCAACATATAATTGGCCGAAAGTATCTTATGTCAACAACGCCCATGATTTTTTTTTTTCGGTATAGATATTGTAATTATATCGAGTAATTTTGTTTTTTCTTCCAAATTATTTGACGTTCAATTATAATTATTCAAACTATAGAATATGTATAGACATAAGTAGGCATGCATCATATATGACCTACTAACCTAGGGTAAACATGCCTGTCATTACCATAATTTCTGAAGAGAATGGAATGAATAAATTTTATGTTCATTGTGCATTGAAATCCTATTTTTTTAAATTTTATGAAATTGAATTTAATATCAACAATTGATTTTCTCATCACATGTTTGTGTGAAAAAAAAAACAATTTTGTCTCAGATTAAAAGTATAAACTAGGTTTATATTTTATAATTGAGAATGCCATTGCAATGATAGCATGATAAAAGTGGACAACTGGATGAGCAAGTTGAACAATCTATTTTATACTACTGCTATAAATTTAATCTCTAGGCTGATAGAAGTGCGTAACGGTTATATGGGTTTGCGGTGGGATCCTCAGACGAACGCGAACAGTCACTCTCTACACATACGTACAGGATATTTATTTTTCCACCAATTTTAAAAGGATTTATTATATACTAGCACTAGCACACTAAAAGTAATGAAATATTTGGTCGTATTGTCATGATAAATTGATCGGTTCGAGTTGAAATGGTAAAAATATTTTGTTCTTATAGAAAATATTTGAAGCGAGCTTGAAAATCGAAAACGAGTGGAACAATGCAGAGCAACGGAGCGGAAGGTGTTGGGGAAAATGGAGTAGATAGAAGTGGATGGACGGTAAATCAATGCTTCATTTTGTCATTATCTTTTCGGCTTTTTTGATTGAAAATATATGATTGGATTTATTTTGTGTATTTGTCATTTAGGTTGGGCTTATAAATGGCAAGTTTAAATATTTAACCGCCGAAACATTTGGTTTCAAAATCAATGCAAACGGCTCGAGTTTAAAAAAAAAACAGCTTTGGACACTTGAGGGAAGTGAGCATCAAGTTTTCCTTCGTTCTCACTTGGATCGTTACCTCGCAGTCGATCAATTTGGTAACGTTACCTGCGAGGCTGAAGATCCTTCCGATCTTGGTTGTGCTTTTCAGATTCAGCTTGCTTCGGATGGTAAGTAAAAATGGATAATGGACATAATAAATGATTATGACATGAATAAAAGACGATTATTATGATTTTTTACAGGGAGTGGTAGGTGGGCTTTGAAAAATATACAGCGCGGATATTTCTTGGGTTCTAGCCAAGATGAACTCAAGTGTACAGCTAAGGCTCCTGGTGAGGCAGAGTACTGGCTTGTGCATCTTGCTGCTAGACCACAGGTACTTGATTTAATAGCCAATAAATTAGCCTTGTTGTTTTTTTGCATCTTTTAAAATGTCAATTGGTCAATTGGTCTAGGTGAATCTTCGGTCAGCTGGTCGTAAACGTTTCGCTCATTTAAGCGCAACTCAGGACGAAATTCACGTGGATGCACCTGTACCGTGGGGAGAGGATACGCTCTTCACACTTGAATTCCGTCCAGCAGCAAACGCGGACAATGACACGGTTGGGGGGCATGGCAAATCTGAAGGAGGTCATTACGCTCTTCACACTTGCAATAACAAGTATCTTGCCCGCGATGGAAAGCTATTCGATAGTTGTACTCGAGAATGCTTATATGCTGCAGAATTTCATGCTGGATTGTTGGCTTTGAGGTAAATTATTTTCTTGGAGAAAAAACAAAATATGATGTTGATGTTGATGTTTTGTTTTGTTTGTTATGCCCCATTAACATTAGAGACATTCACGGAGCTTATTTGGCACCAATTGGCAGCAAAGCTGTTTTAAAATCAAGATCGACGACAGTGACACGGGACGAACTATTCTCATTGGAGGAATCTCTACCACAAGCGTCATTCATTGCTGCACTCAATCAACGTTATGTGTCTGTTAAGCAAGGTAGGCAATGAGAATAGTACATATTCATCACCGGAACTTGCTTTACCCCAAGTTGATTATCAATTCATGAGTCAACACTGTTGGCTCACTCGCGTGCATGCATGCCATATTGATCGCTACTTGGAATATTGAATATTAAATTTTTCACATTATTTTTTACAAATAAATAGTCATCAATGAAATTTTTAGGTGTCGATGTAACGGCTAATCAGGATGAGATATCAGGTCACGAGACATTCCAATTGGAGTTTGATCGTGTAACAAAACGGTGGTATGTAAGAACAATGCAAGATCGTTACTGGAGTTTAGAGGCTGGTGGGGGAATTCAAGCTTCTGATCATAAACGCTCATCAAATGCGCTATTTGATCTTGTCTGGCAGCCAGACGATGGAACTGTTGCACTACGTGCAAATAATGGAAAATTTCTTGCTACTAAACGTTCTGGACATCTGTATGCCAATGCAGATTCACCCATCTCCGGTGATTCTGATGCATCGAAATACTACTTTTATCTTATGAATCGACCCATTCTCGTTCTACGTTGTGAGCAGGGATTTGTGGGCCCAAAAAGTGCTGCAAGTCCAAAACTTGAGTGCAATAAAGCGGGATATGAAACAATCCGTGTTGAGCGCTGTGAACGTGGCATTGTTCGCTTCAAGGGTGTGTTTCTTGTGTTCTCTATTAAAAAATCATATAAATATAATGCTGATTTTTTTGACATTTATTATTTCAGGCCAAAATGGAAATTATTGGCACGCTGACAATGAAGGTGTTACTGTAGACGCTGATCAACCATCGGTGGGATTTTACTTGGAACTTCGTGAACCTTCTCGTATATGCATTAAATGTACCGATGGGAGATACCTAAGCGCTGGTAAAAATGGAGCTCTCCGTTTGGGTGATACTGCTTATGAATCTGCCACAAAATGGGAATTCTAAAGCTCTTGTGGATATATTCCAAATAATTTTTCTTCAAAGCCTCTTATTTTGCGGCATATAGTACTCTGAGAGGATGGGGGAAAATAATAAATGTAGGAATGAAGCATAACTTTTTCGCTACTAGCACTGAATATGAATATAGTACGTTGTTTAAGATACTTACAATTTATTCTTCGAAGGAGCTTTTCTTGTATACCCTCAATGAGTGTCGCATAGATTATAAAATCTGTCTCAATCTTTTAATCTGACTACCAAGTCCAGTAATACAGGCAATTGTAAGCTTTTATGAATCACCAACACCAATCATAAAATTGTGTCAGTTGGATAAGCAAAAATTACTAGGCTGCATTCTCTAAAAGTACTTGTGATCAACAATAGAGAGGATAGTCAGATTAGAAGATTAAAGGTAATTTATCCTCAGAGAAAATTCATTCCAATTTGGTTCCCCTTGTGATTTTTCATTTTTATACGACTGTAAACTTTTATACCAAAATCATGAAAATTTTTACTATAAAATAAAGAACAAACTAATGATGAAAAATGCTTTTATATTTCAACAATAGATACAACTTGTCCTTGTTCATTATTATTATAATAACCCACTGATATATATTATCAAATATTTTCAGACAATACGCTCCAAGTGAGTATATACGCTATAACTATATATGTAAAAAATTATCCATCTTGTGATTTTTATAACTCTTCATTTCTTCATAATTACAGTATTGTTTGATTGATGACATGGCTTGATGAGTAATTGATGAAAAGGCAAAAACATATACACTCTGCTCTTTAATAGAGGGAAAATTAATGAATTTTTATTATCTTGTGCTGTTATTTATTAATTCTACCTTTTGTTGACGTCTTATTGCCTTCTCTTCGAGAATCGTTACAGATTCACTATATAAAATCCGTAAAATTGGATAAAACAGAGGTAAGAGTGGTAATTCGGAAAGACTAACATGCATATTATCAAATGCAATTCCAACATTGGACAAATTGGGGTCATTGGAATTTTCGGGTAAACGCGGTATTTTTGAATACCTTTGGCTAAAGTGGGTAAGTAAAGTAAATTTTGAATTCATGTCTTTACCGATTTGTATTGCTTGAGAAATGGTTGAATGCATCTTCGTTTTGGCTTCCTTTTCCATACCATCTTCCATTGTAGCTTCGTGAATGAGAAGATCACAGTCCCTGCCAAGGTCCACAAGATAATTACAAGGCTGCGTGTCACCGCTAATGAAAAGAAAAGGAAGAAGTTAAAAAAAATATAGATCTCGATAAATGATGCTGAATAAAAAATAGTGAAATCGTTTTTTTTTTATTTTACCTGTAAACAATTTTTTTTCCACTTGTAAGTATCAAAGAAACTCCAAATGAATGGAGGCAGTGATTTACTTCAACAGTATTAATTTGTTGAATTTTCAATGTGACTTTTAATTTCTCTTGTATGTCATCTCCGATTTTTTGTGAGTTTATTATCAAATTTTGATTTGGAATTAAATTGAATAATTGATTGATGTGTTCAAATTTGAGGTGATAAATTTGCAACCAAGAGTAAATTTCTCTTGGTGCAAACAAAAAGACAGGATCTTTTGTAATACATTGACGTTGTTGAAGTATACTGAGAAGGCCTAGATGATGATCTGCATGTAGATGTGAGACGTATATAGCTTTGATGCTTTTCAATACTTTATCAAAGCCATCTTTTCCAAAGAAGCGAATGAGCTGTCCCAAAGTTCCTTCACCACAGTCTAATAAAATAGACGTCTCAGGATCAATTCTCAATAAAAGGCCACTAGTATTTCTATGTTTACTTGGTATGCAGGAGCCAGTACCAAGAATTAACAATTTAGGGTATTCTGGTAGATGTTTTAGCATCTTTGATTTGGCATTAATTTCTGTCTGGAGTTGTGCTAATTCATCGAGAAATCCATCAAGATTGAAAACTTTATCAATATCATCCTTTCTGTTGATATTAATCTGAGTGGTTTGATCTAGGCCTTGCAGTGGTCTTAGGTGGACTGCATTTAGAGTTTTTGCTCTATGGATACGTAATTTTTCATCTTGGCCTTCATCTATATGATCATTATTGTCAACCGAATCGGGAAGAATTGGAAAAATTGTTGGATGAACTAAATTAAGTTTGTGTTGAATTTGATGAAGTGCTTCGAAACTGTATGAATTATTAGCTGCATTGATAATCAAGTGTTGAGTGCTTGTTGGAAATTTCTCCATCCATTCTCGGTATTTACTCATTTTTATAACCTTTTCCGGTGTAAAATGAACAATACAGGCTGGCCAATTGTCTTCATTTTTTTCTTCACAACAACATTGATATTCCCTGAAGATTGCATTAGAAATGAGAGATTCCACATAATGTTCACTGGGGCATTCCAATACTGAAACATCAATTGTATTATTATTATTATTATTATTATTATTACATTTTCATTATTGTTAACAAATTTTCGCCACTATACTACTGACCAATGAAAATTGGACCTGGAATTTCTGGATCACAAACATCGCTACTTTTGATAATGGTGCCATCAGGTAGTGTTACATCTTTTCCAGCTTTCAAGTCACCCAAGATTGGTCCAGGTGTTACACCCTTTTCAACGCATTTTTCTAGATTTAATTTTCCTGTTTTGGGATGTAATTTACATATGTAAGCAATACAGCCTCTAATTTTTCGTAAATTAGTTTCAATTTTCGATAATTTATTGGTGCGGTACTGTTGGCTGATCCTTCTTTTTCTATTTTCATTGAATTCGTGAGCATAATAATCAGTGTTATCAATAACAATTGTGGCTTGATCAAAATCAGTGTCAGAATCAGTAGTAATATCCTCGATCAATGGAACATAACGAATTGTCATACAAGAGTCGTCATATATACTCTTTTCATCACAATCAGCCTCGGTTACAGTCAAATGTGCTAGGAAAGCAAATCTTTTAACAGCATCAAAAATATCCACTATTCCTTTCGGTCCGTGAAGTTTAATTTGCGGTACTCCCGTGTCTTGAATGGTCAGAGCCATACCTGGCAATCCTCCCATATTTTTCCACGTTGGAGTTGTAAAAAACACATGTTCTAATTTTGATAACCTCAAATGATGCTCATGAGCAAGTCTTTGTGTACCTTCACCACAATTAAATAGGTATTTTGAATGATCTGTCGAGACATATAAACTAGCTGGTGCTCCAGGTACACCGCTGCCCAATACCTTTTGATAAGAAAAAAATGAAAAATTTCAGTTGACAATTTTTTGAGAATTACATGCGAGAGAGAGAAAGAGGCAATTACCTGGAGAGTTACAGTACTAGGACTATATTTTTCAGACTTGGATATTTTTTCTCGTCGTATTTTCTGCAGTTGACGGTGAAGATCCTTTACAGACATGGATCTATCGTATTTATAGTACTTCAATACTGATGATGAATGATAATTACGTAAAATTAAACAATCACCTGTACAACTATGAAAAAGATGTTTGAAATTTTTAATTAACCGAGTGGAAATATACATTCGTATTTTTTTTTAAATCAATCTCTTGTCTTCGTTCCTCGTTGACTCGAGGTAAATGAATTTTTAAAAGTTGTTGTTGTTGTTGTCAAAAAGTAGAGAATGAAACACACACAAAAATTCACAGTGTATTTAACGGGGCGGTTAGCGCTGACGACTCAAATGGCCGAATGGAGAACTACCATCCAAACTCTACTATGCCCCTTCCTTCAACTTTTGGCAGAAATTGGAGAAGGATGAACTGATAAGTGATAATCATACTGAATACCTATGCCCAGATTAGTTTCACGACCATTAGTAATATTATTTGTCATTTTTTTTTTTTTTTTTTTTTTTTTCAAATAAATAAAACTCACCGAATGCAGAAAGGGAGAATCAATTGGAAAACATCCATATGCCATGAAATTGAGCTTGGAATGGAATAATTCAATGAAAAACTCTCGAAACTAGAAAGCAAGTATTTCAATTGTATAATAATGATAATAATAATAATTACTTTCATATTATTACCAATAAATTTACAGAATCAAATTCTTTGTACTGGATCTGTAGATTAGCCATCATTGCCATGGTTTTATTCACCTATTAATGATAAAATATAAAATAGACAGTTGTCTATTGGCACGTTCTACGGTAAATTTTACCGTGGATTCACGGTAAATTCTCACTCACATTTTGTCTGACATCTCTTCTATTAACTGCTATGAACCAGAGTTTATAACAGCGATGTCAGACAAGAATGAATGAATGTTTTTTTAGGCTCAAATGAAAGAGCGGCTCAAGAAAGGGTCGACTAGTTGAGGGTCCACTATCTCCCATATATCCACGGGCAAAGTTACCGTAGAGCGTGTGAATAGACACTGGAAGAAAATTGGAGGAAAAAATAGGTATTAATCAATGTTATATATTACCTCATTAGTGACTCGTTGAGCGGATAAACTCATGATAATTAAGACTGTTACATTTGCAGCAATCCATATAATGAGATTGATAATGTCTTCTTTTTTTAAATTTTCAATGTCTGATATTGATGTTACAAAGACAATGAGCGTATAAAGAGACACAAGCAGAGAGCAACATAATCGAAAAATGGCCGCAATAATGGGTGGTGTGTAAAAACTTGATATTCCGTAAGAAATGTTGTACAAGTCATTCCATGTCTCTCTAATCATGACAATTGTCATTCTATCCCGTATGATAGACAAGTATTGTGGATCAATATTGATTATTTGTTGACTTACTGCATCTTGATAGTAATCCGATTTCATTGATTGTATTCTCAATGAGGAAATGCGGTAATTGATGGTCTCAACTTGATATTTTATTAGCATTAAAATTGTCCCGTATTGGAGCAATAAAGCCAAACAAATCATTTGACTCGGATTAAAGAAAATAAAATTATGAACCATTGTTTTTTCCCCCTCTCTTACACATAAACTAGCACAAAAAATCAATGACAATATTAGGAGTATTGTCGCATATAACGTTGTCCTGTTATTGCCATATAATTCAAAAAATTCACTTGACTGTTTGTGGTAAAATTGTAAGCATTGATTGATAATTTTAACATGAGCTCGTTGATTTAAACAAATATATCCAGTTATCGAAGCGGCAAGTAAATTTCCCCCCCCAATATCCATGATTCTAGTAAATATTACCATTAACATTTGCTCATTGGAGTAGTTGTTTATCATATAAAACTTGTGAAAAATCCAAATGGTGATTAATAAAAAAATTGTTAGGATAATATTGTAAATGCACCGATATTTTGAATATAAGACAGTCATGATAATTATTTTGGAATTTTGTCAAGAGTCTATTGATATCTTCATATTAAATGATGTCACGCCAATTATATTTGAAACAAACAGGAATAATCTCAACGCAAATACTTTCAATATCACATAGAATTTCAAATTCATGCTTGCTGCTGGGTGACCCGACAATTTCACATGCAGTATGCTGACAGAAAATTATACATGAGAGTTCCATGAAATTTTTGTAACAAAAATTCAACAGAATTCATATCCACTGCTTATCATCAATAACTAACGATTTCCACATAACAGACCTGTCTCTTTTCCATGCAAATTTTTGAACATCTATTATTCATTGTTGTGTGAATTTTCATGGTAAGTTGGGCTTCTATTTACTGTGTATATCAATAATCATTATTTACTTAATAAATACCTATATATAGAAAATTCGAAAACGTAGACAATCAATATTTTGTATGAAACAATTTATTTCCATTAATTTAAGTACGTAGTATTTTTTCATTTTTGTTTTTTTATTATTATTTTTTTTTTTCAAAAAGAAGAAAAAATAAAAATAACTGCACATTGTTAGAATTTTTGTTTATCGGTTCCAGAATCATTTTATATAAGCGTTATTCATTTGGAATGTCTTAACAGTAATTTAATGGTCAATTGTGGTCAACTTTTTTGCACAAGATGAAACACATTTGTTTTCTTTGTAACGAAAATAATATATTGTGAGGTGAAATTTTCTGACGACAGGGGAGAGAAAATGATAAAGTAAAATTTCCATCAACTTTCTCGTTTCCTCAGAATATTTCATATTTTTTTCACAATCATCGTAATAATATTCTATAACGCTAGTAAACTGTAAACATTAATGCAATAACGCTGCTATTCTGTGAATATTAATATTAAATACAATCAAAAAATATCCATTATTATTTGAAAAAATGGATGATAAAGTTTCGCCTCAATTGAATCCTCTTTTATTGATATATAACTTGATTATTTTCCTTCGGATCATGCTTTAAAAACTGGTAAAAATTTATTCAGTGATAGGGGTAACAATATTTCAAATATTTTTCGAGAAAAAAAAAATCATCAAATTGTTGTTATAACCTTCTCAAAATATCTCAATTCATGTGTAAAAAACATTGGCAGCATCAACAGGTTGGATTATTTCTATCGCCTCAAATGGTACAGGGCAAAAGCACAAAGAAGATCTATATATAGTGCTTTCTTTAAAGTGCACGACGTTATTTTGCTTTTTTGCAATTTTGCTTTTGACATTTGCCCATTCATCACATCCACACTCATACTTGTTTTCACATCCCTCTCATTTATTCATTATCATTTATCCGCAAGAAAACAAAAACAAAGAGAAAGAGAGACAGACGGCGAAAGACAGAGTTTAGAAAAAGGGCTCTCATCCAATAAATTTTCATTATTTGGTTCTTCTTCATTGCTGAAATGTTTTTTAATCAACTTTTTCCTCTCAAAATTGGGTGATGGAAGAAATACACGGCCATCATTCGCCGGTAAATAGTTTCACTCTACTTATGATTTGCGTGTTTACATTATACTCACTAGGAAGGCCACAAGTTTTGTTATTCTTTTGAATTTCAACGTTCAAAGGTATCAAAAATTCGAGGATAGGCCGTCAAGGCTATGATATCTGAGAAAATAACGCTTTATAATTGATTTTCAATATTACAAATTGTATATTTTGTTTATATTTAAAGTTTAAATCAATCCCATTCGATCCAGTAAATTTTAAAATAGAGTTTATTACAAGAAAAAAAATTTTTTTTCTTTCTTTCTTTTTTTTTTCTTTTTCATAAAAATGTGAAAAATATTCTTAGAAGTATCGTAGAGGGGACTGACAAGTACAAAACTTTAACTTCGATTCTTAAAAAAAATGGCAGAAAAAAAATATTTTGAGTTGAATAGCAAGAAAAAATTACAAGGCGTTAATTATCCTTTCAGTGATCGATATGCAAATTGTAATTTTTTTTTTCTTTCTTTCTTTCTCTCTCTCTCTCCCTCTCTCTCAATAATGCAAGAAATCAATGATCGATTCAAGGGAGAAAAAATTCTGTCCTTTGAAGTATTGAGCATTATGAGGAGTTGAGACAAGAGGGAGATTAAATGGAAACGATAAATTGCCAAAATATTTGCTCATGACCAAAGAGGAGGCTACGTCAATATGGTTTATTAGCCGAATCTTTATGACTTTATATAATGCAAATGTATTTTTGGTGGCTTTCTGTCAAGTTTTTAGAGATGAAAAGAGAAATTTGTAAATAGTATTGTAACTTTTTTTTTTTTTTTAATTCTCTGATCGATCTGATTCTTTCGTTAGTTTTTGAAAATAATGCTTTACGGGGGTAATTTACATATTTTCAAATTGGTCAACACGACGCTTGGTATTGCCTTTGCGAATTTCACGCAAAGTTTTGTATTTGTCACGACCTTGACGAACATTTTCCCTATGAATTTTATCCATAACTGTTTCCTTGGTTTCATCCCGAGATTGGGCAAGATCTTGTTTCAATGCCTATAATGAAAAATAATAAAGGTAAAGGTATGAAAAAGCATGTAAAATTTAACGGAAGAAAGAAAAAAAAGAGAGAGAATAAAGATATATTTACCTTGAGCTGGTCATGAAGGCGCTCGTTTCTCTCAGCAAGTGTACGTCGTTCTTCAACAGGATCAATGATGGATTCATCAGTGATTAGGTCCTTGGTAACATCACCATGAGGGGCCTCATCCTCTCCCTCATCTTCACCATCTTCATTCTCCTCGACGTGATGATGATGTGGAGTGGTACTTGCTTGAAAAGCCCTGTCTGCCTCTTCTTGTCGTAGCCTTATACAAAGGGATTGAAAAAAATTGATATGGAAAATGAAATTAGACTATTGATCTATTGATCTATTGTTCATTTACCTAGCAGCCTCAACCTCTTCCTGTAATCGGCGTGCCTCAGCATCTTTAGCCTCAACTTCTGACTGAATACGCATAACTTCCTCCTGCTTGGCATGTATTTCTTGTTCCAACTTGGCACGTTCAGCAGCCTCCATCTCATGAGAACGCTCGAGTTTCTCCATCATTGCAGTCAATTCCTTTTGACGATCTTCAAGCTCCTCTTTAGCCTGTTGCAATTGTCTCAGCTGTTCCTCCAAGCGTCTAATCATTTCCTGAGCTTCATTGAGTTCTGCCTGCCGCCTATCCATCTCTTCAGCCATACTTCTGAGTCTTTCTTCGTATTCTTGTTGCTTCTTCTCTGCACGTTCGCGTGCCGCTATCTCCAACTGGAGTTTCTCACGTTGCTGTTGCTTGGCTATTTTCTCATCACGTGCTTGAGCCTTGAAAATGGTAAAACGTGTAATAATTCACAAATGTTGAGATTTTATATATAAATTGCTTAGGCTTAAGTATTAATAATATTCACCTTCATTTGCTGAACATCAATAGTATCGGGTTTGCGTCTACGCATGTACAATTCATGATTGCCCATACAAAGTGCTAAAATTCTTTTGTTAATCTTAACTCTGGGTGCAAAGAATACAAAATCTGGTGCCTTCTTGTCAATTGGTTTAATAATAAATTTTTTATCATTGAATGAAATATTGCGAATTTCCGACCATGGAAAACCAATTTTAGGCGTCAATTTGTCATCTTTCTCATAGATATTAAGTCCAAGCGCATCAACACCCAACCATAGTTCAGTTCCCTTTTTATTTCTTATCTCAAAGTAGTTTACTCCATACATCTCTAAATCCTATTCAAGTTGAAATTCATTATTAGACATATTATTATTATTATTATTATTATTATTAGTAATTGTTTCATCTTGAAATAATTACTTGGGCGATCTTTAGGTATTCCATCATAGCATCCTCGCGTAGCATACCACGATGTTCTTGCCACCAGGTGGTAATGGAACTTTCCCATTCCTCTTTACTCATTTTGTGCTGATCCATAACACGCTGGGGAAGAAGACGATCATTGGCTAGGAAGCCAGGAGTATGAATTCCCTTTTGGAAATCTCCATGTCTTGCTTGAACTGCATAGGAAGCCAGTAATACAGATGTCTCAGGTGGACAATATATTTCATCAGTGAGGATGGAATTCTTCACCTGTATAATACAATACAAATTTTCTCATTATTAATAATACTTGAGACGTAATGAAATAATCAGCTAAATAAAATATTCATACAAGTGAATATTATTACCTGCAGATAAAAAAGTCGTAGAGTGATGTCTTGTATGAGTTCCTCAGCAACGTCCTCAGGATAAAACTTTGCCCGAAACTTGAACTGCAATGGATTCTCTTTTTTCACCTCCTGGCTCATTACCTGAAATTCAATATGTTGACAATCAAATAATTATCAATAATGATAATAATTTCACATTATAAAATGGAAAAATTTTGGTGAAATTCGTGCTTTGTGATGTGAGATGGTAAAAAAATCTTACAGCACATTTTTTTGTTGCATGTGTCATTCATCAACATTCAATAAGGATGTCAAATTTACTCGGGCGTAAAGTCACAAAAAAGAAGAAAAAAAAGGAAAGTAATTTATATTGTAAATCAGAAGCCCCAATCAAAATAAAGTTTGCTAAAATAATAATAATAAAAGAACAGCGAAATAATAACAATCAATTATTCATGCTATTCAGTCGCTTAGTTGTAATTATTCAGGATTTGTTAATATATAAACTTTCATCAATGATTGTTGTGTTTTTTTTAGTTAATAATTAATTGATAGCTGCAATTATGCTATCAATAACTGTGCAAATGGAGAGCGTGCTTTATTAAGTCGTGTAAGAATAATTGTCAGTAGACCTATCGCACTCGACTCATGAAATACTGGAAAAAAAAAAAAAAAAAACAAAAANCATGAAATACTGGAAAAAAAAAAAAAAAAAGAAAACAAAAAAAAACAAAATATATTATTGTATATTCTTTACGTCGAGTCCGTTGAGAGGAGCTTATCGAGGCTCAATTTCAAATAGAGAAACATTATAAAAGGAAATATTTCAACACGTATTCTGACATATATGCAAAAATTTAAACGCTTACGTGCCAGATATTTCTTCGGCCACATGGTAGCACCTGTAATAATTTGCCATACATTTTCTTCACCGATTCACACAAAAAAGGTGTCATTTTTTCATCAAGGATAAACTAGTTACACACCAAGAAAATGAGAAAAAAATTGCCCTATGAACATATGACAGGCCATATTAACAGATACATTTATGTAGTTGATATTTAGCACAAACTTCAACTTTTGCAATTACACATTTTCATACATGTACATTTTGTCAAATACCATTGGAATTGTAATCTTCATTGATAAAAATTGGCATTTATATTATTATTTTTATATTATTAACCACATTGCGGCTTACCCTAGAGAAGAATGAAACTCCAGACTTCCAGTTGTTAGTATCGGCATGCATTTTAAGAAAAAAANTTTAAAAAAAAAAAAAAAAAAAAAAAAAAAGAGAGACAAGAAACATGTGTCATATTAAAGTATATAAATCCTCAGTAGAAATAAGGAATAATGAGTAATTTTCAGCTTTCATGTTTTGTCTTTTGATATTAATAATTTTTCTTTTCCCATCCCATTAACATTCAATCAAAGTACACATCATTTATGACGTCAACAAAAATTTTACAAGCTTTTTATTCATGTTCATCCAACTGAAAGACAAAAGAAATAAAGTCACGATAAAACAAGGACTTGTCCTCGTAATGTCTTTCTTGCATCTATGTAATTAATTTAATTTTTTCCTTCATTCATAAATACCACAGAATATAATTCAATCAGAATAAAATATTTAATCAATCTTGATTAATGTTATTTGACGATCATGAATGCGATGTCGGTCACTCACTGGTTTATCAGTCAATATCAAATCGAAATATACTGAACGAAAGGAAAAAAAATATCATTAAATCCAAGAAATTTTCATTTGTACGAATGAGTTTGGACAAGGTAAAAAAAAGTCTCCTCATAAATTCCAAGAAACAACATGTTTGTGTGAATCATTGGACATGATTCTCTTGAAATCGCGGCCTATAAATTTTCCTCTCATACCTAGAGAACATGAATACATTGGAGATATATTAAATTGGTGAAATTAGGTGGGTATTTATTCAAGTTATGTGAATTTTTTTTTCTTTTCCCCAACAGATGTCGTCAAATACGTACGTCAACGTTTAATGGGCAATGTGAGGGGAGGGACTGGAGAAGATTCCAGAAGAAGGAAATTTTAGTGATATCAATTGATCAAATGTATTTAGAAACGAGATATGAACACGCAATATTCTACATATCTATATGCATTAGAGGACGAGCATATGGGTTTGGCTGGCTAGTAGAAATTGTGCTACACACTGGAGTCTGAGAGACTGGGAAATACATGTGGATATTACGTAAGGAGCCACAGTCCAATAGTACACAGCGCACACCTGTATTTTTTTTTTTCACCATTTCATTGCAAGACGAACGAAAAATTCCGATGTTGTGCTGTTACTCTGGAATTGACGGGTCAATCGTTTTTAAATTGGAGACAACACTATTGGAATTATTATATGCTAATAATCACTTGTTAAAGTATCGATGGATGCAAGTATTATACTATTTAGTTTTTTTTTGGGAGATTAAAAAATTTAACCTTGATAATCACTAATCGACGGAGAAGTGGGAAGGAATATTGAATCTGCCACTATATGAAATCTACTCTTCCGGAAATAAGTCTTACCAGTTCCCCATCATACTCATCATCATCAGAATCTGAATCTGAACAACCTCTCAGCTTCCGTACTTTCCTTTTGACCTCCTTTTTGACCACGCGTGTTAAAGCACTCTCTGGCTGCTTGCAAATTCCATTGATTTCAAAGAGAGAATAATATTTGCAAAGCTTTGAAAAGGAAATTATCGAAATTTCTTAAATCGTCTTGTCTTAATATCGTCTGAGGTAGGTGAGATATGAATTTGTAAAAAAATTTACCCAACATATAAGTTACTAAACACTCGTATTATTCATCATCATCATTTTCAAAATAAACCACTGACGTCTGTTGCAGCAGAAAAAGAAAAACATTACTACCACGAGGTGAATTATTACGTGGGCATTAAAAAGACATATCTTTGTAATAATTTATTTAAAAAATGAAAACTAGATAAATATAAAGAGTGTACTTTTATTGATAGACAACCTGTCAAGCAAGCATTGATCTTGAACAATTGTTTTCAACACTAAGGGCAAGATAATGCACAGACTTGTTGGTTGGCTTTTCCGATACTAATATCATAATTTGCATATGCTTTTACAAATATAAAATGGCATCATACTATTGAAAATGATAAAAGTTTGGTCCATTAAAGGTGTTGTAGGCTGTTGTCCTTGACGTAATTTTTTAATTTTTTAAAATATTTCTAGAAATAAATGGCATATTTTGATAAACAGCAGTGATTGTTTAATGGAAGTGAGATTAAATCCATTCTAATGCCAAGAAAATTTATAAACAGACAGAGGCAGCTTTTTCTATAAGTGGATTATTTCCTTGGTGAAATGGATCCATTCGTGTACATTTCGATATCTTATTCTACATATGTAAAAGGGAGTACCAGTAACATTATTGTTTTTTAAATATACCTATATACGTTTTTTTGTATACAAATAAATTTGGTGGAAAAATTTAATGTCTTTCACTGGGGATGAGGCAAAAGTTGGAGAATTAATTGCAGGAATTGTAATGATGATATCATTATTTGTCATCTGTCCAAATGGCTTTTGATATTTTTTTTATAGCCTTCAGTGACGTAATCTCTCACAATGTTTGGTTCAAACGGTTGCTTGAGTGACGCATAACAAAAAATGGAAGATAGCACAAGGCTTAGACATTACAATATGGTGCGACGGTTAGAGCTCATGTATCGCGACCTTCTTTTTCACCAATAACTACTCAACCCTGTATAAAAATGGCAATATACAAAGAAAAAACAATGAAATATCATTGTTCCTTTGTACATATTAACCATTTAAACGTGTAATGGTTAATAATCAGAGTTTTTATAATCTCCTCTAGTAGATTATTAGGATAATGAAATTTCAATGAAGATATCTCACCTTTTTATAGAGCTTGATCCAGGTGAGATCACCCTTAATGTCTGTATACTGGAGTCCGAAAAACCAAACCTCACGTAGACCGATGGTTTTAACGACTTGATCAAACAGTTGTTTACCGGTGGTTGCCTGCTGGATGGCAAACTCCAGCTCGGCGTCCATCGTGGTAACCCTGACATTCATCTTCAAGTTTTGTTTATTGAGGAAATATCATGGAACAGAAAGAAATATGTACAAAACTTAGTGCTGAAAATAATTAGTATACTATCTCTGTAAATTATAGTTGGATATTTGCAATCTGAACACCCGTTATAATACCGGCGCCTTTTCTGGGACAAGAGGTTCAAACACCGGTTTCTCTTCAGGTATAGGAGATTTGACCTTGAAAATTGGCGTAGAATTTTATGCGTTAGATAAGAAAATGAATTTTCATTTCATCTTTGATGAATGGATATTGAACGATTCTATAATTATTTTTATCCATATAATATTCATTTTCATCAAGATAAAACCATCACTCATATTTGTTGTTGATGAAAAATTCAAATCGATCACTTATTCCAGCAAATGGCCAAAAGAGAAGAGATTTAATAATAATAATAATAATAATAATAAAATAAAAAGGAGAAAAATAATGGGCCGCGCCTTACCATTTTCGAGCCGGCCACCATGTTTATCACGTGATGTGAACTACCCAGCACAACACAAATAAAATAATAAAACTTTAGTAGCCAATAATCGCTCAATTCATTTGATGATAGAGTTCCGTTGTAATAATAATAATAATAATTGCACTTGACTTATATCATGTTATTACCAAAAAACGTTCACAAAATTGAAGAAAAAAAATGAATAAATAAAATAAAATAAAGAAACGGGATGAATAAAGTTTTTCACAATATGTTGGGACGCCGCCGACGTGAACGGATCGAACAATGGGCCAAGGAGCAATAATACAAGTGCAGCCGAACCGGCGTCCGGCGTCTCCTCTCCTCCACACTCCTCGCCAAGCGCGTTTTTATCCCCACTACAATTTTACATTCGCCTTTTCTTTCTTTTACTTGTTCACAACTGAAATATTTTCGGAGTAGAGGGGGAGAAAAAAGAGCGAAGCTTCTCTGTGTGCAGCTGTTTCGTCTCCTCGTTCAAACCTTGGGCGTGGATAGAAGGAGAACGAAGATGGGGAATGTGTCGAGCGATAATGGTCACGTGAACAAACTCTCGTCCGCAAAGTTGCAGCCAATCGGGGAACGTTTACTCTACCGGGTGTTCGTTTCAAAGTAACTGACAACCCAACTGATTTTTTTTCATCAACGTGATTGTTTCAATCAAAAAAGCAATTTTTTCATCAGTTTGTGAAAATATTGATCAGCAATCGGCACGGATCAATCGAGGTAGTGTCAAAAAACGAAAAAAAAAAACATTATGTACTACGAACAACGCGTGTAACATTAAAATCTCATCCCACCAAATTGTTTGAGCATTAAAAATTAATGATTGCGACATAGAAAAAATAATTTAATTGAAAAATTTAATAACTGACTAAAGATTTGTTGAGCCAAAGATTCTTGTCTCAAATGAAACTTTAACCTGATAAGTGTTGTATAATCTGTCTGATAATTACAATGAATACAAATTAATTTCGATTGAAATCTTCCTTAATTTTAGTAAAAATAAGCGATTGTCACAGCGGATATGCCGTGGCAGCAAAAAAACCACATTCTACAACATATCCTCGTTCTATAAATTTTCATTACTGTGTACTCTATTAATAATGATGAATTCTTGTTTATGAAAATGTTTTTTTAAAAAAGTACATTCACTCACAGATTTCGGCATTTTACGGCGTCCCTCTATCCTTGTTAAAAGCTAAGGTGGCAATCTGGAAGAAAATAGTGACCTAATGTAGTAAGTTGAAGTTTAATATTGCAAATAGAATGTGTCAGTAATAATGGAATGGCTAATAATTTTAAGAAATTTCACATAATAATGATTGGATACTTTTTTAACATTTCGATTGATCAAAAAGTTGACAAAATTTGGTTTTAAATGATGTATACATATATATCAAGTGATGAAGGAAGAGGCCAAGAAGTGGTAGGGAAATAGAAGAAAGAAGATTCGTAGTCCGATAACCTTGCTGTGCTGTATCAACACTTGTGTCTAATGGGTGTACATGTACATGAATAATTGTTTATACGTACAGGTTGGAGGGAAAATTCAGGAAAGAGTAAATATGAATGAATGGACGGACTGTCTCTTTGTTGGTCTTTTATATTACATACTTGAAATAGATGAGGACGATATCTTTTCAATTTTAGATATATACTATTATTAAAGGTCAGGCATCAATGGAGAGGCATCTATACTCTGTTGTGTTAATTCCATACAGCAATCAGCTAGTTCACTAGTGTGACCGATATGTGTAGGTACTCCCTGAATATTGTACACACTGATTGTTTAGCATCAATTAGAACCACATAGTGTATTGGAATTGAAAAGAAAAGTGAAAAAAGATTTTGATGGTTGTACAGAGACGTGAAGCATGTAGGAAAAGAGAGAGAGAGAGAGAGAACGCAAAAAAAAACGCTCTGACTGTAATGCAAGAGCCTGAAAGTGCAGTAACTTATTAACTTCGTCATCCCGACGTTTTCCTCATTCAAGGTCATCAACAGTCTCGTGTCACTTATGAACTACATGTGAGTAAATTAAGAGCGTACACTTGAATATTTCAAAGAAATTCACTTTCATTTCTTCATGAAACTAAAATTATTTAGCTATACAAAATAATTTATTCATACAAAAATTTCAAGATTTCACTACCATATAAATCATTGTCGTCCTAATTTGTCTTTATGCCTTTCCCGGATCTCAAATTTCGCAGGAAAAATATATGTAAATTTATTTCCTTTCTCTTTTATAGCAGCAAAATAACAGGAATTTTGAAAATTTTTGTGCATTTCTAATCTGTTGATTTATTTATGAATATAAAGATTAAAAAATTAACTAATCCATATATACTAATGATTGGTTTTCTATTTTATAAATAAATATGAATTCATGTATTTTTTCACATTTCCACCTCGAGCTAGAAGCTCGGAGCAATCTAAAGATGTAAGAATTGAAAAAATTTCTCTATGTAGCAGTGCATTCTTACCAATGTGTGGTAGATATGTGGTATTATATTTAGTAGCCTTATAGGGAGGTAAATTGAATCTTGCCATCATATCCACGACAAATTAATCACTTATGTTCAAGATAAAAGAAATATTCTCTATTTCGCTTTGAATTCATTGAAATATGTAATATAATGATAACAATATTCATTAATCTTACAATAATGGTTGTATATTCACTATTTATTTCTTACAATTAGTTTTATCTTTCTCCAAACGTCAACTGGATTTGACTAATTTATGGCATTTTATTATCCTGCAAACTCCAAAAATCCCACAAATCGTTATACTACTTGTTTCTTGGAAAATCATTCAGAAACGTTTTATCCGTCTTCTCGGTACTTCCATAGTACGTTAATTTCTCATATCCCTAATCTAGCACTTTCTCATTGCGTCCAACCCTCAAGGGTTACCACCCCTCACTAAATCTAACCAATCACCCACCTTGGGACTTTCTCCCACCATTCTCACCAACCCCTACTATTCACCCGCAGATAGGACTCTGCACGTTAACTTATGCTAACTAAAATTATTCCAACACTTTTAGTAGTAGGTATACCTGGTAAATATATAATCAGAAAGATACCTAATATACCTAATCCTACTTGTATTTTAGTTGTCTAAAATAAAGATTTCATGTTATAATTGAAATAAATTGAGTTCTTCAATACGGAATCTAAAATATAATAGTAATAGCAGCAGTCATTTGGACTTTGCGATAAAACTTGAATGTAACTTACCTGTTATAAACCACGATGCTATATATATGTATATTAATTTAATGAAAACGTGCTCAGGTCACGTGTATTACACATTTACAGTCTTCCTTGGAGGGATGATCACCTTTAAGCACAAATGTAACCTGCGATAAACATGAAACCGTGCAATCCACACCCAAAAAATCCCGTCACGTTGAACAAATACTGACACCTCACTGATAATATGGCCGCCGGAGCTGGGGAGTGCTGTGGTGCTGTGGTGCTGGGGAGCTGGGGAGCTGGCTGTTCCCTCTCTATATACACCTCTATATACACCGCTAAGCGTCACTCGTTTCCCTCGTTTCTAAATGTCGGGTAGGATTTGATCATGAAGGGGAATAATTCCGTTCTGATTGGTTCGGATGGCAGATCTCTCTCAAGTGCTCACCAACTTATTTCAACGTCATCATTTGCTAAATAGTCTTCTTCGCTATTTGTTGAAGGCAATATACTGTTAGCTGGTTGAGAAGAAAGTGTAATGGAGATCATCGAGATATAATGTGTATAGTATACCGTGTGCCGCGTGGTGTGGTCAGCACTAGCAGACGACCAATGCTATCAATGCTTATCGATAAAGTAGATCTCCACGAACCATCAATTATGGTTTTTACATCGTCCCAGGTAATAATGCTCAATAAAAAATTCACACATAAAACTTGATAATTTTTGTTTGGATATAATTTTATTATCAATTGCGTTTTTTCTTATTAATATTAAAAAACTGACAATAATATATAATGCTCCTATCTTGCGATTTTTACCAATATAATCGGCATCATCATCAATAATTCATGGTTCAATATAATGATCGATTTATAAATATAACACCTATAAAAAGGATTTTAAGAATCCTGTTTCTTGCAATTTCATTAATTCCATCAAACTTGATTGTCTTCATATTGTAATTAAAAGTTATGAAAAAGAAAAGTTATGGAATTTACACAAAAATAAGTCCATATCAACTACTTTTCACATCAAGATCTTGAACACACAAGGGAAATGTATATTATTATTTTTTTGTTTTTGTTTGCCTCTTCGGGAATCAAGTCTCAGTCTGTCTGCTATACTCGACACTAATCTCTCAACAAGTTTATTCAATTTATTCAATGTTGTCATTGATTCGGCACTTTATGTATAATATATATTGGAGGAAGACAGATTTTTTTGCTCATCATCCGTTTGATATTTACTTGTGTAATAATTGATGAAGGTCAACATACTTTAATGACAAGTGATTTTTCTTCCCCTAAAATATTCCCCTCTTACTGATGGAATATCATTTTATTCCAAATAAACATAGATTGAATCTTTCATATTCCATTCTTTTATAAATACGTCTCTAATAATAAGTATACTACAGGAAAATTTATGTGATACGTGATACAAATGATATCAAAATATATGAATTTGATTCATTTACTGACTATCAATCAGCAGTGAATTTCAATTTGAATCGTTGTCCCACAATGGCAGAAATTTTGAATTTTATCCAAAGGCCATTGAATGCAGACACAGGATAGTACCATAGCTGATGTTATAATTCATAGCACATGTAAATTTTCACAATTTTTAAATTTACTGTTTTCTTTCCCAAACAACCAGGTCAACATTTGTCGTGCTTTCATACTTGCTCGAATTACACCTCTCGATTTATACCAATGGGTGTTAGTACTTTCACTACTGCTGCTATTTGCTCCCTTGCTCTCCAAATAACGATTTTTCAAGCGTATCTGATTCAAAATACCTACGAGCAAGTCGTCGACGTTATGATTTATTCCTACTGAGATTTCTATAAACTTGGCACGATAGGTACAAGCGATGCATTTTCCATCTGATTAAGAAAAGACAAAAAAAAAAAAACAAAAACAGAATACAATCATTACGCTGTAATTTCAATAACAAATGTTATACAATATACAATGATAATTGAGGATATTACCTTGTATTGAAACCGCTCTTGACCGAACGAGATCAACTTTGTTACCCACAAGAATAACAGGATGAGTACGCAGTAGATCCCGATCGTGGAGTTGAGTTAAATATTCTTCAACTCGTTGAAAAGAGGATTTGTCAATGACAGAGTACATTATGATAAAAGCATCTACCTCAGGTATTTGGTCCAATTCTGTCTGAAATTTTGAGTCAAATAATTGGAGTAATTCTAGGTGAATTTATTATATTAATATTCGTCGATTTTTTTCCTCAATGTTAAGATCAATAAATTTGAATGTTTGAATAAACATATCAGACGTTATGGGAAACGGTTATCAACTGATCTCCTTCCTTATCATTTACCTTTAAATTTGTTATGTTCTCGAACTTCAATTCACTCTCTTCACCATTCAACATGACGAAAACTGATTGTTCACTGGGTACATCATCTAAAGACGAAAGTGAAACGAAATAAAAAATGGTTATTTTCAATGTGTTTTTTTTTTTGTACTATGAAGTGATGAAGTGATACAAATGACATGATATGACATGTGAATAGATGTACATTAATAGCTGAGTTTAGAATGAGTTTAAATGTTTAGGCAAAAAAAAAAATTGTATGAATAAATGACTACCTCTCTGGCGATCATAAGCGTTGATACATTCGCTGGTCATGAATTGACTAATGAGTGCGGTCTTTCCTACTCCACGTGCCCCAAGCATGCCAACGGTGTAAGAAATAACTTTTTTTGCTGGTTGTGCAGATTTCATGTCAACTTCAGTATCGTTAAGAGCCAATGAATTCGATCTCGATCGTCTTCTTCGAAATGAATCACCTCTGTTCACGACCCCTTTGCAGATCGAGAGAAACAAATAGGTAGAAGGTAGCAGAATAAGAAAAAACAGAAAGCCAAGTAATAATTTTCTAATGAAAAGCAGGGTGCAAGTCTAGTCAAATGCCGATATTCCTAGTTCCCTTGTGTAAATATACTAAAGCCGTTATATTTACCTTTGCTCGTTAAACTGAAACTCCTTAATCTGTAACTTTCTTCATCTTCGTCTTCCCGCCGTTGAGGAGGCTGAACATTAATGTCAGGTACATCCAAAAAAGCATTACTTTTTCTGTAATGCACATGGTGCATACTCTGACCTCGTCGGCTACCTCTCCGTCTAAGACCTGGACTTATATCATTGTCAGTTAATCGCGGTTCACTGCTGCAGTGAGGAGATTTCATGCCACCGCCATGCTGTTGTTGTTGTTGTTGATGATGCTGCTGCTGATGATGATGATGATGATGATGCTGATAGTGATGATTAGCTGCTGAAGAAAAAAAGAAAAATTATTTTCAAAATAATCAGTAACATTACCCGTGTAATTGCAAACGTAGAGGAGGGAGATATTTGAAGCTATATTTTCTCATGGGCGTGGTACTCTTCATTATTCAAGCGTGAATATCTCGCATATACTGCCATCGATTGCCGATTATACATGGGGTGTTTACCCAACTAAATGCCAGACAGTCTGTACCTTATTTATCGCATGTAAAATAATTTTCCACAAGAATAAGATGATTTCAATTTCATGCTATATTTCATTTAATTGCTAATGAAGAAAACAAGTGGCGGTTATATATCTATTATTTCTCATATGCTCAATTTGGCAAATTGCATTGCCAAAATATATTTCAATTGAAATATTATAGGATAATACGAGTTGAAAATCAAATGCAATATTTTTCATTATCTATAAGGTGGGTAAAGTCTAACTCTATAATTAAAAATTATAATACCTTGTGCAGCAGCTTTACGTCGGATACTCTTACTACCTCCAGAAACTCTAGCACTTTGAGATCTAGTAGCTGGGCGTCGTCGTCGAGTGGGAGTACTTCCACTATCTGGAGTTCCTGTTCCACTATCTCCTTCACGTTCCTTCTTTTCTTCCTTTCCTTTTATATCGGATCCGGCCGATACGGCGCTCAAAATTTGCTCCATGCTAGAAAATCCAGGTGCACAAATTGAGGCAGACCGTGTTTTTCTACTTTTAGCCGTATCCCTATTCATAGTTGAAGATTTTTGTAGTGCTACCTGTTGATGATAGGCACAGAATGACCATTTTTTAATGGAAAATTTTGAGGGCAACATAAATGGTCTTGTGATAAATCTCCCTAGTTCTATGCATTCTCAAGATATTAACCAAACTAGAGCCAAACTAGAGTAAAAATATCCAGGAACCTATAGTGATGTTAGCACAATTTATTAAGAGACCTTTTATGTAAATTACTCCAAGGGATAAGGGACTGTAATTCTCAGAATATTGATCAAGTATAATGGAAATTTCAATTGGTATGTACTTTGTTTATTTATTATACGAGTCACTTTAATTTCGTCTATCTCTCTTAAAATTAGATTAAGAGAGTACAAGTTTTCTTGGTGAAATTCAAGTATTCATTTCCATTCATCACAACGATGGTTGTGTTATTAGAAAAAAATAAATAAAAAAGTATACAATAGAGATGAAGTGCGTTATACTCAATTTCACCACTAATTTTATTTTACCTGTCTCTCTTTCTCTCCTGTCTAGTGATAGAATAGTATCTATAATATAATTTAGAGTAAAGTATGAAACAAACAAGTCAAAATTTTAATTATTATAAGAATTCCATGAAAACTGGATTGGAGAATTCTCGGGCCTGTTGCTTCCATCGTCACAACCAAGTCATTCTAAATTTGGCTCAACCGAGTAAGCAGATGAAATACCCAACTGCAGGCAACTACAGTTGAGTATTTTGTATGTATATTTCGATTATAGAAGCTTTTACACGAAAATAATGATGCATTCTATTACATTTTCATAAACAGCAACAGAATTTACATATGTAGAGCGAAATGAAAATGGAAAAATTTATGGATTCTGTATATTGCGAATACAATGACAAATTGAGGAGTAGAAAAAAAATAATATCATCACAGAAATCACATAATTTCCAAACATACTTGCTCCTCTTTCACATATATACTAATTATTATTATTATTATTATTATTATTATTATTATTATTATTACTAAAAATTACTCAATTCCGGAAATTACTCGTTAATTACTCCGAAATTACCTCTACGAAAGTGAGACGAAAAATTGAATATTTTCAATTATCATCAGAATAATTATATTTCTCAATAAAATATTAAACACTAATTATACTAGAAAGAATAATGCTTTTTTGTACGCGCACATTTGCACGAGTGCTCGATCGTCAATGTACTACACTTGGCTATGTTACGCGAACGACTGGGAAACACTGGGGAATGGGGAAAGCGTATACTCCTGTCGTCGAGGGCTTTGCCTGACCCCGTGAGTATGGCCGCTACATCGGTAGTCCACCCATCAACCACCCGCGTCGCCGCCCGGCACCTTTCATCGCTTTTCGTTTGAGTGGCGTTAGCAGAGCAGTGCAAATACATACAGGCTGTATGAAAAATCACACCTCTTCACTTGTATACATAATATATATTCTGATATATTTTACTGCTATTACTTATTGAATAATATAATAAAACTATTTTCTATTGTTAACATAGAGTATTTTGAGGGTTTCATCCATTGGATTTTAAATTGTGATGAATTATTCAACTGATAAAATCCTGTCATGACTATTTTTTTTTTTTGTCGCTCAAATTATAGCTAATGCAATATACGAGTGCAACACGCAAGGTGATCAGACTGAAGTTTTCATGAGTTTTTAAATACATTGGAGTATAATCCGAGGGATGAAAAATAATCAGGAAAACACTAAGATGATATTTCAATTTTATATATAAATTCTAATGGAAAAAAAGATCTCTCCATATGTAGATTCTGCAGAAAATAGTGAGATGATGTAACCGTAGAAAGTTGATTGTTTGAAAATATGTTAAATTATTAAAATCGGAAAGGGAATATTAAATATTAATCTCTGGAATCTATTTATATCATGACATCGTCGTTGGATTTAGCAGGAATGTCATATTTCCCAGATGATTGAATTTGTTGTGTTGAGAAATTATCTTCTGTGTGGATAATGGGTTCACCTTCAAGCTTTTCCAAATTTGGCAGTCTCCGAGCAATCTCTGCTCTCCAAGGCTCAGTCTAAAATACATTAAAATACATAGAGAAAAAGTGTTTTTGCTCTTAATAATAATTTAATAAAATTGATTTCTGCAGCATTTTAAATACTATGAGATGAATTTCTCTTACCTCGAAGCTTTCGCAAAGAGGATTTCCTACGAATAATAATTCACGTAAATTGGTTAATTCTTGAAGCCGCATGAATTCATTCCATTCTCGTACTTGATTATTTGACATATATAAAACACGAAGATTCTTCATGGTCTGAATGCCTTTCATTTTTTCAATACAATTATATGAAATCCACAATTCTTCCAATGTTTCACCGAGGGCCTCTAAACCAGTGAAGCCTTTAATAAAATTCCGTCCCAGAGATAGGATTTTCAAATTTTTCAGTGCACTCAAACAAGATATTTTTTCGATAATATTAGTTGATAAAGACAGTTTCTCACAGTTGACTAGGCTTGAAAGTGAGTTGTCCATTTTCTCAATTGGTGGCCACTGAAAGCTCAAAACTATTTCAATGGCAGAAGAAGCTTCTTGTCCATTTTCTTCCTCCCATCGACGCAGAGCATCTTTACAAGTTGTCGGTTTTCCCACTGACATGGATATTATATGTCAATTTGTCAATTGACTTTATATTCTGTCAAATTTATGTAAATCAATGTAAAATTTTCATTTAAATAGTTTGCCTTTTTTTTATAGACTATATAAAATAAAATAGCACCTTACTCATCTATTCATATAAGCTAACCCATCTATGTAGGTAAAAGAGCGAATCGGGACACAACAAGGATGATTTGTACATTTTAACTCATATATACTACTTCTCATGTGAATGAGTTATTTCGAGAAAGCCACACGATCTGGGGCATTTCAATAATGTCACTGATGCAGATATTCCATTGTTCTCTGCTGGTTGTAAACATGATGAATATTACCTGTAACATATGCAAGTGATTTTCAACCAGCGTATATAGTTATAATTTTGGTAGTTTTTCCTATTCTTCTTAAAGCTTTCTTAAACTGATAATTTTTAAGAATATAATACAAAGACCTTGGTTATTCAATCGGGGTAGACGTGAATTGAATTTACTCATACAATGTGAGAATCGAGGGGCCAATAGGTGATTACGATTTTTTTAATTAAAATTAACATTCAACTTTGCATATGGAAGAGATAACAAAATAAGAAATGTCAATTTGTTTTTTTCTTCCATACATAACAGAGGAAAAAATGAGAAACGTTATTAAAGCAGTCAACAATTACGTCTTCGGGTTATGGTGATATTTAACAATATCGGAAAAACATTTCAACTCCAGCGTTTGAACATAAGAGGAACATCTTCGTGATGAGTGATTTTATTAGTAATCGTTAATTACATTTCACTTTCGAACTTTATGTGGGATACGTAGATATAATGAAATATTATTTTGATGAATTTTCTACGAGTTGGGCCATTATAATATTCAACACAAATAATAAAAATGTTCGTTCTGTCGTCAATTTTTGTTTTCAGCAGTTGCTTAGGACGATACTTTACCACTAAAAATTAATCGATACTGAATGCTGCATGGTACATATACTATATGCGTTTACGTTTACGGTAGGTAGGATCGCTCAACGCACAGCTGATCGTCCCCCAGCCCCTTCACGATGCAGACAAGCAGAGACCATATTCAAAATATAAAGACTGCGCAACTCCTCCGCGCACAATCATCATGGCGGCTGGCCACTGGCAGAGAATGGAGGTTTTGGCGTTCGTCCGCGGATTTTCGCTGAGAAAAGGAATTAAACCGGGAAAATACTTATTAATCGTGCAATAATCAGTTAATTTTGAATATTAACTGATTATTGCACTATTAATACTAATTTCCCGGGTTTAATGCCCTTTCTCACCGAAAATCCGGAGACAAACGCCAAACCCTCCATTCTCTCCCAGTGGCCAGCCGCCATGATGATTGTGCGCGGTGGAGTTGCGCAATGGCAAAGTTTAGCATTACACTTTTTACCGGTCTGAGCTCAATAATATGCTCTAATAAAGTCTGATTTCGTGATAAAATCATTCCCGGCACTC